AAGAAAAGTCTCCACCAGGTCCCAAGCTGCTCTCCTCCTGGCTCCTACTATTTCAGAAAATTCAAATTTTTCCTTTTCCTAGTACAGATTATTTGTTTAATCCTATGAGAAGGAAGAAAAGTTTTATTTTACCTATTATCAAACATATCTCTCCTAGAAAAGGAAAAACTGTATGTCTCCTCAAGGAAGAAAATTCAACAGCAGGCGAACAGAGTAGCTGTATAATTCTCATCCCACTGCTGCCTGTCTGATGATCAGTTTCTCATTTTTCTTTTTAAATTTATATTATGTTCATATTTCAAGTGATACAAAAAAAATGTCCATATTTGTAGGGTACCATGTGATATTTCTATGCATGTAAACACAAAAATTAAACATACAGGTCTCCCGAGACATTTACCATTTCTTGGTGGTGAAAACAGCTTTTCTCTTCGAAGCCTGGTAGTGTGGAGCCTGGTACTGCCAGAGCAGCTATGAACAGGACAACTCCACCACCAGCCCACTTACGCATCCCTCAGTACTCTCTAAATGAATAACAGAATACCACACAGGCCCCAAGAGGAAGAGTGTGCCAGCTGGCTTTCAAGTTTATTTGCAGCTGATTTCATGAAGAATTCTTTTAAAAAGTTAAAAGTTGTTCTCATGTCTCCAACAACTTAGCTGTTTTTCAGACAACTGGAAACAATCTATTCTTGAGCACTTCCCCTGAATAACATTCTCCAGACCAAAAAAATACTTACCAAAAAAAAAAAAATACTTTGTGTAACTACATTCCAAAAGTGAGAAGGTCTGTCTTATGAAACCCAGAGCTGAAATCTTGTGAACAGGGAGAGGGAGCTTGGTTTGACTTGGCTTGGCTGGCAGGACACGCTAGACACACACCAGCTCTAAGGTGCACCTAGGGATACTAATGTTTCATTTTGGAATAGAATTCAGTTAGCGGGAAAACAATTCTCTGATTCATGATGTACAGAATGAACGTTCTTATTCCTGTAAACTAAGCCACAAGAGATTTCTGTTAAAAGCTTCTGGGATTTATAACTAAGTTTTATTCTTTTTCTTGTTGCTTTTCTCTTTTTCAAATTAATCTGAGTCACATGCTATGCAGTTTTTCTTTCTGTTTTCTCTCTTTCCCTAAATGTTCTGTCTCTTTGTCTTACCATGTGGGTCCTGAAAGCAGTTGATCTGGAAAATAGTAGTTGTAGCACATTTTAACATCGTTTGGATTCTTTCTGATTTGAAAAATAGTGTGATGGTAAGTATTTGAGGGATTTCTAGTCATTTTATCTATACACAAATTCTGTCTTCACTTAAAATCATCCAGTACTTCCAAAGCTTCTAATAAAGTTGTCAAGAGAGTCAAATGCATGCGGAATAATTCACCTCCCTCCATCCATAAAGCATTTTCTGCGCTTCCAATTTCTGCCTGGCACTTTGGAGCTCAGAGAAGCCAGTCCTGGGGAGGAAAGAAGAAGCTGAGTCTGAGTTTTCCTCCAAGGAGCAAGGGCAGCGATCACAGCTTCCCCTTGAGTGCATCATCTTGACCACAGTAATAAATTCAGTTGAGTATACAGTAGATACAAAATAGCCAGAAGAAAAGATTCTAAATATTCCCAACACAAAGAAGTGACCAATGTTTCAATAATCAGTTTGCTAACTACATCAATTTGATCACTAGACATCATAAATTTGTATCAAAAGAACACATACAATTATTATATGTCATTAAAAGCAATTTCAAATCAGTAAGGTTTTTTTTTTTATTTTATTTAAGAGGAAAAAGAGACAAACACAAAACAAAACAAAGCGGTGTAAGGGTACACGTAATACAGAACTACAAAAAAAAAACATAACAGTAAGAAATCACCTGTTAATAGATTACATATTATCATCTTGAAAATAGTTGCTCAAATCACAGTATCAAAGAATACAAGGTGGACATTCAAACAAAGAGACTGCAAACAGCTGTGTTCAATGATCCAAAAACATTGATATAGTCAGCTATTTAACACTCCTAAACACACTTGCTATTATATCCGTTAGAGCTCTTTTTTTTCCCCTCTCTTTTTTACAACAAAATTTACACATTTTGGATTTTATTACTCTTTAGTGCTTATTACTTTTTTGGGGGGGAGAGAATACATCAAATATGGCAAAACAAAGCTGTCAGTCAAAACTAAGGATAGACATAGCACATGGTGTAGAACAGAGCACAAGGTTATCAACAATGGTTATTAACGTTGTCTCTTGTTTCCTTAAAAAGAATTGTCTATCTCATTAGATATTATAAAGTTGGACAAAACAGTAGAGAACAAGACCAATAAAACTTAGGCATTGTAAACATTACAGGACTTCCAAGGAAGACAATAGTCAAACCAGAATGGGCATCTTAGTGAATCTTATTGCCTTCAAAGTAGTTGCCTATACCCTCAAACTTGATACTATCATACAGAATGGAACAGAGTCTAATCAGTCAAAACAAGATCGTGGGAGTATTACAGGACTTCAAAACAAGTTAATAGGAAATCAAAAAGAGTTACTATATATATATATCCTAATTTTTTAAATTTTTTTCCCTTAAGTAAGACAAACATAAGAAATGACTAAATAATTTTTTTAAAAGAATAAGGGGGAGATTGAGATAAAACAGGACATAACAATATAACAATAGAGGTCAAAGCATGACTGTTTCAGCAACCTAGTACTTCACCACCATATAACCCGACTTAGTAGTAGTTACCATAGTGTATGTCTTTTTCCTTGAAATATTTGGATAAAACTTCATATACTCTAGCTTCAAATATTTCCGTATCTAGAAGCCCAGAATAAAGCCTTTCTAATTAATGAGTGAAAACTTTATAAGGCTTCAAGGCCACCTAATGGGGAATCATGATTACCACATATCAAATCAGTAAGTTTAAAAATGAATTTTATCAAAAATAAAAACATTAAGCCAATATAAATATAAACATAACACTCATTTGACAACACTGCATTTTTTAAAAACGATGTTCCTTTAAATTCATTCACTTCGTTTATGGAAAACTGATTCTAAAGAAATGATGATAAACACTGAAGAAAATCAATGGAAAAATGTATTGGGGAGCACAAATGGGTCTTGAGAAATGAGCAGTGTCGAATGCTTTCTGTTGTAAACAGATTTCCTCGCAGTGTCCTAATGGTAAAATAAGCTCACAAACATTTAAAAATAACATGGAAGTTGCTTTGGATAAAAAATCAATTTAAAAGTTAAGAGAAATGCATCTCTACAAACAAATTGCAAAGCATGTAAATGTGAAGAAGCATTTGCACTTGGCAAAGAGCTGGAAATGAAAGAGTTAGCATCATTAACATTATTCCCATGCTTTTTTCCTACTTCTAACTTTCTCACTATTCCCATTTTTATTTAATTACTCTGTATCACTTTCTTAACAAGATGTTTAGAAACCTACATTTCTTCAAAAGTAGGCAAAAAACTAGGGTGATTGATTCATACCAACGTAGCAATTATTCATATGCATCTGTTGTTTTATTATTTAAATGCTAAAAATGAGGTTAAATATCTTTTGATCAGCACATTTTATCTCATTCATATGTCAAACAGAATTACCTGAATAAACACATAGATGAGTTGCATTGATTCGTTTTACTGAATCTCTGAGGCACCTCAAAATGTGCTAATCTTTCCCCACTTTCTCCCACAAAAAAATTAATGCATAAAAATGTTCAAAATACACAATTAATATTTTATTTTAAGATTAATATTTTTTAAAATTTAAGTAGATATTTCCGAATAAGGTTGGAGAGCTTAGAAGAAGGAGGATAAAGTGTTTTGAAGTATTCAAGCTCGTATAAAATATGTAAAGATCTCTTAAAACAATACAAAAATCTCAGTATAGAGCTGGAAACCAACCTGTTGTAATGCCATTTGCCCATTTGATAAGCAGACACAGTAGCGCAGTTCGTTTGCAACCAGAATCATGGAACAAATTCTGAGATCAGAATCATGGGAAGACTTAAGTTTGTGTTCCAAGGCACCACTGTACTTACAGCATTCCAGATCAACCATCCATCCATGTGGTCCAGGCAAGTTGGCAAACAATCTTGTGACCCATTTCTGAGCCAAGCCCAGCTTTAGAACCAGGGTTTGTGTTTTGTTCCCAACCCTGGAACCCCAGATCTGAATGCTTTCTTTCTAAACCAGGTGCCCCAGGACCCCAGCTAGGGTTCTGGTTTTCCTTTGCCAGACAAGCAAGGGGAAGATAATCAGAGCTATCTAATTATCTGTCAATGAATGAAAGAAGGCATCTGGCTCAGGGGCCCCCCTCCCCGCTGCAGTTGCTGACGGATTTCCTTTCCACTTTGCTGTCTGATGCACGGCCCAGTCCTTCGGTCACCCATTTCTTGTCCCTGTTGTGTACTAGACAGAGTGTTCACAAGAAAGGTCCTTTCAGTTTCAACCCTGCACCTTCTTGTTCAGTTGGTGCAAAGGTGCAGTTAACCTCATGCAAACAAACTACTGCTCGTGTTAACTAGCAGGGAGAGCATCACAGTGTGGAGTTAAAAGACTCAGGGATCGGTTTTTTGCCTGAAGTTCCAGTGCATGACTAGTTAGTGCTACAGAGGCCACAGCTGGGGCAGAAATTTGGAGTTGCTGACCTTTTGCTAAGGATTAATGCAGTCAGGCATCAACACATTTTATCAGGGCAATCTATTTTCAGAATCTGGAACTTCTATCAAATTCTTTTTTCCTTATCAAGAAACTCTGGAAATCCCCTTAAATTCTTGTAACTCCATCTCCTAAGGTCATGATATGTATTAATGTGATCACACGTAAAGCTGTGATGAAATGTTAACTTGATCATTAGTGTCCTGGAGTATTTAGGGTTGGCAATGTCATTATTTCTGCAACCTATTTTCAAATGCATCAAAGAATATATAGGGATACAAATAAAGCAACTATGGCAAATGTGGCAGTTGGTGAACGTGAGTTAGAAATGAACAGATATTTGCAGTACTGTTATATCGATATTTCTGTACACTTAACTTCTTGCAAACATTTTTAAAGTTAAGGAAAAAAGGCTTTAAAAATACATTTCGGCTGTGCCTCTCCTCCCTAAAGAATTTGTGAACACCAGCTGTGGTTATAAACGAGTGCTTTGCAAACTGTAGAATCCTTTCAGGGCACAAGAGCTACGGAGAGGGCTCTTTGGGCAGCATTAGGTCATCCCTTGACCACCTGGCCAAGCCTCACCTTTGGTTACCAGGACTCCAGCCAATCAGTGCAGCTGCAGCCCCTCTACATTACATATGCAGAACCAGCCTCCTGGCTCCTTCCTGTGCCTGCCCAGCACCAGCTGCAGACACAACATGACGTGCAGCCCTGCTGTTGAGCAGGGGAGGTAAGTCTAAAGCTCCAGAAACCTGAGTCTGAAGACCAGACCCTCCCTTGTCTGCTGGCTTCTCAGTTTCCCTGCAGCTCCAGGGGGTTACTGGCAGGAAATCCACTCCCATGAAGCCCTCAAAGGCATCCCAGCGTCACAGAAGCATCCGGAGAAATGCCAGCCAGCGCTACCTCTACCAGGAGTCCCTGCTGCTCAGGTAAGTGGATTCCACCATCAGCAGATCACAGGAGGCAGCTGTGTGAGCATGGGTCACCAAGCAGGGACAATGCCCTCGTCCTGCTCGGCTCCTCTTCAGTATAACTTAGAAGCTTATGGCTGTAGGGTCCTATACACCTGTGGTGTCAACCTCAGCAGCGCCCATGGAAGGGATGGCAACAGCTGCTGTCTTTGGGACAGAGGATGGGACACTGGAAGCCTGCCTCGTGGCCAGGCTGTATGCCAGCCAACTCCACACAAGAGCTTTCTCCCTTTCCCCTGCTTACCAGACATCAGATCATACACCCTTCATGATAAATACACTCTTGGTTAGAAAACGTTCAAAGGAATTAAAAGTTGATGAAAATATTATTTGAGTTTTTTACATGAGAGTAATGAGTATTTCATTAAGTAAAAAAAAAAAAAAAAAAAAAAAAAAAAAAACCTCCATTGGCTTTGGAGAAACTAGAAAAAAATTCTCCTCGGAATAAGCAAAAACAATATGAAATAGAGAATAACACAGGAAATACTATCTCTTCTAATAGCCAGGGAAGAGATTCATTTGTCCTGAAAAAGTCACATTAGGATTAGCATAATAATTAGTGAAAATAAATATCGCCACATGTTGAAACATCATGCTTCTAGAGAGTAGCTGTTTCCCTGAATGTTTTGCCTATATCCACTTGCTGAGCTAATTTCCCCTTCAGAGAGACCGAGCCTTGCTCTATCTTTGTTATCTTGCATTTAAGATAAATCAGACAGGACTGGCAGAAAGGCATCTCTGGGTGACAGACATTTGGATTTTATTCATTTTACTTTCAGAGTTTAGGGACAAGGAGGAGCTTCTAAAACTATGCAAGAATTTCAATGAGCCTGTAAAGGAAATTATTTGCTTATCAAGATTGCTGCAGTTCAGGAATCAAATCCTTCACAAAAGACTCCTTTTCTAACTTTGTGTTTTCTAATAATAGCTCCTGTCTTCAGCAACTTTCATTCTTCCCTGATGAGCAAAGTAATAGATTCCAATAAGTAGATTGCAATGGGCTGCTGACACTGCTAATTCCCTCTCCCTCTACCTATATGTATCCTAGACATTCTCTCTCTCTCTCTCTCTCTCTCTCTCTCTCTCTCTCTCTCTCTCTCTCTCTCTCTCTCTCTCTGTTTCTCCCCATATAGATGACCCTGTCAAACTTTCCCCAGGAAAGATGTTCTTTTCTGGAAGCAATTGCACTAATCAGATTTCCTCCTTAATGCCCTGATTCGTTTAGTAACTTGGATGACAGCTTTAATGCTGATGAAACAGGGGACAGCAGTGACCCGGAACAAATCTTCCAGAACATACAGTTCCAGAAAGATCTCATGGCAAATATTCGCTGCAGACCCTGGACCATGGGACAGAAGCTGAGGGCACTGAGGTGAGGCCTCTGTTGCAGTGATTCCTTGTGGTAAACATGCTTTCCAGCCCAGGGAAGGAGAGACCAAAGGTGTGGTCCTAGACCAGAGACATGACTAAGATGGCAGAGGGTGTGTGTGTGTGTGTGTGTGTGTGTGTGTGTGTGTGTGTTTCAGTGTGTGCTATCTGTGTACATGCTGAATGTGTGTGTTAGTAAAAAGTTTTCTTGTCTTCTTCCTCTTTCCCACACACTAGATTTTCTCCAAATGCACAGTTGACAAAAGGCTAAACCTGAGGCAAAAGAGGTGTTTTAGCACCCTCGCCATTGCCTCCTTGGGGGAGAAAACCTGTACAGAAGCCCAGGTTATTGTGATACTCAGAGTGTTACTAAAGAATCTGGCTATATAAAAATTAAGCCCAGAGAATTTGAATATAGATTGCTGAATTTGACTATCATCTTCACCAATCTCTAGTCATTTGATATTTTTTCTTTTCAATGATAGAGAGGGATGGAGCCTGGGGACTTTGCCTTAAGCTACATCTTCTGCTGTTTTTATTTTTCTTTTGCAAGAGTGTCTTGCTAAATGGCACAAGCTAGGCAAGTCACAATCCCTCCTTCCTCGGCCTCCAGAGTGCTGGGATGACAAGAACATGCCATCAAGCCTGACTCATTTTCTTAATTTCTGTAAATACCTGTACCTTTCTCTTCCAAACTGAAGTGATGATGAGAAGTGGTCCTCATCTGTCACAGAGCATTTCCAACATGATAATTGCTGGGTTATCAGGTACTAGAAACTCAAACCCCCATGCTGCCCTCTGACCTACAGAGCCACACTATGGGACAAGATTCAACATTTCTTTTCTTGTGGCAATGCTGGGGCTCCAACCCCAGCCTCCCACATCAACTGTTCAGCGTTGGAGCTGCATTTTAAACACGTATTCAAGTTGATACTTTTAAGTTCTAGAGTTTGAGGCCATGCACTGATTGTGGTCTATGAGGATTTTAAATGGGCTCACCTCTGCATGTGCTCAGTGCTGTCCCTCGTATGTCATGGTCACTCCGTAGGGATGACTGATGGATGCTGCTGACAGTGATACCAACAATCTCAACACAAGTCGCACCATCTGGTGGCCTTGACAGGTCCCCTGGTGCTCTCATGATCAAGTGGTGCACCTTTGGCACCTGTGTGGACCAGAGCATGTTTTAGACCCATTCCTTTCTTTCCAGCCCTGCTGCTAGGCTGCTAGGCTTCTCTCCACCCTGTCACTCCTTTCACAAATGTCCATGCAGCCACCACTCCTCCAGCTGCCACCTGCCTCTCGGTGGCTACAACACAGAGCTAAACTTACTATGGGTTCACACCTTCAGAAGGCTCTGTTCACGCCCCCTTACCTGCCTTCCACATCCAGTATCAGCTATCATTTCCGTTCTGTAAGTGAGGGTGGACTAAAAGAAATAAAAGAGAAAGGAAAATAAAACTCCTGGCAAGGTCAGCCTTTATTGAAACAAAGACCTGAGAGGGGCCGCTGGCTCTGAAGTGCCAGAGGAGCAGCTGTCTTACAGAGTGAGGGTTTGCCTGGGGTGGCTGCGTGGTAGAGGCTGAGGAAGCCGAAACTGACTATTCTGGGACCAGGGCGTCTCTCTTAGTGTGTGGTCACGGGCCCATCTTGTGTTTGCACAAGGTTCATTATTTGTCTGGAGCTGAGGACTGCCTGGTCTGGAATGGGCTATTGTAGAAGCATGAATTAGGCCAGGCAGGATAATTAGGGGGATTGATATTGTTGCAATGCTAAGCAAGCATGGGGAAGGGTCAGCACACGGAATGACGTCCATCAGACTTTCCCTTTCACTGTGTTCACATTTTAGATGGGGCGGGGCGCATGCAGAATTATGAAAGACCGGCCCAAGAAGCACGTGAGTTTTGAGTGGTAGAATGAAACTTTGCACATCCTCTTTCAGTCCCATGTCTAGTGTCCTCTTTTACCAAAATGTGGGAATGTCACCAGTGGAATCACTGGACCAGTTAATCTACAAGATAAAAGAAGAGCATGCGCTATGTCAGAGCTTTTAAAAACCACTCAGAGATGATAATTGAATGTTTTCTGAATAAGAGCTCAAGCCTTTTTCACCTTGATGGCAGAGCAGAGCAAATGATTCCTTTTCAGTCCAGGCTGCTTGGACAGAAAAGATCTGCCAGGCCTCCCACCATGCTGCTGGGCTGCACCACCTGGCCAGCGCCCCAGCTGGGCAGCATGCATCTGGCCAGTGACGTGGCTCTTCAAGGGTAGCTTTCCCTTTGAGTACTTCAATCCACAGCACTTGTGACACACACCTCTTCTCTGTCACCTTGAAAGCTACTGGAGCAGCACCACCCTGATTGGATTCACTGAGGTTTATCACAGGTTCACTGGGGAGGAGCAGGGGACACAGAGCCCGAGTCCAGGAACCTCACCTGATGTGGGTCAGAGCAGCTGACTGGAAGAAGGTGGCACATACTTGTTTGCCCTACAGGGCAGTGAATGATCCGATAGGCGAGCGTGCTGCTATGACTGCACCCAGATCAGGCACACTTGCCCTGCTTCCCTGCCCGCACAGTGCTGGCCAGGCCCACATTGTCCTGATCATTGTGTCTCTAGATCACTTTTGTCCTACCCAGGAGGGAGCTCCTCCAGAGTAGCGACACTGTGTTATGTGTTTCTTTATTCTACCATGTCTGGCTCAAAATAGGGATGCAGAAATGTCTTCAGAAAGAATCACAGACACATGAAATGTGTATCATTAGACTTTGCTAGGCTTTGCTTTTCAGTTGCTGTAGCAGGCAGACCATTGAAGATGGCCCCCATGTGGTGGTCATGGTGTGGGGCGGGATGCCAGCCTTACCTCTGTTTCTTATTTGGCCACAGTAAAGCCAGTACATTGCATTGGGAAGGCTATGACCATAAGGCCTTTTTGCAGTGAGGCGCCAAACCCCAGTATTCCATTAAGTCATGCTTTGAAAAGATCAGCTTGCTGTGCAAAAAGAGTTGGCTTGTCCTTTGTGTCTGGAGGAGGAACTCATTACCAGAGGATGTCACAGAGAGGCTGCTTGGGACACACACAGAGAACACCCTAAGGGGAGAATTTGCTGAGCTAGCCAATTGGCTGATACAGAAGGGCTAAGTTCTTCAACACCAGACCTAAATGAGCACAGAGTAACAAAGATCTCTGCACTGGGGCGGTGCACAAGGAGGTTACTTAGCAGAGAGGCTCCTCTCCAAGTCTTTGGTTCCCATCTATCCCATGGTGCCGCCACTCAACCTAACTCAGTTGCTCATGGAGTTGTGGATTTAACCATCTATTCCAATAGTTCTGTCCATTTTTCAGGGTTGAACATTTTTAGATAATGATACCAGGTTAACTCAACAAAATGATATGTGGGTGTTTGGTTAGGTTGAGTCAGGGTGTTGTTTCTGGCTCTATAAACACAACTTTCCTGCTGTCAGTAACCAGGCACCAGAGAAATTTCAGTTTCAAGGCACTGACAGAAAGAGGAGAGTTGCTAAGAGGGGGAGCTGAGACAAGCTTTCCAGAGTTAGTGATTCCCAGCTGACCTCCAGGATTTTAAAACGTTCAGTTGTAATTTCTGTTGCTATGAATTCACCATTTTGGATTAGTTTGTCTATGTAATTCTTAAATAATTTTGTGTCTGTGGAACTAGGATCAAACTCAGGGGTACTCTACCACCGAGCACAATGCCAGCACTTTTTAGTTCTTATTTTAAGACAGTCTTTCTAAGTTGCCCAGGCGGGGCTCGAGCTTGTGATTCTCCTGCCTCAGCCTCCCAAAGTGCTAGGATTACAGATGCACTGAGCTAAAGAAAAGCTTTTAAGGTGATTTCTGGCTCCCAATGGTCAGGAACTGAAACCTAGTGGTGCTCACATCTGGTCTAGCTTAGTGACTTATTCCTCTTACATTTTCACATAGTCTGAAAAAATTGTAAGTGTGATAAAACTGTGTTCACCGCTATTCTTTCTTTTCTCAGGCGAGCGAAGGAGATTGTGCTCAAGTTCGAAGGGAGGCTGACCAGGACTCGAGGCTACCAAGCAGCAGGTGCAGAGGTAAAGAACCACCTGGTGCTGCCACCCCGTTCTGGGGCTGCGATCCCCTGGGTCCACAGGTTGTCAGCTCAGCTGCCAGCAGCTCAGAACAGGGGGGTGGGCTTGAAAGCCTCAGTTTCCCTAACTTGGATTTTAATTCCAGCTGCTGTAGCTCACCAGTCGTGTGACCCTGACTCAGCCTCATGCCTCAGGAGAGGGATGTCCGGACTTAGCCCTCAAAAATGCAGGGCAACTTGTTGTGTCCCCTCGTAGGGCTGTGAGCTGTGCCCCTGGCAGCAAAAGGGTTGCAGGCACACTCTAGCTCTGCTTCTGTAATACAGGGCTGTGAAAGGGTAAGAAACTGCTCAGAGGGGAAAAATAACTCAAATAGGGAAAAGCAGAAAAGGAGGACGGGAAAAGAAAAAAGATATAAATTTGTATTTATACACTTAAGATAGCTAAGATGATTGTGATACTACTTCTATTAGTTCTTGGAACAAAGCAGTTAACATTCAAAGGATTAGGTCAATTTTGCATGCCTATATCTGCTATCCTAAGTAACTATTTTGAAGATAACTAATTAAAAATAACATTTGTTATGTTCCTACCTCCTTGTTTTGAAAACTTATATTGTTATTGCTTTGGGCTCTTTGGTACTGTTATTTATTGATCTCTTTTGTTTCTTGTTTTTCTTGCATTTTGTTTTGTTTTTCCCTCTAATACAGAAAGGATAGATGTACATGTTCAGGCTTACACATGCCTAGAACTCCTCCTAAAGAGTTTACAAGAATTGATTTTACTATGTGTGATGGTATGAACAGCTACTTTGAAGAAAACAAGACATTATGGTAGCCATTGCTGATTTCTTATATCTTGTCTTGAAGTCTAATAGTGCTTTTATTCTTTGTTTTGATTGGTTTTAGTCTGTTTTCTACTATTTGATTTCAATATGGTGAAGATATGGACAACTGTTTTGAAGAAAACAAGAGACACTATGGTAGCCACTGTTGTTTTATTGTTGTCTTATTTTGAAGGCTTGTGTTCTGTTTTGATTTGCTTTGTTCTGCTTTGGTTTCATTTGGTTTGGTTAAGTTTTATTCTCTTTAACATAAAAAAATATTTAAAAATGTAATTCAGGGCTGATGTTTCAATTGTGGTTTTTCCCAAGCAGTCACTTAAAGCTAAACTTTAGCATCCCTTAACATGATCTGTCTATAAATACATTTCATATGAATTTTTAAAAGAAGGGGAAAAGTTGTTTCTTCTCTGCCCCCTCCTATCCCAATGTCATCTCTTTAAAAGATCTGTGGCAGTTACTGTACAAATGTGCAATTTTCACCTTACAGTAGTTAGAGTATACAAACATTTTTGTCTTGTTTCCTTTTTCACTTAACATCATAGGGTTTTTCCATGTCGCTATATAGTTTTTATATTCACTGTTTTCAATAATTGATTAATATTAATCTGATAAATGCATATTAATTTAATGGGACATTTCTCAGCTACTGAATATTTAAATTTCTCCTAAGTTCCATTATTATTAATAATCCTGCAAAAACATGTTTATCAAATATACATTTTCCTCTTTTTTAATTATTTTCTTAGGCTAAATGTCAGAACTGTAATTTCAATAGAAAGAGACTGATTTTTTTGGCTCTTGATAAATATTTTTAAAATTACTTTCCAAGAGTCTTGATAATTTATATTATCATTCTCCATGAAATAACTTATTCGCCTCATAATAGCTCCATAATCACTGAATATTATATATTTCAAAAGTTTACTTTAATAAAAAGTATAAATATATTCTTATTAGCATCTCTGAAATAAAATTAAAGTGTCATAAATTTTACATGTCTGAAAAATTATATCAAAAAATCTCCAACATACTACCTTGGCATTCTTTCTTCTTACACTTCATAGAATCTTCCTGATTTATAAACAAACCTTCCTGTGACTCTTTACGCTAGCCCCACTCTGAGGGAGTTTATGAAATACATATACAAAAAATTCATCATTTGTAATCACACATGCTGCCACGCTTTTCTTGTTTTTCTCAGTAAACCGTGTGAAATGCTATGGCAAGACCTTTCTAAGATAATGCGGGCCTCTTCGCATGGGTGCAGCCTGTGACATCACCACAGTGTGAAAAGGTTCACAGGAAACTCAACATGGGCTCCAGAACATCTTTAAAATGAGTTGAATTTCCAGAGAAAGTGTTCCAAGGTTCTCCTCACCTGGAGATGGCCCACAAGTCTTCAGCAGTGCTCCACAGGAAGGGCACCCCATCCTTTCACAGCCCCAGGGGCCAGGCAGGACGTACCTCAATCTAGACTGGCTCAGCCCAGTACCGGGTCTTCCTCTGGACCCTGGGCCAGACCTGGTGACACCTGCCTTTTCTGCCTGTGGAGGTGCCACTTACATGAAAGTCCTCTGCCCACAGCTTTAGACAATTTGCATGTTGCCTACAGCTCAATGAGTCTTCTATTTATAGCTCTTTTTAAAAACCACTTTGTTTTCCAAATAGTAAAGTTTATAGAGTATTCCTCCATCCTCCCACGGCTTCCTCCACTGAGAGCTTGGGGCATCACCCCAGGCGTGGCTACTCTCCCCTTTAAGGAACCACTCCAAACACAGGGCGTTTTCTGAAGCCCCCAACCCCCTTTTCCACCTGAATTTTCTGTTCATGTGAAGTTTCCCTGATTCCTGGGTGATGACCCCTTGCTGTAGACAGTCTGCCTCTGGCACCAGCACATTTCTATGTTCCATGAGAGGCCAAAATCTGGGAAAGCGAAACCTAAGATCACAGAGGCACAAGCCTTGCCCCAGGTGCCTGAAACTGCAGACAGGGACACCCAGGCCTTTTCTGTCAATGTTTCCCTGCTCTGGATAAATGTCTTTGAAAGAATCTTTTGAGTTTAATATACTGTGTCTTCCATGACACTGGCAGGAGAGTTCCCATGGCACGATTTGGCAGGAACCCTTCTTCCATGTAGGACTAAAAGTGGCTGCCCACAATGCTCTGTGCCCTGCTGGCTTTCTATTGGGTCCCCACAAATCGTCTCACTTCTACCCTGGTTCCAAGGCAGCCTCGGGAACAGGAAGCTGTCATCCCAGGCCTTACTAATACTAATGAGGACAGTAGGGGCTTTAATTATCTTTACAGTTTAACCCACACTTTCCCATGGTGTCACTGCCAACTGCAGGGTTTCCTCTCCCCTCCTCCCTGCTCCTCTAGACAGCCCCCAGCTACTGTTTTTAGAGTGTTGATTCCTTTACATTTGAGTCTCAGTGCAAGTGTGGCCTCAGGTGGATACTTCCTGGGAGACAGCCTTCACTACAGCCCTGAGGATTGCCCCTCAGTGGCACAGATCCATGGCCAACTTTATTCTCTCTACTGAAGCCAAGCCCTAATTTGGCCCACACATCACAAGTCCTGTCCACTACCTGCACGCACAGGAGCAGTAAGCTGGGGCCGCACTCGAGCTGCCACATCCATCACACGAGTTGTAAGAACATATTTACTCCTGGTGAACATACAACTCTTTCCAAAGGTGAAAGAATGAGCTTCTATTTCCAAGAGAATTTACCAAAGCTCAGTAAGCTCAGTAAGTCCCCTACCAAAGTAACTCTCCAAGATTACCAAAACTCAATTCTTATACAAAAATATACTTAGCAAAACTGAGTTACCCAAACTCAATAACCCATACCCACAATCAGGTCCTATTCCTCACAAGTTTGTTTTTGCTTTGCTTTGTTTTTGATTTGCTCTTAAAATCTTGAGTTATTCCGTAAAGTTCCAAGGCTTTTGCTACAGAGGTTTTGGTGCCAACCGTGAGAGAAGCATGACATGTTCCCTTGCACCTTACTAACTTATAATCATCAAAAAATAGCTTTTATCTATCAGATTTGCCTCTAAGAAACACCTTCAGGCAAAGCCAGTGTAGACTCATTACTGGAGTTGCCTTGAGGGTCCTTCAATCCAGTGGTCTGGAAACTGAGTCTGGAGGTCTGGGTTCTCCAGCACCAGAGGCTGGAATGCACACCTGGCAGTTCTCACTGCGAAAGTGGTCCATTTTACCCTGATTCATCTTCTGAATCAGGAGCTGTCTGCAAGCCACAGACGGAACTCTACTGCTCTTTACACAGATGCACAAACAGGATACCAAGCAAAAAAAAAAAAAAAAACTTTCCCAGGGTCACCTCATCAGACAGATGAAGAGCTGGAGCTAGAACTCTGGCCTCCCACTTCATGGTTGTTAGATTTTAGGACTTGACACAGGCCAGAGGCTCCACCCAAGCCCTCATTGAAAGTTGCTTGAACATGCATGGCTCTCGACCCTGCTAAGGAGATAGGATCAGAAAGTCATGGTCTGGCCTTCTGCACCACAAGGAAATAAGCCAGGTGTGAAAAACAGAGCCAGTGCAAGGTGGGACGGACAGACATTATAAGAGAGATGAGAGATTATTGCGAGGAGACTTTAGAAACAGAACAACTTACTTCCTGCTGCAGAGAATCCGTGCAGTGGAGTGGCTGTATTTGAGATGGTTCTCAAATCCTAAGTAGAAAATAGCATGCCCGCCTCTGATAAAATTCAGACTGTCATTTGCAAGCAGCCGTCTGGCCTGAGCAGACACTTCCACAATGATATTACCATACGGATCTGCCTTGGGGCTGAGGGCCGTCTTACAGCTCAGAGTGTGGTTATCACATTTGTAGCCCTTTGTGCAATGATATCATTTGCCTCCAACACAAACCAAGATCATTTGTGTATTAAGACGCACAACCTCCCAACTCTGCTGGACAGCAGAACCAGTGTCAGGGCACATTTTGCTTTATTCTGAAAAAAAAAAAGTAAACTTTAATTGCATTTTAAGCCCACAAGACAAATTTTCAGCATTAGTAACCATAGAAGCTTCAACCAGGAGAGAGGCCAGGAAGCTCTCTGTGCTGCAGGACACCAGACACACCGAGATGGGGCTCATCTTCAGGTGGGCACTAGACCCCTGGACCTCAGCAGAGATGCAGGTGTCGTCACCTGAGAGCTTGTTAGCTGGGGTCCACTCTCCCAGCTACCTCAGGTTTGTGGCGAGATCAAGGGTTTGGCTTTAGGAACCATTCCTTCAGTGATTACCCCTGTTCTTGGTCCCTGCTTCAGGATCAATCGGAGGAACGTAAACCAGGACCCCAGATCATATGTGCCTTACCCACACCCCATGACTCAGGCCTCAGCACAAGTGTGTGGTCACCAGGACAGAAGCTCAGAGAAGCTGGGGGCCACTTGGGTGCTAGAGCCCATGACAGCCAAGGGTGCCACAGTCAGAAGTAGTCAGGATACATCTGGAAGCCTTCTGTACCCCCACCCCCATGTCACCAGCCATTCTGTCCTCCTGATCGACAGTCTCTAACTGGCCCTTTATTTCTAGCTGTGGCGGAAGTTTGCTCGTCTGGCCTGTAATTTTGTGGTCATCTTCATTCCCTGGGAAATGAGGATAAAGAAAATCGAGAGTAAGTACCTTCACGTGGTGACAGCAGGACTAATGGCCAGTTCCGGCCTGAGCTCAGTTGGGGTGTGCTGGTCCTGACACACAGCCAAGGATGGCCCAGCCTCACGCGGGACCCAGAGATGGGAGACCCCGGTCTGTCCCCACTGGAATGGAAACTGTACCCACCAGGCTTTCTACATACCTAGGTAGCAATGCCATCCTTCCCACCATGTACATTCAGTCAGACACACAAATCCCAAAAGATGAAGTAAAAAACCGACAATAAATAAAATAGCATTGTGGGGAGCTGCAAAGTATCAATATGAAAGCCCACATTTTCAGAAAAATAACCGTAAGCATTTAGAAAGCATGAAAAAATAAATCACATCCACAATTACACAAAAGCACGCACACACACACATACACAACACATAGACATATGCATAATACCAAGAGCAAACCTAACAAATTCCGAGAGAAAAAAACTATAAAATTGGATCTCAGAATACAAAAATCTTCTGGAAAGATGTGAGATTTGGAAGATGCTAACTTCTCAGAGCCCATTTACAAGTATAATGCAATGCTAATAGAAATATTGTTTGAGTAGTTATCAAAATGGTCATCAAATTTTAGTGGAAGAAATCAGCCAGAAGACTAATTTTTTAAAAAAATTTAAGGAAAAATGCAAATGAAGTTGTATGACCAAGGTGTTAAAAACACATTGTAAAAAGCTAAGTAATCAAAACAGCATCGCGTAACTCAGGAATTAGAAAACAAAGAATTAAATACTTCAGTCTACAGTAGCAATATTCATGGACTTTTAGCCCATGACTATTATCAGAATCTGGCTAAATTATTCCATAAATATTGTTGGAACAACTGAAGTAACTGTTTCAAAGAGTAAATTTGGCTCTTTCATTTTAAAATGTCATGAAATATTTAAATATACAACTAGAAACCATGAAAGAATTAAAGAAATTATCAATGATTTGATCTCAAAAGAGAACCAGTCTAACTGTAAAAGTGTGGTAGGAGATTATTGAGGAAAGTTCTGTACAGTTAAAGTACATAGATAAGAAAATGCAAATACAAAAAAGTAAATCTTAAAGTTATATAACAAACTAGAGAAAATATTTTAAATATTTAAGTGGAATTAAGCTCTTTTTACTGTTCAGTTTAGAAAATATAGGTACAAAAAATTGACAAAGAGCCCCCACCTGGTTCACCCAGTTTGCTGACACCTAACAAACTGGTTTTACCTTGAAATTAAGACAAAAGACCCTCAAAAAAATCACTGGAATTCTCGGGATGATGTCTAATGAAAAAGAAATACATCAAATTCTCAAAAGGTGCTGTTTCTTAACATTCATGAAATATAATAAATTCGACAGAGCATTTTACAGAAATATGTCATTAAAATGATTATCAAAAGGTATTTTTGCTAAAAGAAAACTTTTTCTACAGAAGTGGTAAATTTTCATGGATATCTTGATCCTTCTAAACTACCATTTTGGGGCACACATACCATTAATTACATTCTTCCTTAGGCCCTGCTCGTATAGGGACAGTTACAGTGTTGTTTTCTGAAACTTTCCTGCACTTTGAGAATTGAATGTCAAGTGTTCTCATTATTTTGCCTTCTTTAGGTCATTTTGGGTCAGGTGTGGCCTCCTATTTCATATTTCTGAGATGGCTATTTGGCATTAACATTGTACTCACGATGATGACAGGTGCTTTTATTGTCATTCCAGAGGTAAGAACTATTTCAAGACAGAGAAAAGTACTGATTCTTCAAGGGAGACGTTAGAGTAGCGTGAATGTCAGCCCTTGCTACCTCCGGGGGAAGTTGTAAGGGGGTGGGGGGTTGAGGACCCCTCCCTGGAGGGCCGTGCAGCAGTACGGGTTCGTGACCTGCTCAGTGTCTGTCACCTGCGCTAGCCTGCAGCAGTGCAAAGACAGCTGCAGACCATACATAAGCCAGTGCAAATGGACTAGAGTCCCACAAAGTTTCATTTATGGAAACTGAAATGCACATTCTATGCAATTTTTAATTTGTCCCCAAACACTGTTTTTCTTTTCTTTTTTTTTTTTTTTTTCTCTCAGCCATTTAAAAATACCAAAATCCTTGTTGATCTTAGGTCATATGAATCTTAGGATTTGGCCTCTGTGCCAGTTTGCCAAACACAGACTAAGATAAAATCCACTATCCAGCTAAATACCATCCAACAAACATAGTGGGGCCATCATTTTCATGGCCATCACAGAAATCCAGAGACACCAAAGATTCCCTGGCAGAAGCCAGTGTGGTCCAGAGAGCCCAGGCCCAGGCCAATTCGATGCCCACAAGAAGTTCTCCATCTGTTGAACTAGCAGAAATCCATCCCAAGATGTCATGGGTGGCAACTCTGGTGCCCATATGGTCCCTCACAGGGGGGACCCCTGCTGACACACCCATTTCTCGCCAGCTGATCGCAGGTCAGCCCTTCGGAAGCACGGCCAGGAAGACCATCCCGCCAGAGCAGGCTGCGTCTGCCCAGGACCTGGACACCGTCTGGTCCCTCGGGGTGAGGCTGGCGTGCCCATGGGAGGGCAGGGTCCTGGCTGTCCTCTCAGAAATGACCAGGAATGGTGTCCCCTCAGGGCTACCTGCAGTACTCCGTCCTCTTCTACGGCTACTACGGCAGGGAGAGGAGGATCGGGAGAGCTGGCTACCGTCTGCCTCTTGCCTACTTCCTGGTGGGGATGGCCGTGTTCGCTTACAGCTTTGTTATTCTTTTAAAAAAGTATGACCGCTCAGTTTCTCAAGATCTGTGCTCTTAACAGTGGTGTGTGTGATCTGATACAATCTTGTCTGTGACCCTGTAGGTTAAGGGCATCACATCATTTCACATGCCAGAGGGCCCCTGCTCTTGTGAGCGCACGTCCCCATGCTCACTGCCAAGGTCAGGTCCTGGGTTGAATCTGGAGAGATGCGAGTGCCACACACTTACCAGTTTACCTAATATTAAAACAGTACAGTAATGTGCTAATGGAGTCGCAGAGTGCAACCTAGGAGACCAGAGGGCGCAGGAAGGAGAGCTCCCTGCTCTGGCTGTGTGTCTACCTGGTCTGGCTCCAGGTCAGACTGTGTGTGTTGTCCTACAGCCACCACCTCTAACTTGTCCCTGGGAGGTGGTACAACACACAGGACAGCACTGTGAGTCCTAAGCTGCTCACGGTCCCTCTCCGGGCCTCATCTGTAAAATGGGCAGGTGGGGGGGGGTGTGTGGCTGCCTCCCAGCTGGCTTCCTTCCTTCTGTGTAAATAGCACATCCAATGTGGTGACAGAGGCTCCTTTCCCCGGGCATGTTAGCAAAGAGCAGGTCAATGTGCTTAGGATAAAAATACAAGTAATAAGCAAACCAACCATTTCCTGGTGGCCTAAGGGCTCCACCTGGCAGACTTAAATGCTGTAGTACGTGTTTAATTTAAGAGCAAAGTTGGAGGAAGATAGAGCTAAGAGATACTATATTTCAGGGAAAATAGTGTCAGACACAAGGACAGCTTCTCCTGAGGAGCAGTCAGGACTCCTGCTTTCAAATGCACTATCTAAAGGGCCACAGTGTGCAAGAGGGACAGACCCCCCAGTGGACCCCCAGGGTCCAGGGGACACTGCTGGGCAAGGGGGTAGACTCCTCCCCAGTCACCAGTGGGGTCCGTGATGTCTGGGCTCTCACCCGTGGGACTGCTAGCCACACAGGCTGGCCCAGTACACGGTCACTGTGCTGCCTGCCTGCCAGTCCCAGACACTGCACTGTCCCCTCCTGGAGCCATGGCGTCCTGGAGTGGAACCTTATCCCGGGGCTCGCCCATCACCCTGTGGTCCTCTCTTGCAGGATGGCGAAGAACTCCCGCACGAGCCTGGCCAGCGCATCCAGGGAAAACTACACCTTCTGCTGGCGCGTGTTCTGTGCCTGGGACTACCTCATCGGGAACCCAGAGGCTGCAGAGAGCAAGACTGCGGCCGTGGTCAACAGCATCAGAGTGAGAAGCAGGGCGGGGGCGGGGAGGAGCACCGCAGATTCCCTGTACTGCTTCTGTTCCATCCCTTTAGAATTTCAGTTTGCTTATGTTTGATAATTGACCTAATGGGTTATTGCCATGGTGCATGTCTATAATCTGTAAATAATTATCTATAAAGTAGGGGTACGGGTTTTTATTTTTATCTTCGATATCATTCTTTTGAAAAACAGTCAGAGCCTTGGGCCACCGTGGACTCCACAGACCACTTAGAGCCCTAGTTTAAAAAAAACAACAGTATTTCAAGATATCAGTTTTCCCATCTTCCACTCTTTTCCCAATCTCCAGTTCCCTTTCCTCAAGTGATTATGAGATCACTAGTATCAAATTCATCTCTATTAGTGGAAGCTTACAGGGGGAATTCGTAGGCATTGGGAAGATGTGTTAAGTGCCAGCTACATTATCTCCAGTGGTCCGCAGTTAATGATCATGCTGAGCTTCTGATGCTGCTGGTGTTTTTCCTTAAAGGAGGCTATCCTGGAAGAACAGGAAAAGAAGAAACGCAAAAACCTGTGAGTATTTTTTCCATGTGCTAGATTCATCGAACACTTTTGTTTTAATTTGGTACCTACGTTAACCAGCATTCTGTCTTATTTTCATAACTGTTGAGTCACTCTTCTGTCGTCCACTCTTCCCCCTCTACTAGAGCAGTCTGTGGGAGCCCATGCCTTTATTGTAGCAGCATTTAGGAGTGACTCCCCATTCCGTGGCTGCTGCAGCAAGGCTCAGAAGTCTGAAGTTTACCATTTCCTGTTCACTCACTTAGATAATAAAATAGGTATTCGTAGTGCCAACTTCTATTTGCTAAATGAAGCAGACATATGAATGCTGCTGGGACTAATTGTATTTAGAAACAAATCTCTGAAGTTGTAAGACACAAATAGCATCAAGTTCATGCTCACAGCCTTCCAGGGGGCTTTCCAGGTGTGAAGTCCTTCAGGAGACCTGAGAGCTGAGCTGCGAGGCTGAAGCTCTGCCACCAAAGGATGGATGGAGGGCAGGTGAGCCAGGACGGGGTGCGGTCCTGTCTTTGGTGGGAGAACACCTCTTCTCCTCGCAGATCCTTTCTGGGTCTTCACACTCACAGTCAGTGTCTGTCATGGAGAAAGAGCATGCGAAGGATTGCTGAAGAAAAGGACAGCTGAAGAAACACTCAGCCACAGAGACAGGGACTCAGAAAGCAGGGATTCCAGCCCTCCCCTGTCATGGACTCCTGTGACACTGACCCCATCTCCTGTGACATGAAAAGATAGGACTGTTGGCCAGAGGGTGGGTCATCCCACACCTTGGAATGACCTGCAGTCCCCAGATATGCAGACCCTGTCATCTTCTCCAGAGGAAATACATGTGCAGTAGACATTCTGAGAGTGCCACCTATGGTGACAGGATGCAGGGGAAAGGGGCAGAGAAAAGGCACAGTGGGCATTTGGCTGGCGGCATCACATTGGCCCCGCATGCATTTGCTGGTGCAGCCATAAGAGGAGCCACCACGAGGGAAGCAAAGGGACCATGACTGGCAGGATCCATTCCTGGGGCCACATTCCTCCTAACTGGGACCTAGAAATGATGGCAGTATGATCTGGAGACAGGAGGGCCTGGAAGACAACTTGAGGCACTCAGGATTTCTCTCTCAGCATTTTCTATCTCCAGGGCTCTGATTTTTTTTTGTACAAGGGATTGAATTCATACGTGCTTGCCAGGCAGGCGCTTATGCCACTGAGCTAAATCCCAGGCCCTCTGTGATTCTTGATCTACACCACCTTCTACTAAGGCTGGCAACTGTAACTATAACATGCATTTTAATACCATGGCTCTGTTTTCACCTGGCCAAGTGACAGCACATCCCTTGGAATGTGCTCCTTCATTGTGCAAATGAAGAGCTAAGACACACTTGAAAGGAGGTGTAGTGACTGACCGGAAGTGAGGTCTCCAGGGGCAGAGCTTTACGGAGCAGATAGGACACACTTGGCCTCTCCTATTTCCTGCCAGACAGAGCCAGGCAGGCTCCACCAGGAACAGGCTTCTCTCATACTTGGTGCTGGATTTCTCGGTCACTTTGAGCCAGACTCACAGGTCCACATAACACTCATCCATCTGTGGCCAGCAGGCAGGGTGAAGGCTCAGGGAGTCACCCTGGACCACAAGGAAGGAGACAAACATGCCTCTCTTTCAGGCTGCCAGGGCCTGCTGTCACATCTCACCTCAACTACCTCCCCTACATCTTGCACTGACAGCTCAGTTCCCTGCGTCAAGACCCAGACTACACTCCTACTTTCTGGGTCACTTCCCCGGTCCACCGCTGACAGGCCTGTGCCCAGGCCTCTGCTGTCAGGGGTGCCAGGGTCAGACAAGCCAACAGCAGCAGAAGGTGCCTTAACATCAGGCGTCAGAGCAATTGGGTGTCCCCTGATCCTGGAAAAGTGAGTGTGTTTCAGTTGCATGCAGCTTCTAGAACAGTGCTAGCTCTGAGATCTGTCCGCACTGTGCCAGGCTTATGAGAAGTGAGACCACGTGAGGAGAGGGATGAATCCCATGTCCCAGCTCATGAGCTTCTGCTCTATTTGCTTGTTCGTCTGTCAAATATGAAGTTCCCACACGTGCTTTGGCCTAGTGTAAGAGCCAAGGATACAGGATTGAAAAAGCTGAAAAGGTCAGAGCTTACATTCTGGAGGGAAAAGACAGCTAATAAAAACTACCAAAAAGACACCTGGTCCATGTCTGAGCCACTGTGTGCAGGGATGGGCAGAATCCCTCATCCTTCCCTCTCCCTGCAGGTGTAAATATGGATAGGACGGCACTCAGGTTTCATTAGCAAAGAGCTGGAACTCAAATCCTCAGCCTCTAAACCAGCTTTTGTTTGTCTAAAGCCCCAAATTGCTGCCTGGTGGAAGGTATAATTCATTGATGATCCCATAGAAAGTGAGGAGAAGTGGTTCCTCAGCATTGGAAGTGTCTCTGTCCCTAAGTCCCTTTACTGTGCCTCGCAGTGCTCTGAGAACCCCATGCCTGCCCCCCCCCCCAGGGCTGTGACCGTCTGCCTCAGGATCATCGCCAACATCCTGGTGCTGCTCTCCCTGGCCGGGAGCATCTATCTCATCTACTTTGTGGTGGACAGGTCTCAGAAGCTGGAGCAGTCAAAGAAGGAGCTGACGCTCTGGGAGAAGAATGAGGTAACCAGGGCTGTGGGGTACCTGTGCCTCCCACCACTCCAAGAAATGCAGCTGAGTCTCTGCCTTTTCAGTGGGTTTTGCAAACAGTCTTTGGGGAACAGTTCAGTCTTCTAGTTGAAGGCATGGACCAGCAGGCTTCAGGTGACAGCGCAGGGGAGCGCTGTGATTCACAGACACTGCCCAGCATTCTCACCGGTCTCTGTCTTTGGGCTTTGCCATCTAGGATTTGCTTATCCCTGTATGTTCCTCCCATTCTGCTTCCAAACTGACTCCTGCAGATGTGCGTTAACAACAGACTTATATTCCAGTGGGAACCACAGGGAACCAGTGCCTGATGTCAGATATGTGCACTTTCCATATTTCTAAATTACAAACAATGCTCCCAGATCCAGCTTCAGATGAAGGCCTCATTTGCTAAATAATCTCCCCACTCCATAGAAAATGACTAAGTGGGCGGTGTGAACAGTTTTAGAATTCAGAATATTTATTACGAGATGGATGTTTGGAAGGATTGATCTGATTTACTTATAAAGTTTGAAAGGCAGACACGGCACAAAATTACCTCTCAGACCACTTGCATGAGAATAATTATCCTTTGGGATTCAAAAATCAAAGGATTTAAATAATAAGATGATCATCAATTTATCTGATACATATTTATCAGTGTACAATAATATATCAAAATCTAACACTGTATTAAACTTTCCTGTACCTCTAATTTATGTCAAGCAAATGGGTTGTATTGGTATATAATTTTATATAGATAGATTTGTAAAGATATATTTAGAAATTACTTATTATTTTAGATGAAACATTTGTGTATCAGCCAAAACTTCTCTTTCTTTTGCTATGCAAAAAGACAAAAGCCAGGCATAATTCTCTAGATAATCTTTTGTATAGAAAAGGAATATTAAATTTTCCCCCTGCCTTCCCTTTTCCATTTGTAATAATTGCAATTATTTCCCTCTTCCGCCCAGGGCAGGGAAGTGTAAATGAGATGAGGCGGACATTGATAAATGTGGCAGAGATGCTGGCAACTCCCTGATGGCATCTGAGTGTCTTTGGAATGCTCAAGCCCTTAGGAGGAATACACAGGGACCAGGAGCCAGCAGCCTTAGGAAAGCAGAATCAGCAGCGCCTGGGGAGATTTGCAGGAGGGAATTTTGAGCCCCTGAGGGTTTCTGAGACCCAGAGGAGGAGCATGAGGCTGGGGTAGCTGGGGAGCACAGAGCCTGGCAGCGCTGTTTTACAGGTGAGCGTGGTGGTGTCCCTCGTTACCATGTTGGCCCCGTCTGCCTTTGACCTCATCGCTGCCTTGGAGATGTACCATCCCCGGACCACACTGCGTTTCCAGCTGGCAAGGTAGGCACTGTGCCAAGAGGGACCCACACCAGATCTTGGCTGTCTTCAGTCCCCGACACACAGCCAGTGCTGCACCTGTGGGGGCAACTCAAAAAAGTGGGTTACCGCAGGAGAGAAAAGGGCGAGGCAGAGAAGGGAGTCACAATGCAAAGTACAGAAGAACCAGATTCACAGGCAATTGACAAGAGGAGGAGGAGGAGGAGCGGGGCAAGAAGGGAGGAGCAAGAAGATGACAGGATGCGTGTCTGGTTTTCCTCATTGCTGAATTCCTCCTGTGGTTTGACTGTGAATCGTGAAGAGACCCACATTGTTTTGTTCAGAAGCAAGAGGAGCAGTATATATGTTGTTGATGATTCCCCAAAGTAGAGATCCTCCTGGAAGGCACTGGAGGCCTCTGGAGCTGTCAGGACCCTCTGGGGTAAAGAAATGGATGGTAACTGTATCCTGTGTTCGTGGTGACATCTCAGTCACATGTGGGAGTCAGAACAGTGCTGTCTTTCCTAGCAAGGACTCGGTCCTGAAAGTCTCGCTCCTCTCCCTGCGGTGAGGCCCCTTCCTAACAAAGCCAGCAGGGTTAACAAAGTCTCTGTGGCCCGCAGTGGCAGTGGGAGGTGGCATAGCCAGTTCACCATGCTTTCTCCTGGGAGATCTAATACCATCCTCCAGAGCCAGCGGTCACCAAGCACTTTGGGAAGACTTCCTCCCTTTGGGAACCCACAGGCATCACAATTCTGCAAAGGACCTGAGACTAAATAGTTTACATTTTGTGGCTCCTGCACATCCATCTGTCACAATGCTAAACTTTCCAGTTGTAACCACATACAATTTGAAAACAGAAGGCCAGGGCCAGGCTGCAGCACAAATTTATTTCCGAAAATAGACCAGGGTAAGGCTGGCTTGAGGGTTGCAATTCCCCAATCCCTGAATCCCAACTGTCGTTTCAAAGATAGAAAGTTAGGACCGGAAAGAGCGAGGAGCTGACCCAGACCTCAGAGCCCAGGTAAATCCGGGGTGAAGGTCTAGCTAGTTTGTTCTGCTCTGCTCTGCCCTGCTCTGCATCTCCTCCACCCAGGGGACTGAAGCGCCTTCCTCAGCTTGCCTCCCTGACGGGCATGGGGTGGAATCAATTCTATTATTTCATTTGGTCTAACAGCAATCCTATTACACAGATTGGCCTCATTATTCATGCGCAAAACTGGAGAAACAGAGGCATGGAGAGACTTAGCCCAGACAAATTAGGGCTGATTCTGGTAACAGGAATGGGCACATTATTTCAGCTGCACTAATTCACTGGCCTTTCATCCAACGCGAAGTGAAAATAGCCATGCAGCAGTAAGAGACTCCACCCGCCCCTCAGCCAGCACCCAGGAGGTAGTTCTGCAGGGCAGTAGAAAGCCCCAGTCTGCCCTGGAGATGCCCCCAGCCTGTGCACAAGCAGGGCCCTCCCCTGAGGAGAGGAAGGCCACCTCTGGTGACAGTGGACTCCTATTTTCACTAGGAGCTTTTTCTCCAACATAAAGCTTTTTTTCTACCCACTGGCATTGGACTCATGATCCTCAGCCTGCTCACTGTTGTCACAGGGACACACATGGAGCCTGCCACCTCCTTCCTAGGCTCAGGTCACCATGGTTTCCCACAGGACCGAAGCATCCTGGACTATCCCACACAGCTTTCCAAATTTCCCAATTCCAGGAGGCCAACACCAGGTTTGTCACTCACCAACAGAGGCTGTCTGGCAGGCTCTGGTCACCCACAGTGGATGCTATAGCTATACTCTCAGGCCCTCTGTGTCCCCCTGGTGTCTGGCCTGAGGCACAAACACAAGGCACTGGGATCCCAAGTTTAGTCCTGACTTGCTGTGACCTTGTAAACCGAGCAGTGACAGATAGTGCTGTCTGTTTCTATTCCTTTGACCTCTAAGTAGGAATCAGGATGCCTGAGCTTCACAGGGCTGCCAGGGGGTGAGGAAGAGCACAGAGACATGTGCTTCATTCACAGCCCTACGGGGAACCCCTTCCTAAACTCACATGTTTTCTGCCACACAAGTGTTCTAAAACTCTGATCCAAGGAGGGCCCCCCAGAACCCCCTTGAAAGGATAGATAAGGCCTCCTACTTCCCCTCCCGAGAAGCTCTCCTGAAGTAGGGTAGATCTCGAATTCTGCACTTTAATGCCCCGTGGCAATTTAAAGAATGCCAGTGTGGTGCAGTAGCCACAGTTTCTCCGCAATCATCTACAACAGTAATGGTGAACCTTTTAGAAAGGAGAGCCCAAACTGCAACCCAAAACACATTATCACGAAGTGCCAACACTGCCATTAAACCTGAATAATGAGGGCTCAGTTTAGAAAGAACTGTTACCCTGATCAGGGTACCCTCAACAGCGAGGGCTCTGGGTGCCCACTGTAGCACAGTCTAGAATTGTGTGGTGGCTGTGGGTCCGTGGAATTGGATGTGGGGGTCTTGTGCTCAAGGTGGGCCTGTGGCTTTCAGGGTCCTGGTGCTGTATCTGGGAAATCTCTACAGCTTGATCATTGCCCTGTTGGACAAAGTGAACAGCATGAGCACTCAGGTGAGCACCTGCCTCTGCCACCTCCCACATTCCAGGGTCGCCATCACTGACAGCATCCATTCCTCATGTCCTAAACTCAAGGAAAAGACAGAAAAATTATCCCAGTGCTCAGCTAAGGAAGTTGAGGCCAAGACCCATGGCCAGTTAAGTGGCCATTCTGGGAATAGGACTGGGCTCTTGAGTCTACCCTCTTGGTGTATACTAAACTATTTCCTTGAGTCCCATCCGGAAAAACTCTCCTGTCTTGCAGATGACCCTAGAAAAAGCAATAAGGACAGTCCACCCACTGTCCCAGCTCCTCTGGTATCTCCACACTTAACCCAGATACCCTGTGTCCACCTCCAGCCTCCTCTGTTTAGGAGGACACCCCAATTGGTGGGGTGGGCAAAGAGTGATTTCTGAGAGTGGTTTGCCCAGGAGAAACCATCCTAGCACCAGATCTGAAGGCTTACAGGTAGAAGAGACCACATAGAGAGTCCTGTTGCTGCATCGGGCTTTGAGGTCATGCAGACCTGGTTTCCTGCTCATCTCCCGTCAACAAGGTCTTGAACATCTACCTCCCACTTACTAAGCTGCAGCCTTCTTATGGGCGTGAGGTAGTCATCCTTGCCTGACACTCTCGTGAGGATGAGGAGAGACCAACACATGTTGCCTTGAAGGTTCTGACCCTACATATTCATTACATATCTCTGTTACATGACAAAGGGGGAGAAAGAGAGAGGGGATTATTCCCAAGTAAAGCACTACTCTCCTTGGTGTGGGGTCCCTGGTCATCTACATTTATAAACAACCTGATCTTTCTTTTGTCTTTCCCTTCTTCCCTCCTTCCACAGGAAGTAGCCTCAAAAAACAGCACGAATGCCTGGGTAGATTCTTCCATCTTCTTCACCTCCGAGGCAGCCCTTGGAGAAGGGAAGTGGCCCATGCCTGAGTCTGGAGCAGGGAGAAATGGCACGTGGGTCTTGGAGGAGACAAAGGTCCCCATGTACACAGTGCCACTCAACAAGGCCAACAAGACCACGCTGCACAACCAGAGTCTGCAAGGCCAGTGCTGGGAAACATACGTGGGCCAGGTGGTTCCCATTATTTCTACAAAGTCCTTCCATGCCTATGTCCTCACCCATCCCATGCAGCTCTCTGACGCATCATTGTCCCTATTTTCTAGAGAACTTGTGCCTCTCCAGGTCTCAAAGTTAGTAACACTCAGATCAAAGACCTATGCAGTAGTAACCATGTGCCAGGCAGTAGCCTTGTAAGACTTTTATCATCATCACCATAGACACAATGAGGAAACTGAGGCACAGATGGTTAAGAAACTTGCCCAAGGACACAAATGACAATGAGAAGAATAAAGACTCAAGCTCAGAGTCTTTTTCAAAATCTGTGCCCTTAGTTATTTTGTCTTTGACCTTTGCTATTTAATTTTGGGCAGAGACTCTCTACAGGGAGATCTTATCCCATAGAAATGAGTCTCCTATGGCTTGGAACCTCACCTTTAGATTCTTCCCTGTTTGGGACTATGGAGCCTTGGCTATCAAATATAAACTCAACCATACATATAGGTGTCTGACACTCAAACTCAGCATCATATAGGTATTCACTGAGCACCTGTATGAGCCAGCAGCCCCGCTCTGTCCCCACTCTACCTAGCTGGATCCTGGGGAGGAGCAGAGAGGAGGAAGAGATGGAGCGGGGCAGGTTGGGGCAGCAGCCAAGACATCCTCTGTTGCAGGAGATGCTGAAGTTGTCCATCATTGACATGCTCTTCACGGTAGCCAGCATCCTGCTGATAGACTTCTTCCGAGGACTTTTTGTTCGCTACTTAAGTGACTACTGGTGCTGGGACTTGGAAAGCAAGTTTGTAAGTGAAATACTAGGTCCTTGGGGAGGTTCCTGAGACTAGATCCAGCCTTTCCTGAAGCCTAGGCTGGGAAACAATCAGGTATGGTGGAGAAAGTACCAGAGGGAAGAGGGGAGGGGGCACAAGGAGTTCCATCTCCTCCATCCAGCCTTCACCTTTGGCTGGCAGCAACCTGTGGATTCTGTAAAAGTAAAGCATTTCAGGTGTGTAACTGTAATTAACTAATGTCTGCAAAAGACTATGCAACTTCTGTGTTTACGGCAGAAATTCTTTTACTCTTACAGCCTGAATATGGGGAATTCAAAATAGCTGAGAATGTGCTACATTTAGTCTACAACCAAGGAATGATTTGGTAGGCATCACAGCTACTCTTATCTTTGCTACATCTTGTCTGGGCTAAGACGTTGACCAGTCAGAATGGGGCAAAGCCAATGTAAACACAGTCATGATAAATAGGACGTTTGCAAGGGAACTACTTCATATGCATAGCAATTTTATTAATGCTTTTCTAAGGAGCTTGTGGGAAGAAACAATGAAGGAAATAGCCTGAGTCTGGAGCAAGGGACATTTGATTTTTAAGCCACTATTAGTCCTGGTCAAATGTTAGAGCCAATAGAAGAGAAGGGAGATTGAAGGGAGGAATGACTTTTCCCTGAAATTCAAGAATTAAGAGGTAAAAAGTAATATTGCTTCAGTCAAATTCTATGTTCTTGTAGCCCATTATGTTTTGTGAAACATCCTCACAAAGACAATATTAAAAGTAAGTAACGCTTTTTAAATATGTGCTAGATACCATGCATTTTTATCAGAAACTGGTTTAATGTTGCACTGTGAAGCCATGAGGTCACTGCTGATGTTTTCTGCATTTTAAAGATGTGGAGACTGAGGCCCAGAGAAGCTGAGTATCTTACCTAGTGTCACACAGACAGTGCCATTCCTGCCTGCCACAAGAAACCGTGTACCAGTTTTTGAAAAGACTTTTTTTCATTAGACGTAGTCCTTTATCTGTCAATTCCTTAAGTGTTTGTTCAATTGCATGTCCAGTATAAATGGTCTCAGAATTAGGTGTCCCCGGTTTCATTCCACATTTGACTTTATTTGCTGGGTGAATTCATGTACCAACCAGCTTTCCTGGCAAGATTGAATTCTTTTCCTTTGGCTCAGTACTGTAATTCTCAAAACTGTAACAGATGACATAGGAGCTCCCCTCTATCAGCAAAAAGTCTTTGAGAAAATTGCTTCGTTTACTTAACTTGCCACTCTTATTTATTAATTTTTGATATTACCTTTTGTTTCATCATTGCAGAGTATTAAATGAGCTGGAAATATATGAGGATCCTTAGCATAAAGATCACTAAAAGTTGATGCTCAATATATGTTAATTAAACCTAAAAGATAGTGATCTATTAGCATAGTGTTCACCCCAGCCAAACAAACTCTGGAGCTTGCCCCAAAGTGTAGCTCCCAGGAGGAGGACCCTTCCTTTGTTTTAAGAGAAACAAGCATTCTACAAAAGGGATAATTAAAAACATGAATGCCACCCCATGGACAGTCTAGTTTTAATACCAGAACGTGGAGAGTCAGGGTCTCCAACCTGTAGGGTTTCTCCAATCCTTTAAGCATGGAATATAATTCCCAAAGCCTCAGAGCCATAGTTTTCACGGGCTCCTGGGTGCAGCCTGCAAGATGCACCAGAAGAAAGCACATGCCAACCACCTCCCACTGGTTGCAGGATGGGCGCCTTCTTCTCCCCCTGCCTGCCTGCGGTCAACGTCCTCAAACTCATCGGGCTCATGTACCTGAGGAGCTGGGCGGTGCTCACGTGCAATGCACCCCACCAACAGGTGTTCCGTGCCTCCAGGTTAGTGGGCGGTGGGCCTGGGTTCAGCAGAGATCTCATCCTCCATCCTCTGCTTGTCAAAGGCCTGCCACCTCCTCTTTCCCAGCTACACCCATTTCCCAGTCTGCACTTTTGGAATTAACTGTGACTCCCCTCAAGAGTATGACACATCTTTGTAAATTTCCTACTGTAGCTTTTTGGTAATCATTTAGAAAAGAACGCACAAGCCATAAATGTTAAGCTTGATGAATTGTCACAAACGGAATACCATCAGTACTCAGATCAAAAACCTGGACACGAATGACCCAGGAGCCCCTATTTCCTCTCTTCCCGTCACCCTGGTCCTCCACAGTATAGTGGGCCTAGCCCAGCTCCTCACTTGGTAGAAATGAGTATGTCACGGTGTGCCCCAGAGTCTGGTTCCCATCACTCAGTGTGGCAACTGTGGCTGTCATCTCGTGGAGGAGCTGTGTCTCGCCCTCTCCCGCAGTGCCGCTGCTCAGGGATGTGTGAGCTGCTTCCGGCTGGGAGCTGTCCTCGATGTACTTGGTACTCCTGTAAGTGTCTATTGTCAGGGGCACACACAGCAGAGCTGTTGCTGGGCAGCAGGACACACATATATTTACCTCTGCTGGACAGATTGATCCAGAAACCTTTCGAAAGTGGTCCAAACTGTCCATGCTTCCACTAGGTTTACACCAACATTCTCATGGTCGCATGGGCTTAGTAACACTGGTTCTTCTCCAAGACTTTCATTTCAAACATGTTGGTGAATTCAAAGCACATCATGAACCCAGTGAGGTTCATTATGCCACTTTGTGTGTGTCTGTCAGTAGCAGTGGTTTCCAAGAGGTAAGCAGGACCCATACATGCATTTGGGTATGCATACGTACCCATACATTTGGGTATTTATGTTTTGTCTGTTTACATAGATGTGCTTTATATATGTGTGAATATTTACTCTTTGTGTGTCTATTGTGCTGCTACAGCAGAATACCTTGAGCTGAGTCATTTATAATGAACAGAAATGTATCAGGTCACAGTTCCAGAGCTGGGCAATCAAGGCAGGTTTGGTGACTGATGAAACTCCAGCCTCTCCTTCCAACAAGTTGCGTTAATCACCACGATTTCCAAAAGGAAAAGCATTGTCACTCTGGTAGCAGAGAAACAAGGAGGCAAAGGGGCCAAACTTGCTTTTTTATAATCATGTCAATCCCATTCATGAAGGTAGAGGCCCAAGAGTCCAAAACCCCACAGGGAAGCCAAGTGTTAACATGAATTTGGAGGTGACACATGCTCACCCTGTAACACTACTTAGTGTGTTCTCACCAAGACTCCTAGTCAAGTGCAGAGAAAGAGAGAGACAAAGTCAGAGACAGAGAAGGAGAGAGAGAAGTGGCCAACACTGATCATACTGCCAACCATCGCTAGGTGGAGGGACTGTGTCTTCCCCTGCAGAACCATGCTCAGAGTCCTGTAATCCAAGTGGGTCTGAACCATACTGAGGGGAGCTGGAGTAACCAGGCTCAGACAACCCAAGGCTTCAGGGACCGGAACCAAAGTGTAATAGGGCGGAACATTTACCTGAGCCCTCAGGAGCTCGGAGGTTAAGATACTGAGTACAAATCTCAAGCAAGAATAATAGAGTCAAGAATCCTAAAGAAAGAGGCAAACCCCATGAGACAAGCTGAGAGCAGGAAAGAGGAGCCTTAGGTCAGGGCCCAGGAGGGTGGGCAGAGTTCTAAGCTTTTTTCCCATACCCTGCTCTTGTTGGGTGGGAGCCTTGGGAGGCGGGCCCTGGCTCTTCTGTCTTCTGCTGAGTGGGTACTCATCTGGTTAGAGGAGAGACTGGACTGCAGGGACCATGATGTTCCTCTGAGCCCTGATTTCCAAGTTTCAGTACTTTATACATACGAACCTATAGCATATCCATCCTTCAGCAGCTCTGAGAAAGACTCCCTGTGTAGAGTCAGGGGCAGCTTCCTTGTCAGTCCTGAGATGCTGCACCCAGCTCTGGAATGCGCACAGCACCCATGTCTGATGTCTTTGCAGGTCCAACAACTTCTACCTGGCCATGCTCCTATTCATGCTATTTCTGTGCATGCTGCCCACCATCTTTGCTATCGTGCGGTACAAGCCGTCCCTAAATTGCGGGCCCTTCAGGTAAGCTCACTGAGCTGCAATCTGTGGGGAAATCGAGTCACATTGATCTCATTCTCTCCCTGGCTTGCAGCACAGGTAAATAGCATACAAGTAGCTCAAACCGGCATCTTGAAAACCCAAGATCAGAGCTGCCTTTAGGTAGAGCAGGCTGTCTTTAGGCAAAATCATCTCTGAGTTAATGTTAAGAAAAAGTACAGCTCTTTTAAAATTAGAAAAAGAAGTAGCCCTGCCCAGGCCAGAGAGAAACTCTACCTGGTCAAAACCCAGAAGGCTTTATTAGAAGATGGTCCACATCATTTTTTATTCTGCACGATATAGTTGAAACTCATGGTGTCATGACCACCTAGTATTTAATTAGCTTTGATATAACATATATGTAAGTTTACCTTTGTGTGCACCATTAAAAGACAGGCCATGTGATTACTGACCCCAGCTTCATGCCTGCATATTCATCAGGTGCCTACTTCATGTGAAATCATCTTAGGAAAGCTGTGTGCCTTTTACTTGGAGGGGGGTATGTAGCTCTAGGTTCATAGCTGAGCTGAACATCCAGACATCTTTGGGTGTCTCATGAAATCCTTCTGCCAGAAGCAATAAACTCTGGAGCTACATGTCTCTTTCTCACAGCGGGCAAGAAAAAATCTATGACATCGTGTCAGAAACAATCGAGAATGACTTCCCCACATGGGTCAGTGCTGTGGTCAGGCACCTCAGCAGCCCTGTGGTCATCCTGCCTGCTGTGTTGCTGCTGTTGTGAGTACTACACTGCCAGCCTCCAGGGACTGCCTCATGCCTGGCCACTGCTTGCCAATAATTATGTGAAATTAATTAGCTCATTCAGAAATCGCTTATAGAGCCTGATGATCTAAACTGAGACTCTGAACCATATGCCAGAGTCACTTGAGCCTCTGTGCTGCAGCGGGACAACCATGGGATCTCAGTAGGGGAGAGGGACACCTCATGGTCATCGGGATGACTACTGATCAGCAACGGCATTTGGGCAATGACTGTGGCTACTGCCATGGGTATTTTGCAGAACTTAAAGATCTTAAAAAGGAATTTCCTAATGTAGCCAAGTAGTGCTGATTGTTTGGGCTTAGAAGGAAGAGTCAGAGTGAGGCGAGCCAGAACTACTGCCTTAAGGCCGAATACCCTCCCTGCTGCCCTCCCAGAGCAGAATTCTGAGTCAGTGGGGCTGCTGCAGCATGTGAAAGAGGAAAGCAATCCCTCCTTGGGCTCTCATGGAGGGGTTGATGCAAAGCCCGCTTCTAGCTTGAGGTTGCTTCTTACAGCCAGTAGCTGAGCAGTGATGTGGCCTGGAAACCAGGTCTTCACTGTTGTGTACTTCTGTCCTAGCATGCTCATCTATTACCTGCAGAGCATCGCACGCTCCCTGAAGCTCAGCAACCAGCAGCTCAGAGTACAGATCCAAAATGCAAGTATTCCCCATACTCTACCACCCCTGCTCCCACCCCCTTCCCCACCCCACCCCGCAGCCTCAGGGATCTGATGAGCACTCTCCAGCACTAGAGCACAGCTGCTACGGTTCTTGGCTTCTTTAATGGCACAACACCCCTCCCCCCAGGTCTCCTAAGAATGCACAGCAAGGCACACACTCTCTGAGGTCAAGTTACTATGCTCATCCTCCTCCTCTGCAAAGGCCCTTCCTAAGGACCTGAGCACTTCTATGTTCCTGGGTAACTACACCAAGCCCAGAAGCACCTTCTTCATGTCCTTTAGGTTTTGGCTGCTGTGAGATTCTCTCCCTGCTGGGGCTCAGTTGCTCTCTAATCTGGCAGAAGGAGACAAATACCACCCCAAACCTCCAGGATGTTTCCTTCTCTGCAAACCCTAGGCTCTCTGGGGGCTCTGGAGAGGCTAAGGGAGTACCCAGGGCACCAGATTTAAGGTGGTTCTCTCCAGGTCCAGCAAACCTGCCCTTCCCTAGCCACACTGGATTCCACTGTAGCCTGACTTTCATCTTGCTCAACCCCCATGCAAAAAGATTTTTCTCCCTTTTCAGTTAAAAAGAGAAATTCCCTTAAGTATCAGTTCACGCACAGAAATAGAGACTAGTTTTATGAAAAATCAATTAGAATTTCATTGCAAGGGGCATTTTGCCTATATATCTTTACTATTGTTGATCTGCACGGCCTCCTTTGGGATGTGTGCAGACTTCTAAAAATGTGACATCTGAAATGCTCCAAAACCTGATAATATGAGTGTCATGATGATGACCCAGTTGGAAAATTCTATACTACAAAACTTTGTTTCATGTCCAAAATTATTAAAAATGGTGCAAAAAGTTTAAGTCATGTGTATAAGGTGCATATGAAACAAACGATTTCATGTGTAGACAGGGATCTTAACCCCAAAGCTTCTCATCGTACATGTGTGTATATTCCACATGTTGGAAAAATCCAAAATGCTGCTGGTCCCAACCATTTCAGATAAGGGAAACTCAATTGTATTGGCCGACTTTAAACAGGGCTGAGTAATCAGCTGTGGCTGACTGAAATCATTTAGCCACAAAGCTTTGACCCTTAGGTGTCTGCATTTATTTACTCAAGTAAGAGACAGAGCCCGGGCACTCGATGGGGGAGAGGGACTAGTGGCATCCAAACTATAAACAATGACAGGAAAGTCTTTTCCTTTCCAAGAACACAAACTTTTTACTGCTTTTTACTGCTGAGTCCAAATCAAACGTGAATATCATTTACATTTTAGGCAAGATCTGAAGATAAGAAAAAAGTTGCCCAGATGTTAGAAGGTAAGTATGTTCTGATGCATAATGGTGTGATTTCTTAAGTGACAGACATCTAAAAATAGGGCAAAAAGGTAATTTAAGGTCCACTATACCCACAATGATCCCTTACAGCCAACACTGGCATTTCCCAGTTAACTAGGCACAATAAAATGAAGTGTAGGCTACGAATACCAGTTTAAGTGGTTAACTGTTACATCATGGTAGGCCTGCATATGACCTCCCATCTGTTCAGAAGGAAGGTCTAAAGTATCAGAGAAGTAGCACGGTGATTGGCAGATGCCCTGAGGCTCATTCCTGTTTGTGTACTTTCTGCAGAAGCCTAGCTCTGTCTGGTAAAATGCCCCTCTCTGTCTTCTCTGTGCTGGCCCTGATTACTGGGTGGTTCCAAACCTATGGACTCTCACACATGAACTCTTTCCAAATGAAACTGTCATGTGAGTTTTCCTATATCCATACAGATAATGAGCCTCTTGGAAGTGTCCAAGGGTGTGCTGTTATCTCAGGTTTCATTCCTCCTACACCCTCTGCTGTAACGTGCAATGAAATCATTTGGCTACCGAATGCCCATGGCCCATGGGCTGCTGCATTTGTAAGAGTACCTGGGTGTTTGTAGACTCAGCTGTTGGTAGTTATGAAACTCTTGGAAATAAACCAGTCTGGTGTCTGTCTTCCTTTGTTACAGTAACAGATACTAGATATGGTCCACTTAAAAGAGAGAAAGCTTCTTTTGGCTCATGGTTTCAGAGGTTTCAGTTTGTGATCATGTGGCCCATTGTTCTGAGTGAGTCAGCACCTGGCAAAATAGAGAAAGAGTGAAGTTCCTACCATCCCCTTCAAGGGCACATCCCTTGTGACTGCGAGACCTCCCAAAGGTTCCACTACCTCCTAATGGTGACCTGCTGGGACCAAGATTTTAACTAACCCATGAACCTTTGGAGCATAGTTAAAATCCAAACTGCAGCAAGCCTGAATCTGGCACTTGCTAGACATCATCTTCCCATCATCTTCCCTCTCCCCGCAGCTCGAATCCAGACCCAGGAGGAAAGCTCCAAGAGACTTCCAAAGGACGGTGACTTTGCACACATGGTGACATCCCTGAACAATGGCACTATGACCAGCTTTGACTCTCTGAGCATCGAAAGTGGCAGGATAGAGACCATCACTCAGCCTGTGTCCCAGAGCCCCAGGCTGGGCCGCAGGGGTCCCTGCTCACCTCTTCCAGGTATCTCCAAGCCAAGGCCAGAGCACCGTGCTGACAGGTGAGACTCAGCGGCAGCCTCGGAGGAGACTTAGCTTCCTCAACTATGACACGTGTGCACACGTGAGCCACTAGGAATTTGAAGGCCTTGTCAGTTTCAGGAAGCCAGGGAGATTCAATCCCAATTCTGCCAGAAGGCGGGCCTTGAGGTTAAGAGACTCTCACCATAAAAAAAAAAAAAGGAAAGGGAATCAAACTCTGTCAAACAGAACAAATTATTTTTCCTACAACATCTTCCATATAACCTATATAGGAACCTTTCTGCTTGCCAAGCATACACATTTCCATAGCCTTAAAAAAAAAACGCATTTTCATTTATCTTCCACTTTCCAATTCTGAACCGGCTGTATTACTGGAAAGATCTTCTATATTTCAGCCTCAGGCTGACTAAGCTTCAGGCAAAATCATCTGTGCACTATGAGGGTCACTTGGTTCCATTTTTCCTAATAGAAAGCAGTGGACCCATTCATCCCAAATGCATATCCAGAATTTTGTTTGATCCTATTGTAACACCATGGATCAACCCAATTTCTCCTTTGCAAAGAACTTGAAATCTTGCTATGTGAGGCACACGGTGGGAACTCAAGGAAGTTCTGTGGAGAGAGATGATAATAGGCAGTGCCCCTAGTAAGTGTACAAACACTGACCCCAGGACCCAGGACATACTCCCAGACTGAATGAGCGTCCTTTGATATTATAGGAGCAGAATAGGCCATGCTCCACCTGTGTCCTACACGTCACTTTCAGTCCCAAGGTTTCTAGTGGTGAGAGGCCTCTTGTGCCCATCTTGCAAATGTGTGCAGCCACCCAGGGGCACCTTGGAACTGATAAGGCCCTGGCTGGGCTCTGAAACCACTGAGGCCAGGTGCCTTTAGCCCCTTGTCTTACAGGTGTCCACAAGGGCCATGGGCCAGCACGGGGAACCTTCACCAGCACAGAACCTATACACCTGTGATGCTACCAGAGCACATCGCAGATGTACGATCAGAACCTCTTTACCGAAAAGACTTCCGGCCAGTCTACCCGCCTGTTCGTGGCCCCGTGGTCTCGGCTTTGGGAGCACATGGTCATAGGCCCCACACCTCCAGGTACTACCTCATGAAAGAGCGTGACTCCCACCAAAAGCCCCACCGGACTTTCAGGCCGGAAAAACATTTCAAGACGAATGTTCCCAGTGACATGGTGGAGGTGCACCCCAGGAATATGCGCCACCACATGTCCCAGGTGCTCCTGTGGCCTGGCTCTCTGCAACTGAGTGAAGAAGAGGAGGAGATGCCAAGGAGAGCTGGGGACCAATGGCTACTTGCTCCTCACTCCCTGACGGACCTCCATCAAGCCCCTCATTTTTACATTGATGAGCGGTCCAGAAGCCGAACCCGAGATCCTGTGCCCCGGGGAAGGAGGCGTTGCAAATCTGGGGGTGATGATTTTGAGGGTCAAGCCGCCAGGACTCTGTCTGTGCACAGGAGGCCCCGCTCCAGGAATGGGCAGCACCCACAGCCCCCTCTGCAGCCCCAGGTCCAGCCCAAGGTTGAGCCATTCTTCACAGATTCTGACTCCATGTCAGTGGTATCCAGCAGTGATCAGCAAAACAGCAGCGCTGACCAGTATCTGCAAATCACCCGCCGCCAGGGCAGGCTCCCAAGGGCCACAGGGCAAGCCAGCCACAAGAAGGCCAAGTCCAGGAGGGCACTGCCCACTGAGCTCGATGACCTGGTCTGTTCCAAGGTCTAGGCTTCCTCCTGGGGCCCACGCACCAGGCCTGCACACTACCGCTCAGCCCTTCAGGAGAAAAGACTCTGCCACTGGACGCCAGAAGTTATATAGTACATTTAACCATACCCTTCAACTACTGGCCAAGGCCCTCAGTCTCAAACTGCATGCTGATTCTATGGGAAACAGCCCCTCCTGGGTCCAGCACACCTCTGCTTCTCATTCCAAGACAGCACAGGCAAGCCAGGTAGCTCAGCCCACTGTGGAAGCCCGGATCCTCTCCTCCCTAAAACAATATGAGCTTGTCATTTATATGTGAGTCCATCCTTGTATGTAGAAGCACCAGAAATGAAAATAAGGTGGCTAGCTCTAAGGGTTTCATAGTGCTTAGTGAGTAATAAAGTCAAGTAATGAGAAGAGTAATGACTCAACAAGAGCTTCTTCTAGGATTTAGTGGGCTGTGTGTGTATATTAATTAGTCAGAACACTAGGCTTGCACAGAATCCAAGTTTTATCCCTGAGTTTATTGGCTTTTTAATTGAGAAGAATAGAGAGCAAGACCCAGAAATGGACTCAGATGTGGCAGGGCACTGAATGTCTCCAGAATTATCTGTCTTTTCTTGGCTCTGCTGTCTCTGAGCAGCTCGAGCTCATTTCTCCTAAGCCAACAGCTTCCTCCCTGTGGCAGGTGGAGGAGGAATTCACAGATGCAGAAAACAGCCAGTGTGCAGGGAAGCAGGTGTTGAATACAGCACAGTAACCAGGACTGGGTCTTGGCCCAAACAGCCATAGAACACCTTTCATTCTAAGTGTGTCTTTCCAACAATCTGTCTCCTCAATCACACTTTGTCTTTGGAATAAAAATGGCATTTTTTTCACTACTGCATCCCTTGTGACAGACATAGAATAGATTTTATATTTGTTTTCTGTTGCTACTGTGGATCAAAATAATAGAGACCTGCTAAAGTTTAGATCTCTTCAATCATAGCAGGCATTGCAATGGGAATCCAAATAACATGGTGGATTATGGGAGCATTCAAAAGTTAAGGCAAAGAGAAGTTTTTAATAGCAAAACAAGGACTGTGTATGTGGTCCTAATCACTAGCCTTGGCAAGGGGTAGGTAACCAGCCCAAGGTTAGATGGACAGTGACTGGGCCCTTGCAGAAGTACTGTCGGTGCTTGGCTGTGGTTCTGTGTATTCTGTGGCTAGTTCACTACCAGCTGTCTGTGTTTGGGATCCCTTCCTTTACAACCTCCTGGATTTATCTATTTTCTCATCAGAGCTTGGCTCCAGTTTGACTCTGACAGTGGCAAACTGAATGGCTTGAACAACACTCACGTGTCATCTCCAGTTTCCGCGGCGAGGAGTCCTGTTGTGGCTCAGCCAGTCTCACCAGTTGTAACCAGGGCATCAGCCTGACTAGGATCACATCCCAGATTTGAGGTCCCCTTGCCAGCTTATGTGACTGTTGGCTGGATGCCTCTCCGTGAAGTTCCAGGGTAAAGGTTAACACCTCTTAGAGGCTGCCCACGTAGGCCCACCGCATGTCCTTCTAAACATGGTTGGTTGTATCATCACAGTCAACTGAAAGGGTCTGTTTGGCTTTTGATTGCTTTTTCCAGGAAAGGTCCAGGCTCTCTTTTTAGAAGGTTTCACCTGAGTCAGCCAGAAGCACCCAAGAGAAACTCTGATGATTAACTGGACTTTAACTGTTTGGAGACCTTAATGCTAGCTTCAAAATGACCTCACCTTATCAGTTAACACAACCCACTGAGCAAACTCACCAAGGCCAGCACAGCAGGAAGAGAGGCACATGGGGTGGAGAGGGGAGCAAAGATAGTCAAAAAAATCCATGATTCAGTAACTGGATCACAAATAGTAGGCTCAACAAATTAGAGGCCAAGATACACCACCACTTCTAACCAGAAAGAAAAGTCTGCACTAATTATTGACATTTTACAAATGCACACAGATGAATGCCCCTCCCTGGAATATGAAAGGAACGCCCCTGTTTTCAAATTCTGGCCATGAAATGTCCGGTGAGGCCATGGGATGTCCACAGCGACCAAAGTGCTACTCTGCTGTGTAGCCCAGAGTTCACTGGGATTCTGCAACCCATCCGTGAAAGGCTGGCCCCACAGCCAGGGGCATGTAGGAGTACCTGCCTGGGTAGGAGTAGGAGGGACGTCAGGAAGGCTGGAGGATAAACCAGCCTTGGGACATTGCTGTGGGAAGCTAGCAACCAGAACACACCCAGAGCGGTAGGCACAATGTTGCCGTCTGTACTATACACCTTGGCACTTAGCAACTGGGCTGTCTTCAATTTAGAAAAACCTAAAAGATACTTATTAGCACAAAAATGAGTGTGACACGTGCCTGTGGTCCTCCTGGGAGGGTCAATAGTCATTGAAAATTTTTATTTTATTTTCATCTAAATATTTTTCATTATAAAAAAGAAACTATTATAATTAAAGTCCACATTTATCACCATACTAAATCTCATGCCCTGTCAGGAAGTTGGTATGAATTCATCCAGTAGATCATCTGTAGTTACAGATGTGTTTATGCAGCAGCATCTGTAAGCAATATCTAAATACATTTTACTCAGCTAAATTTTGTTACCCTGCATGTACCTTGTATGGATTTATGTTTCTGATGCTTATAGATCAAAGCTCACTCAGGATTGCTGCATCATATAGAATCATGCAAATAAACCATCTGATACTTCCCCATTTTCTTCATAGTGGACATTGAATTCTTTTCTACCTCTTTGCTACTAAAAATAATCACACACTGGATATCTTTAATATGTTTATTTAGAAGTGGGTATAAGTCCTCCGAAAAGAGAAATTTTTACCCTGTAGGAGATGAGTATGATCAGGTTTCCAGGCTGCTTTTCTATTTGTCTTCCTGGTCCAGACCCAGAGATCTCCTTTACCAAACTCACCCAAACTTGATTTTCTCATGCTATATCACTTTTGCATGTTTGATGAAAAAAAGCACTAAGTTATTTTAATTAGTTTGCCTTTTTACAATCCTAGCACCTTTCCTGAAGTTCACCAGGGGCCTGAAGCAGTTCCCACAAGGCTCCCAGGACAGGCCTGCTGCCTGAGTCTCCTTCATGGGCCTGAATTCAGAGGACACAAACCTATCTCATGGATGAAAGCCAGCACGACCATCATTTCACAGTGGTAGTTTGCATTTAGAGTGATCCTTGGCAGGGAGCTTGTATTTTTTTCTGTCCTTCAATTAAATTACTATTAGAGGACATGATTCACAGCATCTTCAAAAATCTCTCCTAAAAACACTCTTGGAACAAACTCCTTTCACGTCTCAGAGATCAGAAAGGGAGGTGAATTAAAATTTTAAGTAAAAGCCCACCAAGAAAGCCCACTAAGAGTGCCTGCCAAAACCAAGTGAGCACGTCTGGCCAACCTTAAAACATTCCTTCCTTTGTGTAACCCATGCTTATTTAACTGTTGGCCTTGCAATGTAACTTAAAATGTTTAAACTCCCTCAACAACCATGACATCAGTCAACCCTCCAGTCATAATGCAGTGAATCTGCTTTTGTACCTCCTGCTTGTTCTCCCCATAAAAGCCTCGAAACCCTGCTGGGCAGACCTCTAACTCTTTGGGAGAGATCCCAATCAGGCCCACCAGTATAACAAACTCCCTCCTAATCTCCTCAATGCTGTTTCTTCCCATGCTCAGTCTGTTTTCCATAACACAAGCATCACAAATAAAAAGTGAATACCTCTTGATGAGAATAGTCTGGTAAATATCTTAGTGACCTAGGGATGAGCCTTTGGTCACTCCATTTGTTTCATATTTCTGAAAAGTCAGGACATTTAGAGGAAAGCTTTCTATATATCTCTGTAATACTGACTTTCCTAGCCAGAGGCAGTATCATCCAACCTCTCTGAGTGTATGCGTTTGCACACAAGTATGTGCTTCCCTTCTCTCTTTTTTTTTTTCAGTTTCCAAATAGTTTTCTTTTCTGCACATTTCACGGCAAACACTATATCTATGCTTGTATAAAGTGGGACATAATAAAACATATGAGTAAATACATAGCCTCAGGAAACAGAAGCTGAGAATTGCCCACAAACTCCACCTGCTACCAGCTATGTGGCCCTGGGTGTGCCCCGCCAACCGTCAGACTACAAAATGGAGTAGTAGTTTCTACTTCATGGTGCTGCAAGGATTAAATGACCTGTGCATAGGACAGGGGCTGGCAGCTGACAAGCACTGAGTAATAATTAGCTGTGCTAACTGAACAGTGAACACAGATTTATATACTCACTTAACAGAGTCGGACAACTTAGTCAGCACACCGCTGGAGTCCCTGTTTACATGAACCCTTGTTTGAAATCCAACCAGGATTTAGAGAGTTCAGACCGAGAGGCCTGAGGATTGGCAGGAGGGGCTCTGAGGAGTGGAATCTGCAGACCTAGAATTCCTCCTTCCACTCAGCTCCTAGCATAGCCTGCTCCAGAGACGGCCGCGTGGACACCACCTCCCTCTGCACCTGCCCCTGTGCACCTTATGCCACCCTCCAGCATGGCATCAAAACAGGGCTGGAAGGCTGCCCTGACGTTGCCAGACTCCTGCTGCCAGGTCGCCACAGGCTTTGGTGACACTTTGTTTCTCCAAGCATTTTGTATACCCGGGACTTCCCATTTGGGGAAACAAAGATGAAAAGTTCTTATAGCACACACACACACAAATTCTTTACAGCCTGTTTCCATGCTTTGTTTAGTAAGTATAACCATCTTTTGAATATCTGATGTCTCACAAAGACTACTTTCCACAGCAAGACTGCCGTTGCCGGGCTGAGGAGTAGTGCGTGCCGCACTGTGGGCTGCAGCAGCCCGGAAGCAGGAGCCCAGGAGGAAAGAGGCTTCCTCTTACATTCCCTCAGCTCTCCTTGCTTAGTGAGGCTCCAGCCTGAGTCTCAAGCCGGAGCTTTCTAGAAATTGTCTACACTGAACTTTTAATGAGGCTTTTTTAAAAGTTAACAAGACCTACATATTATTAAGTAAAATAATGAAAAGGAAATGTCTTTGGGGTTACTCTCGAGTTTTTCTATACCTTTCTGTAAGTGCATATTCTAAACATATATATATATATATATATATATATATATATATATATATATATAACATAGACAAAATATGGGTACAGCCATACTTTGCTAACCAATGGGGGTATATCTTGAGAGATGTGTAATTATATGATCCAATAATTGAGTGAATGTCAGAGAGTGTATCATACAAAATACGATGGCAATGATGCCACTAGCTTGATATCACTGTATATACTTCCTACTATTAATCAAACTATACTTAAGTGGCACATGACTGTATGGAAACATAAACATATTTACAAGCATGACTCTATCATTTCTTTTTCACACAAGTATGCATTCATACTTAAATGGAACATACATATATGAATGTCTACTATAAGGGAAGTACTACTCCAATGCTATTCATTATTAAATCATTTGATCCATCAACTATGTTATTATTATTATTATTATTTATTTATTTCACTTTCCAGATGAGGCAGCCGAAGTCTGGAACAATCAGTTTCTTGTCAAGATAGTAATGCTCTTGCTGGGCTTTGAGCCCAGGCAAGCATTGGCAAGCTCTCTTTAAATTAACTTTTCTTTTCCATTGCTGGAGATCAAACCCTAGGGCAGCTTGAGTAGACAAAACAAGCACTCACCATTGAACTACCCTACCTTCCCCAACACTGGCTTTCGCAACCACAATGGTAAAGCCCTTCAACTGGTATTTTTGACTTATTAAATAGCAGGTGAATAGCTTTCCTTACTGGTTGATACACAAAAAGATTTAATGGGAGAGAATAAAAACTTAAATGATACCCAGCTAAGCTTTACATACCCTTCAGTTCCTTGCAGACAGTAAATGGCTCCTGGGGAGAAGGGCAAACTCCTGCACTCCTATAGCCAAACTTAGCCTGCGCCTGCCCAGTGGAGAAGTGACCTGTCTGTCCTAGCCGCCTCTCCTCTCCTCTGACCTACATCACTGTAATGGTTACATAATATGTTACTGCATGATACCCTGTAGCTGGACTATATTGAGAAACAATTTGCTTCCAGTTGCAAGATTAATCCTGTATATCTTTAACAATATTATATTTCCAGAAAGTTGCTATACTTACACTATCATCCACATGGACAGAAATAACTATTTGGCTTACTGTCTAAAACACAGTGTATTAACAAATCTCTTCATGTTTGTCCAACAAATAGGTCCAAAAGTGTCTCCGTGCTTTAATCTGTGATTCCCTAACTATGACTGAAGCTCTACACCTGTTTGTGTCTTCACTGGCCCACCGTCATTTACCTTTCCATCAACATCTCTCCGTGTCTGACTCACTGTTTTTGCTTACTGGGTCACTTGAAAATTTTTTAAATGATTTTTAAGAACATTTTGTACAAAAGAAAAACTAACTTTTAGTTAAAATATATCAGTTTTTTGTTTTATACATTTATCATGTAACTTCTTAAAGTTACATGATGTCCTTAATTTTTTTTTTTTTTTTTTTTTTTTTTTTTTTTTTTTTTTTTTTTTTTGAGATACAATCCAGGCTGGCCTTAAACTCACAGCGATCCTCCTGCCCCCTTCTCTCAAGGGCTGAAATTACAGGCGTGAGCCACCATGCCTGGAGACGTCCTTAATTTTTAAAGTGTGCTTAATTTACCAGTCTTTCTTTTATGGCTACTCAGAATATTCAGAAAATGATATTGGAAAAATGTAACTCCCAACAATGAATCCCAAAGGACAAAGAGGTTAAGAGTAGGAAATATTTACTAGAAGAATGCTCCTGAGAGACAGGAGAGGTTCCCAATGTGGTGGCCACTGAGGCCCTTTGACAGGGATAATTTATACAGCAAAATCACAATATGGGTGCAATGTGGGTCAGACAATAATCAACCTATGGATGGCACATATAGCTACTCAGTTAACATTTATTCCATAGGGAGACAAGTCGGGTATATGGAAAGAATAATGCAGTTTTGGGAAGGGAGGGGAGGATGGACCTAGATGTTCTGGTCACTCACCTGTGCACCTGATTCCTATCTGGATCCACTGAACCAGAGGTTGTTAATCACAGCACAACCTCCAGCTGCTGTTTATCTCTAGTGAAACTCAGGGATCTTGCAGTACAGGGTCTCCAGATTCACCTCCAGTCACAATTCTGATGTCTTTATTTTTTGTGCTGACTTTCTTGAGGGATGGACCTGTCTGCCTATTAATTAATTTCTAACCTAACTGCCTATAATAATGCTGCTTCCTATGCTCTTCACAATGCCCCGCAGAGACATGTTTTTATCATCCCATTGCACCCTGAAGCAAACGAGTCTGAGTAAGGTCTTACAAACCACTCTCCCAGCTGCGGGTCAGAATCCCAAACTTCCTGCTTCCGACACACTTCCGTCCATAGCCTGCCAGCCCCTCTCATCTTTGAAAAAGAGTTCTCAAGTAATCATTTTGCTTCCGCCACTCTTCCACAAACTTTCAAACTTTTAAAGGAAGCCATTGCACACACACAGTGAAAGAACGTGATGACCTCAGCAGAGACATTTTCAGAAACGTTTACACTCAGCCCTGCATAGGAGGGAATCTAGGCTGCCCAACCTGTCCACACTGGGGACTGCGACACCACCCATGTCCTGCCAGCCCGCCCAGAGCAGTGCACTCCGACAGGAGCTCCTCTCCAGCAGGCTCCGCAGGCACCTGTAGCCAAGGATGGGCCACGAGAGACCTACCACAGCCCAGCGCCACCGACAGAAGAAAAAAAAAAAAAATTCACCAATAGGAACGTAGAAAAGACCATTATTTAGATGGCGTCACTGCCAAGGAGGACAGGGGCCGAGTTTCCAAGAGAGGAGCTATGCCAACTGGGTGAGACACTGGGGCTTTCAGTAAAAGTTTGAGAAGGGTATAGACAGCAAATCTCTAAAGAATCCGGATCATCCAGCACTCTGCGGATCTCTAAAGGAGCGCCTGTATTTTTAAAATTACGCGTTTCCAGCTGCAACTCTGACCAGACCACTTTTCATGATTTTTAGCTTCAGGTGGGAAGTGATCCAGAGGACTTTATCTTTCACAGAAAGGTCAGGACTCCAATGGAGGACAAACAGACCTTAGATAAGAAAGCCTTGCAGTCCTAGGAGAGCAGGGTCTTTAGCGTTCCTCTGTGCACCGAAGGCTGTAACATGATCTGGCTGCTGAGGTTTTCATCCCTTCCACCCGCGCGTGGCACAGGCCCAGCGCAACGCGGCATACCCCCGCTCACACCCTCTCCCCCACCCCGCGGACCCCCGCGCACGCCCGCTCGGGACGGAGGTGCTCGCCCCGGGGTCCCCCGCCCAGGCGGTGACGCCACCGCGGCCCGGCTCCGCCCAGTCAGCCCCGGGGCGGGGCGCGCATCGACCAATTACGGTGAGGGGGCGGGGCCCCGAGGCTCCGCCCAGCACCTGGCTTTCCGGCCCGGGAGGTGTGAACTCCCGGCCTCTAGTGACCCCGGGGTCCGCGCACCCCAGCACCATGGACCCGGCGGCTGCCGCGCAGGCGAGCGAGGCGGTCGCGGCTAAAATGCTCCAGTACCGGCAAGACGCTTCCGGCTGGAAGACTTGCCGGGAAGGCGTAAGTGGGGAGTCCGGCCGGAAGGGGTGGCACGACTTTGCTCCAGAGGGTCGGGGTCCCCAGACTCCAGGCCCTGCCTTTCCTCCGGCTCCCTGAGCAGACGAAGAGGAAGGCCATGGGGATCAGTGTTGGCCGCCTGTTTGCTGTGGCTCCGGGGGTGGGCACTGGACCTCCGCTGGGCGAGTGACTCCCCGGCGCTCCTGGCTGTGGGTGATGGTGAGATTGGAGCGCGCTCCAGCCTTTGAACCTTTGCTCAGTTCTTTCCTCCTGCGCGCCCGCCTTTGTCGTCCCAGGGGTGGCAGGGAGTACCTTACTTGACAAGGTTCTGAACAAATTGCTTTTTGCAGCAAAATGTGTGGTGGTCTTGAATGTGATATGAACACTACCCACAGCCGTGGAGCTGACCAAGTAACTAAGGGCTCTTTCTCCAGCATCCTCTGCGCCAGGTTCCTCCGGCTGTGCCAGCTGTGGGTCGGGACCTCAGAGAATCACATCTCCTGAGGCTTCTGACTTCTTTTCTACAGAAGTAGAGACTGAACCAGGAGTTCCTCTAGAGCCTGGCTAGCTCTAAAGTTGTACGATTCTGTGCCTTTTGACAGCATGGAGTTACAATTTCCTGGAGGCCATCCGTGGAGTTTGCAGGGAGCCTGTAAGTGTGCATCGTGTTCCAAGCCTGACAAGAGGCCACACCCTTCCTGGTGTCTCTGAGGTTGCTTCCTGAAAGACTCGAATCCACCCTGCACCCTGCGATCCACTCACCATTGTCTTCCAAAAATCGCCAGCTACTGGTCTCAGCTGAATCATTTCCAGCCAGCCATACCCTAGAGAAAGCTTAAAAATTCACAACCCCAGGGGAGACAGGCAGGGCTCTTCCGCTCCCTTCTGTCCTCCATTTCTGAAGGCACAGAGCATGGTTGCCCTTAGTAGGTCTCAAAATAACAAGTGTAACTGATACTTGGGGCCCAATTCCTCTCTGTGTGCCAGGTACCGAGGAGAGGGCGTTCTGTGTGGTACCCCAGAGGACGTGTGGGATTGTGTAAAGCCAGCTGCTGGGGGCCTACGAGAGAAATGGGATGAAAATGTGACCAGTTTTGAAGTTATCGAAAGCATCACAGATGTAAGTTTCTCCTGGAGTGTTACCCATGGACAGTGTCTGTGCTGTCACTGTGGGAACCTGATCTCAGTCCCTCCCAAAGGATCTGTGACACCTTTTTCAGGAGGGGTGCCCTGCATACTGGTAGGAAACAGTGTGACACACAGAGAGTATACATAGCAGTATATTATTCTGCCTGGGTGTCCCCTCAGCTCTCACTGGACAGAGAGACCCTTGGCCAGGAGTCCTCTGCCTGCTGTGGGATGTATCACGTAACACCTTCTGGATTAGCATCTCTTTTGGTAGAGTAGACTCCCATCAAGACTAGCCCCGTCTACCAGAACCTTCTTCAGTGATGGGAATGTTCAGTGACTGCTTCATCCAACATGGTAGCCATGAGGCGTATGTAGCATGGAGCTTTAGAAGGTACCTAGTTTGAAGCCATGAATTAACTTTATTTAATTTTAACTAATAACCACATGGAGCTCCCAGCTCTCATAGTAGATGGCTTAGTTAATAAACCTGCCCTGGGGCTAGAGATTTAGCTCAATGGTGTAGTGCCTGCCTGGCAAGCATGAGGTACCAAATTCAATTTCCAGTACCAAAAATTTAAAAATAGCATTTTGGGCTGGGGAGTTAGCTTAGCAGCACAAGCTCCTACCTGGCAAGCATGAGGTCCTAAGTTCAATCCTTGGTATCAAAAATTAAAATAAAATAAAAAATAAACCTGCCCTAGGATCCTCTGTAGCTTGAAGATCTAGCCTCATTTTAATTACAGAAGCTCAGGGGGAAAATATCATAACCAAAAGTAATGAGCAAGATGGCCACAAGGGCCTCAGGTCAAATGCTCACAGGGCCTCTCCTGTCAAAGTGTGCTATTTCCCAGGCCCTGGGATGTGGTGCAGGGTAGGAAAGAGAGGTCTGGCCCTCAGACACCTGGGGCCCCTTGCTTTGGCAGATGCTGTGCGTGAGCAGGACCTCCACCCCCTCGGCTGCCATGAAGCTCATTTCTCCCAGGGACTTTGTGGACTTGGTGCTGGTCAAGAAATACGAGGATGGCACCATCAGCTCCAATGGTGAGTGGTATCCAGTTGCCACTGGCTATATGGGGACATGTTGGGTTGTCCTCTACACCCTTCATACCCTCAACGACAGCCAACAGCCAGAAGCAGCCAAGAACTCACTTAAGCCCCAGCCCCCTGCCTTGGCACACACCTGCCTGTGAAGGGGCTAAGGGGCTTCTGTGCCAGGGGCTTTGTCCTGTGACTATGCTGGTCACCAGTTGATACCTGGCCCCTGCCATTGCTCTCAGCCTGCCTGGGGAGATAGGGGGCACCTCCTTTCCTCTAACAGTTAAGATTTGACAGGGGTGCTTTCCTCCTCCCAGCCCCAAACATTCCATTCTGGAAAGTTCTTCTCTAATATTCTCATAAACTGGGAGAAGTTGTATGCAGGAGTGTGTATGTATCTGTGTGTATGTGTACTGTGTGTGAGTAAATGCAGGTGTGTGCATGTTTGTGCAGGAGGGAGCATAAAGGACAGTAGCAGGTAGCAGGAGTCCCACACCCTGCCCTGGGCTCGGGGTGACCTGGTCTGTGAGCATAGGCCCTGCGTGTGGGGGTTAGACTGACCAAAGCTGTTGTTCACTGCCCATTGGAACTCCTATCCAGCTACCCATGTGGAACATGAGCTGTGTCCCCCAAAGCCAGGATTTGTGAGAGGATTTAACCATCCGTGTGGATGCTTCTGCGAACCTCTGCCAGGGTAAGAATAACCCCTGGGTACAGATGCCTGTCTCAGAACTAACCAGCTTCACCAGATGGGTACTATGAGTTAGGGTAGGGTGTCAAGTTGATTGGGTGGGTCTGTAGCTTTGGGATCTTCGCCTGGTCCTGGGCCTCCCCTTCTCTGGGACTGTTCCCTCCTCTATTCCCTGGCCACCAGGAACTAAGCACCCTCATGCCATGGTGTTCCTGCCTTGGAGCCAGCTGACCACACACCGAATCCCCCGAAACTGTAATTCAAATGAAACCTGTTCTCTTTTTATGTGGTAGATGTCAGGTGTTGTATCCAGACATGGGAAAGATGACAAATACAGGTATTTTGACTATAATTTCCAAGAATAAAAATGCCTTAGGACTCACTGTTCCAAAACTGCCACACATGCAAATGTTAGTGACATAATATGCCAAAGCACCTGGCATGCAGTAGAGTTATGAAGAAGTGTTAATTATGATGTAGAGCTGATTAGACAAATGTCATGCTCCCACTTACCAGATGGGGAAACTGAGCACAGTCAGAGGCTGGAAGGCTGACAGTGCAAGATCTGAATTCCATGTCTCTCCCATGCTCTGGCCTACCAGCCTGAGGGGCTGTGACGGGGAGTTAACTAACTATCCCTACCACACATTTTGCACTGTGACTGTCTCTTCCCAGCTCAAAGGCTAAAGGAAAAATCAAAGCTCACACTGAGTCATCCTAGAACTTGGCAGCCTCCCTTCTGGTGCGCTCATGGGCATGGCCAAGTTTACCAGAAGCTTTCCACGTGATGCCTGGCATAGATTTACCTGGGGCCACCCACATTGACAGTGAAAGAACCGCACCTGCTGGTACAGCTACAGGTGTGTCCCAGTATTTCTTACAGATGTCGAGAGCAAGGGTTTGTGTTTTTCCCACGGTGCCACCCAGTCGCTTTGGGGTGGAGGATTTTACTCAAAACTCAGACCTGGCACGTACACCCACTTGTGTGCAGCACTCTTTGCTTAAGTGGCTTTGTAAACATCCCGTGAAGGTCTTTGAGCCTGAAACTAGCATAGCCATGCTTGAACACACACGAGTTTTAGTTCCCTTAAGATATAGATGTCCAAGGTCCCATGACTTGCTAAAGATACTAAGCACTGTCTCATTTCCGTACCCTCTCTGACTGGCAGTCAGGTGCTGAGAACCACCTTTGTTGGGTGCCAGGTTTGCCAGAGAGGAGTTTTCAGAACAACATACTGTCCTTGCTCCCTGTAGACTGAATCCCAGGGCTGGCTTCCTTTGAGGGATGTATTAGTTACGTTTTGGTTGCTGGGACCAAGTATCTGGCATACACAATTTATAGAAAGAAGGGTTTCAGAGGTTTGAGTCCATGGCCAGCTGGCTTCAAGGCAGAAATGGCATGGCAGAGGCTGATCACCTCATGTAGTGAGGAATCGGAGAGCTGGAGAGGAAGGGGCTGGGAACCAGACATTCCCTTCAGAGGCTGGACCAAGCAACTCACTCTCTCCAGCCAGCCCCACCTCCTAACAGTGAGTTCAGCCAAGAACTCACTGGTGGATTAATCTATCCACAAGGCCAGCACCCTCACAATTCAGCCAACCCTCTGTGCCCCGCCTCTACTGTATTGCGAATCAAGCCCTTGATACATGAGACTCTGGGGGACACTTCGTATTTAAACCATAGCAGTATGAGCCTGCCCACACACCAGATAGCAAAGATGATAGCACAGAATTTGCAGGTTGGGCATCAGGGCCCCAGCCTCCAACTGGCACATAGGTGTTAAGCACTCATGTCCAGCTCCTGTCAACTCAAGGAAAAGTGTGTTGTCCAAGGTAGAGCTCCCTCCTGCGGGTCTAAGCCTGGCACCCTGTTTATTTCTCTATCTCATGATTACCACTGTAGTCCACATGCTTGGATTCTGCAGCCAACAGCAGCAAACATAGTGACATTACTGTGTCAGCACTTTTGTAAAACCCAACTAATTTTTGTTCTTATTACAACTTTAAGGCACTGTTATTATCCCCATTTTTCAGTAAATTTACTAGGACACAGAGAGGTATTAAGGTATGTGTAACTTACCCAAGATCACAAGCCCAGCAAATGATACAGCCATCTGACTTCAGAATCAGTGCTCCTGACTCAAGATATTGATCTGTTTTCTGTCTGTTTTTACCAAAACAAAGTATCTTCCATCTTTAGGGCTTACTTTCATTGTGCCCAGGAGAGGAAAAACAACACACAAATATGAGTAGTAGATGTCCACAATCATTGTTATGAGATGTGTAGGTTTGGCGAAAACTAAAGCCGAAGGGTGACCAGGAGTGGGTCTCCCAGAGGTGAGCAGAGGCTCCCTGATGGTGTCTGAGCAGCCCTCAGTGCAGGAAGCTTGGCATGGCAGGCAGGGGGTTGAGACAGGAGCAGGGGCAAAGTCCCAGGGGTGGAGCAGGCACAGGCATTCAGGGCGTGGCACAGAGGGAGGTTGCTGTAGGTGGCAGAGGCCGTGTCCCGGAGCACTGAACTCCAAGTAAAAGGGAGCCTTTGGAGAGTGTGCATGGCTATGCTTTGACTCCACTTTAGCTGCTGTGATGTGTCCAGAGCAGACAAGGCAAGAGCCAGAGCAAGGAGCCTCTAACAGTCATGAGCAAGTCTGAGGTTCTGGCTACATCACCCCTCAACATAACTGAGAATCCAAAAGGGCTTTTGTTCTGGGGCGAACCTGTCATGCCTGTCAGCTCAGCATCCCGGTCACACTAGTGAGATCATCAGCCCCTACATCTCACCCATGAGCATGTTGGAATTTAAACCAGGCAAGTTAAGAGATGCCTATTTTAGAAGCTGTAATACGTGCATTCATGCCAACATAAATAACATATTTATGAAAATTAACTTTTTCAAAACAAAATTTAGTACTGAGAAGAGCAGCCCAGTTTCCCTTCTTGCAAACCCTTTCCGGTCAGGCTGGGTAGAAGCTCATGCCCATCTTTGCAGGCTGTGTGTGAATCCTCAGGGGGAGAGGACAAAGGGTATTTCACATCTTCATGGTTCTGTGCCAACAGTTGTGACCTCACAGAGACTCAGGAAGGGCCTGGGTCCCCGCAGTGAAAGTGCTGCCTTCATTGGGTAGGGGCAGGTAACATGCCAAGCCTCTGTCTCCAGGGCCTGGCATGGAGGGGTGAGCTCTCAGCAGCATCTGTGGAACATGTCAGAAGCTAGGAACTACCTCCTTGGGCTGGAGGGAGGGACTCCTCCCTGCCTACAGGCCTGGGGCGCTGTGGGACGTGCCCATATGGGGACAGGAAGCACTGATGGCAGCACAGAATGACCACTGTGGTGGCTGTTTCTGCCAGGCGGAGCTCTGCTTGCCTGAAGGTGCAGGGTCCTGACACGGCTCCCTTTTTGCCTTCACAGGGAGCCTGGCAAGACCAGGCTGATCACATTCTTCCAGACAGACCTCAGCGGCTACCTGCCGCAGAGCGTGGTGGACTCCTTCTTCCCACGCAGCATGGCCGGCTTCTATGTCAACCTTCAGAAAGCAGTGAAGCAGTACCACAGCTGAGCTTTCACGTGAGAGCTGGTGGAGGTCCGCCCTGGTGCACAAGGATCTGGCTTCTGCTCTGTGGGATACTTGGTGGGCAGCGAGACTCTGAGTGCCAGCCATGGGCAGCAGGTGCTCCTCTTCCCTCTGTTTCAGCTCTGCCTAGGATCCAAGCATACTGCTGGGTGGACCCAGGCTCTTGGTCACCCAACAGGAACTCAGCTGGGTACTGGATGACACCCCATGGCCCAAAGCCCTAATGCTAACCCCTCCCGGAGTCCATGTGCTGTGTCCTAGAGAGCCGTGACCAGTACTGAACACTGTGTCCTGCTGGGTGTCCTGCACCTGTGTCTCCCCCACACTGTACTGTAAGCTCTGACTCTGGTCTGTGTTAATACTGCACAAGATTCCCCTCTTAATGTCCACTTGGGAAATGATAATTTAAACAATGAGATAAGCCTTAAGGGAAGTACTTCAGGAAGTGCCTTTGTGTGTGCCTTCCACTGATTTCTGTTCCTCTTCTGTCTTCTTTTCCCTCTGTGAATTTACCTCCCTGGCCCCTCACTGTTTGCGTCCGCCCTGTCCAAACCCACAGCCTGGTGGTGATTAGAAACTGAACCAGCTCTTGCCCTCAGCCCAGCTCTGGGGAGAAAAGTCGCCCCACCCAGGCATCTGTCTGCCTTTTCTCTCCACTCCTGTGGGGCCAGGACAGGGACAGAGGGACAGAGAGGCCAACCTAACCAGCCTGGCTGGATGCTCGGGATCTGCCTTGGAGCCTGCAGGGCCGGGGCCCTACCAGCCCAGCATAGCAGCTCAGCTTCCACCCTCCAGAGGTTTGGCTGGAAGCTCACACCTCTCCTCTCCCTCTTCCCTGTGAGGCTGCACAGCCAGGGAGGGACCTTCATGACCCTTCCCACCTTCACCTTGGGAGAGACCCTGGAGGTGAAGCTGCTCCTGTACCTTAACCTGCGGGGGAGTTTCCATGGAGCCCTCCTGTTGTCCCTGTAGACAGAAACACTTCTCTAGGGGAGAGCAGCCCCTTCCCTACCTTGGAGGTCTGCAGTGACTCTGCCAAGATGGAAAGAGCTCTCTGTTCTGTCAGCTCAGCATCCTGGTCACACTGGTGAGATCTTCAGCCCCTACATCTCACCCAGAAAGCTCACTGGGACGCTTGTGTTTGACTTAAACTCATTCATTCCCAATGAGTGCATATGAAGCCGTGCTGTGTGGTCAGTCCTGTCCCGTGTCAGGTCCCCAGGAGCAGACTGGTTTGTGGCTTCTCTGAGGGCCAGACCCCAGAGGCAGTGGCCTTGCCAAGACGGGACCACCTGTGGACCTATCTAGTAGGCTGGAAGATCAGCCTCTCAAGGACAGGACTCATCAGGCCCATAGGACACACTGTGCCACACTGCCTGGCACCATGCTTCCCGGCACACCGTTAATAGGGTTCTGACTTGAACCCTAGATAAGGAGCCAGGAAGCAAGTCTGCTTTGACTTCTTACCTCCCAAGAAAGTGGGTTGGTGCTAATACCAACCCCAGGGTGGTTTCTGACATAAGCTCTGGCACAGTGGAGCTGGTGTGAGAATCAGAACAAGGGCTGCAGGGAGAGTGCGCTGTCCCTCTGTGAGGATGCCCTATCCTTCCCACCTGGGGAGGGGAAACCGGGAACAGCATATTCCACGCCTGTGCCAAAGAAGATGACCAGGGGAAACATGCTCAGTCCAGCAGCGTGGAGCTCCAGGGGATGAGCCTTTATTTAAGGAGCTGGGTGACTTCTACCTGAGGACCTCCTTGGCCTAGAGACCAGGCAACTGGTTTCATGTGTCCTCAACAGCCCTAAAGCAGCTGGGTGTGGCAGGGAAGGGACCAGCGGGGCAGAGACAGGAGGAACACTGGAAGGGAATGTCACTATTTACCATGATAGTGAAACTCAAAACAGGGGAGACATGTTCTCTGCTGTGTGGCCGCACTGTCCAACCCTGGAAGTGTGTGTTACACCTTTCACTGCTGGGGCAAGTTCACCTTCCCTGTTTCCTTTAAGCTGAGGCCGCTGATAGAAATGGTCTCACGCTTCTAGTCTACTTGCTCATCTACTGTTTGGCGAGACTCAGAGCAGGCTGAATGAGGCTCTAAAGTATGTTCCAAAGCCATTGTTTCTCAGAGCGAATAAAACAATGAGCTGATGCCAGCTGTGCTGATGTCACCCAAGGAGTTGACAAGTAGACTAGGAGACCCCAGGCTTTCTGACCGTCCACTGCCAGGAAATGGCTTCTTGTCTTCCTACAGGCCCTGGAGAAGCCACCAGTCTACACTGTCATGATGCCATTGGTAATGACCTGGAAGAAGTGCTTCCAGTGTTTTGTCTGTGGTCCTTGTCCCTACTTCACAGGAGCAGGGACTGGTCCCAGGGAGCTTGCTGTTCTAAGTCACACTGACTTCTCCAAACTCGGCAATAAGGCATTTGCAGTAATGAAAGCAAATAGCTCCTTGGCCAGGCATTCTGAGGTGTTTTCCCTACAGTGCTGGGCCTTAAAATCACCTTTGCCTCTTTGTCTCTACTGGCGACAGGAGGAAGGACTCCACCCAGCTGCACAAATCATGCACTGTCCCCGCGTCTCTGCACATCAATACCCTGACACAGCCCTGTGCTGCGGGAGCCACGTGATCACCAAGCTACCCATGTAACAGACTACACAGAGCGTGGCATGAGGTGGCTGCAGGCAGCAATTTTTACTTCTCGTTCGTATTCATGCTGGTCCATCCTGGCACACTTGTACACACTTAGTTTCACCAGCATGCCTCTCAGCTCCCTGGGTCCATCACCGGCACCATCCTAACTGACCGCTTCTCCAACCCAAACAAAAATAGATTTTTGGAAAACACAGGCTGTGTTTTCCAAAAAACAACCCAGGCAACATTTCCCCTCCCCTTAAGCCTGGCAGATCCAGGCTGGCTCTAACCCAGAGTCGAGTGGAAGACTGAATTCCCCAGGCACCAGGCCAACCACTCCCACTTGAGAGGGGAGATGTCTTTCACATGCCAGTCTTGGGATGGTCCACTAGGGGTCAGGCGACACAGGGACAAACTGTCCCTCCGAGTTCTGCCTCATGCAGACTCACAAAACGAAGCTGCTGCTGCAGATGGATTGTGACATGGTTACAGTACTTGTAGGAAGTGGCAGAGCAGGACATGGACTTGCCAGATTGCAATATATGCATTTTATTATGGCACCGTAACATCTCCCCTAAGCTCTCTATATACACAGTCTACAGTTTGTATCAGCCACCCCTGTGTGACCCTGTTCACTTTGGGACGATCTGCTTATGGGTAGTGTCCCAGAAGGTCCAGACCTGAACAGCAGCCAGCAGGCCACACCCCTGGGCTTCCCTCCAGTCCCGGTGGGGTGGACAGCAGAGACCCTGAGAATCAGCATTACGGAAGCTATGCACCGTCAGCTTAGCTTGGCTTCTGTGTCGGCTCCTTCCCTGCCTTAGGGTCCTCAGCAGCTTAGGTCTCCTTGGCCTGCAGACTCTTCCTTTTGAGGACAATCGTGACAGGCCCATCAGGAAGAGCCTTGATGACATTCCAGGCTTCAAATCGCGTGAGGCCCTGCACAGCAGTGCCGGCCAGTTGCAGGATTTCATCTCCAGGCTGAACTGGCTCGCACTGTTCTGAAGTCGCCCCTGAAATTATGGAGAAAATGATTGTGGGTTCCTCAGGTAGCGAAAATAAGAAAAAGTACCTTCCACTTTGGCCTCTGAGGAGCCAGGACACTGGGAAGAGAGTAGCACCCCATCCTTTGGAAGCTTGGTGGTCCAGAATGAGCCCCTCATACTCTGGGGACAGCGTGACACCAGGCTCCTCTCTCTATGGCCTCTGGAAAGTTGTGGCTCATGGTACCCCAGGAGGAGATTTCAGGCTCTAGCTTCAAAGAATGAGAAGCTGCGTTCTCCTTAAGCAGTGGAGGATACAGAGCCACCTCCTGCACCCTCGGCCTTCCCTTCTGCTGGGGTCATTGGCACTAGCTGGGCTGGGAAGGGCACTGGAGAGAAGCAGTCTCCATGGGGCTCCTGGAGAAGACCTCTAGTCTGTGTAGAAAGGACACATTCTTCTCAAGTTGCAGGTGGAAACAGTACTTATTTATTACTGTTTATATTGAAAGAAAATCTCCCATTCACTTGACATTATGATCTTATAAGGAGTGAATAAGAGTGGAAAATAATAACAATCATAGTGAAAATATTGCTAAGTCTATTGACAATTACTGTACCAGGTATGGTACATGTGTTCTGTGTTTGTGCCAGTGATGTATGAGGTATGGACAGTTTGTGTTCCTTTCTCACAAGGAGGAGACCAGAGACACAAATAACTGGCTCAATGCTTCAGAGCTACTGGTAGGTAGATGTGGTTTTGAACCCAGACTTTCTGACTCATTCCTGGGTGACCAGACCAGGATGGAAAGATGACTGGCCTAACTAAGGCCATACCACTACAGTAGCAGAGGTCATATAGTCCCAAGTCTCCAGATCCTGGGTCTATGCTCAACTTCGAGGTTAAAAGTGTATTTCTCAAAATTGGGGTTAACATGTATTCTGGAGGAACCTCCACACAGGCCTCAGTCTACCCTCTGGGTTTCCACAGCTCCCACACAGTTTCCTCTAACAAAGCCAGTTCACTGTGGGCCCATAGAGGCAGGGACCCTTGGGTCCCATTCTAGGAGCCTCAGACCCCCACCTTCCCTATTTCTTTTTATGAACAAGAAGCCACTGACCCAGAAGGGACTGGTCCCCAGCAAGTTAGAGGCAGAGCTGGGTGACAACCCAGGCCACCTATCTCCCCATGCAGGGCTCATCACTCCGTGGCTCCTTGCTTTGAGGGGTTCTGACCCACAGACTTCCTGCTTGAGGGACAGAAAGAAGTTGGGGTGACCATTCATGACTTCCAGCTCTGGTTGACTCTGATGACAGACTGACTTGCACCCCAATCCATGAAGGACAAAATATCAAACTTAAATGTAAACAGGAGCAGAGAGAATAGGGTGAGGCCAGGGAGGCCACGTCATACTAGTGTACACCAGACTCTGACTCTGTTTAAGACTATGGTTATTTTGTGCATCATGGATCTTAAAAATTAATTTTGATTCTTAAAAAAATTGCACATAGGAATTGGATAGATCTTGATGACTGTGCCTCAGATGCCCCACCTGCCCCTGGCCCTGCTCCGTGGGAACAAACCAGCCCAATCACTTAAGAGGGACAGCATCAAAGTAAGGGGACATCTGAGCAAAGGAGAACAGGCTGAAAATTCAAAACTGAGTTCCAAAGACATGGCTCTCAAAACGATACTGGTCACTGGGAAGCCAGTGGGGCCCAAAGGCTTCGAGTGCCTTCTGGGCCTCTCCCCATGCCCAAGACCAGAGCCAATGCAAACCGCAGCTCACTCCGCACCTTTGAAAATCCTGTTGACCGTGAGAGGCTTGTCTCCGTGCAGTGAACCCTTCCCTCCTTCCAGGCTGAAGCCCAGCCCCGCAGACGTCTTCTCCAGTGTTACTGTGCAGACTGTGGCCTCTGTGGCTAAAGAAACAAGGGCTGTGTCACAGACCCCTTCTCTCCTGCCACAGTGACTTGGCTACTGCTCCAGCCCAGCACACACACAGTCCACCCACACACATCTCAGCAGCAGCCTGCAGAACGCTGAGCAGCCCCAGCAGCACCAGCCCCATGTGGTCAAGGTCATGTGACCCTCAGAGGTTGCACAGCTAGGACAACTTACTGGATTCCGCAGAAACATCGCTGGCTGCTGAAGCTGATGCTGCAGAGTCTGTGGAGGAGTTCAGGTCCAGTGTGGCCTCCAGCGTTGTCCGCCGTGTGACAATCACAGCTTGTCTTGGGTCCCGAGCTTGGCGGAGGATGGCCAGGGCGTCGCTGTGCGTGGCACCTTTGAGGGACTTGCCATTGATAGAGAGGACCTCATTGCCCCTCTGAATCGTGCCTTCCTGGGAGGCCAGCCCATTCGGAAACACTCTGTGAACCTTTGAGAGCCAAAGAAGTCAGAATGAGGAGCCACCTACACAGGGTCCACATTCCTGCCGGAGGACAGTCTGGACCAACCTAGCCAGTCAGCCAGCCCTGGAGAATTTTTAGGCTAAAGAAAATGGATTGGTCCTGTCCTAGATCATGGCAGCTTCCCAGGAGCCAGCTGTCCTTCCTTCTCTGCCCAGCAGGGATCACAAGAGCAAAGACCAGATAAACCCTCAGAACACTCCCAGCAGTTCTGTCCCTGCGGTCCTCTCAAACATGGAGGGCAAGCTCAGGCCTGCCCCACCTCCTTCAGCATTTCCTCAGCCACAGCCCTTAAGCACCGATTTTATGGTGTGTCCACAGGAGAAAAGGTTTCTAAGATCAAAAATCTTGGGGGATACTGTGTTAAGCAAAATCTCTAAAAATACCTATTCTTCAAGGACATTCTTAGAGGTCCTGCCATGGAGATGTGCATCTCAGCTCTCTAAAACTAGGCACAGAATACAGTGTCTCCGACCGAGCACCACAGCTGAGGTGTTTTCCACAGAGGCCCATCTTCCACGGATGCATTTGAGGTAGCCTATCCTAGACAGTCTAGATATTTTTAAAGCATTCCCCAAGAAATTCTGATTCTTTACCTTCAGCCACCTCTTGGTCCCCTTTTTACAAGATCTGTGGGATTTAAAAAAATCTCGTACCCTTGGCTCAGCCTGTTAAAAAATAATCTTCACCTTTGTGATTAAAAGGGTTGGATGACCACTCATGAGACATCATTGTTTTACTTTTATGATGTGTTTCTCTACGTGGTTTTGGTGATTTTAAAAAATTCTATTATGTGACCAGGCATGCTTAGAATCCCCAGCTTAAGACCCAAGCATGGCACAGAAACATCGCAGAATCTCCAAAAGAAGCATAAACACTATAAATAATTTAACCTAAGATATGGGAAAGATTAATTTAGACAACAGGTCACCGAGGGCCCAGCATAGTGCTTCATGGTGGACAGTGCTCTGTGTTGGTTCCCTTTTAATGAGTTCAGAAAGGACGAGAACAGCTCAGACAAGGAAGGAGAAAGAGGAAGTGTTTGCACACATGCTCAGCCAACACGCACCACTTCCTCCTGGCTTCGGAGTGGCTGCAGTGTCACTAGGTGGACTGGCCAAGTAGGATGGAGAGGAGTCATATTCAAGCACAGAGGAAAAGATCCACGGTGCTGTTCTCACAGGCACACTCTCTTTTCTTCTCGTCAAATAGAAAGTGACCTCCAACCGCAGGAAACTTCTGCAATGTCAGCTAAGCACTGAATAGCAGGAACTGCACTCACATATTTTATGTGCTCTTTAGTGGGAAACCACTTGCAGAGAAATTGAGGAAGTCACTGCTTAACATGGGGCTCACGGAGCGGGTCGCTGCTACAAGAAGTTGTGGACAGCTTTACGCTGGCCTGTGCTGAGTGGGAGGACTTGCTTTTCAGTCAGAAGACTTGAGTGAGGCTGCACTGCCTACCCAAAAGATTCCCCAAGACACAGAGTTAGGGGTGGCAACACTGCATCCATGTGTGGGGAGAAGGAGCAACCTGGTCCCTGACAAACACAGCACCAAACCCCAAGTGGGCCAGGGCCAGGTGACCAGATTGCACTGGAAAAGATGTATAGCCCCAGGCTCTCGTGGGGCCTGTGTGGACAGGGGCTGAACCCTGAGACCTGATGCAAGTCTATGCTCATGTACAGACATCACCTTCCCTCCAGCCAGCACCCATCACTGGGCTCTGCCTCCCCAGGCTTCTTTGACTCCAGGCTTATTCGCTAACTGCTATGGCTGGGTCACGTGACCCTCCAAAATGACCTGAAGTTAGACATCATTTGCATCTGAAGCTCAGTGACCACTTTCAGTTTCTAAAATATTTCCCCAGTGTCTTCAGAAACACTGATGTTAGGGCTACAGCCTTGCAAAATTCTGATTCAGATCTTCTAGCATGAAATGGAAGCACACGCATACTCACGTGTGAACACGGAGCTATACAGGTGACTCCGTTGATTTTGGTGCCTTAACACTGTCCTGGTACAGAGACCTTCTTTGCTTAAGTTAGGATTATGATGAGGGTCGAATAAAAGGTCACACAGGTCCTGGTGGCTCTCCTTTGAAATCCTGTCCTGACTCCTGATCAGTAGCATGGTATGTGCATCCCTCTGCTTCCTGGCACACGGCCCCTTCCCAGCAAGTCTGTCCCCAGAGCTGTCCCGCTGGCTGTGCCATCACAAGTCTCTTACCGTAATCAACTTGTTTTCTAAATCTGCTCCTCCTGCCAAGCTGAACCCAAGGCCTGCACCTTCTTCCTTGTGCAGGACAGTGACGTGGATGCTGTCCAGTTGCTGTGGGTGAAACACACATATTAACCATTTCCTGTAGCCAGCACAAGCCACTGAATGACTGTTCTAGCATGGGATCAATCTGCTTATCAAACACCAGCTGGCTCAGGCTCCAACTCCTGCCACCTCCACAGACGTAGTTTCAGTTTGATTGTCTGTGAAGGAAGAACTGTACTTTCAGACGTGACAGGAAGCTCAGAAGGAAGCAACTGCACATAAAGTGGCTCTGTTCCTCTCTTGCTCACCCATGCACACCCACATTCACATGAACTGGGCTAAGTACTCCCATGTCAGCCATAATCCCAGTGTGCTGGACACTACAGCTTGGCCATGTCACTACAGGACCAGGCACACTATAGGACATTAGGTCACAAAGCCCAGGGGGTGTTGCTGCTTGCAGAAGTTGACTGCTCCTTCTCCTCTGAGGGCACAGTGGCAGTGGTGAGAGGACCACAAACACACATATGCACACATGTACACACATGCAGGCAGACATGGCACTTTCCAGACTGGACAGGCACTCAGGACAACCCCCTCCACATGCAAGTCAGATTCCTGCTCCAGCCTGCAGCTGGCTCTCATCCTGCAGCACCTCTGGGCACTTAAGTGAAAGAAACAGGCAGCTGTGAGTGATGGGAGCTGCAGAGCCAGAGACAAATTCCTGTCAGAAGAGGCTGCCGGGAGATGGACACCCAGGCTACCAGATCATCCCTTTAAAGAAAAAAGTTCGAAGCCCAGGTTTTGGGTTAGGTTTTATAATGTAGAATTCAGTAATTTACATCACAAGAGAGACCAAAGAAATATGTTTTTTGGGCTGCATGATCCCTGGGCCACCAGTTTTTCACCTGGCTGCTAGGAGATGAAGTTCTATTAGAATTCACATGCATGGACTGGGGTTGCAGCTCAGTAGCATAAGCACCTTCCTGGCAAATGCAAGGTCCTGAGTTCAATTCCCATTACCAAAAAATAAAATAGAAACGACAAGAATTTACATGTAGCTGACTCTGTGATCCTTCAAGTTGGGGCCCAGAAATGATTTGGATTGAAGGCACTTCTTGGCCCAGCTCTAGCCCATGTCTCCCCAGTCCTCTTCCTGGAAGTTCAGTGGAAGAAGAAACATCCAGAACCCCAGCATACCCTTTACCTTCCCTTATTTCATTTGTGCTGAGGTGGGCTTCAGAGAACCGTGGTCCACACAGAGGTGATGAATGAGATTCAGCAGAGCAATGGCCTAGACTTCTCATGTCCATCAGATGTGGCTACACTTTTAGCCTTGGAACTACAGTGGTACCTTGGTTCAGGAACCCTTTTATTTATAAACAGTTCAGTTCTCAAACAAAAAATGTTTGGCAAAACTTAGGTTTTGTTTGCAAACTACATTGGGCAGCAAACACTACCATGGCCATGTTCCCCACACAAACAAAAACATGGCCATCTTTTCCAGAATCAAGAAACAAATTAAGTTCGTGAGCCAAAGCACCACTGTACAGTTCTCAGAACTCATCATAGAGAAAAGGAAGCTCTCCTTGTCCTTTCACCCCAGTCTGGATCATTCCTGCGTGTTCAGGAGCTGCGTATAGAATCTGGGCAGCCCACCCACATCTGAGTGGTGGCCCACTTCTGCTCACATCCTCCGGCTGTGCACAGAAGGCGTTCAGGAAGTGGGGCTTCAGGATGATGTGCCCAGAGCATGGGGCACTTGTGAATTCGTGACAGAAGTAATAAGAGCTTGAGGTGAGAGCTCTAGGAGGCCACATGCTGACCATAGGCAGTGTGCTGCCAGGCATCCTGTAGGACATGGGAACAGCACTGAACTTGAACTTGGAGACAGAACACCTAAGTGTTGAGAACTTTAGCCTAATCTTTTCATCTAAAAAGGACAAAAAGATGCAAGAAATTGGTATATATGGTGCATGCCTGTAATCCCAGCACTCAAGAGGCTGAGGCAGGAGGATCGCTGCAAATTCAAAACCAGCCTGAGCTACAAAGTGAACTCAAGGACAGCCTGAACTGTATAGTGAGACCCTGTCCCAAAAAGCCATGAGGAGGAGAGAAAGGGAAAGAAGAAGAGGAAGAGGAAGAAAAAGAAGGAAAAGAAGAAAAGATAATCGATGTATTAGAAGGACTCCCTATGCAGAAAATTTCCTGTGGCACGAAGGACTCAGGTGCGGGCAGCCTATGAAGCCGCCTTCTAGACCCTCCAGGTCTGGGGCTTCTTGGGTTGCTCCCCGGCTTGAGCTCTTTGGAAACCTTGGCAGACCACACAGCCAGCCCACAGTAGCCCTGTCACTCTACACACACGCAGAGGAATCTACCTTCAAGGTTGCTTCATCCAGAACTCTCACTTCCTCGATGAGTTTCTCCAGCTCTTCTGAACTCAGCAGGGAGATGACCGACTGACCAGACTGAGAGGAGCTGTGGTCCCCATCCTCAGCTTCCCTGGGCTCAGCGAGACATTCTGTGTATTCTCTCAGCTCTGAAAGACTTCCATGGGGAGCATGAATGCAGCATTAATAAGAGCTGCTGTTTATTGCATAATGCTTATTGCATAATTCCAGGCATGGCCATTCTATTATTTGATGCAGCAAATCTATTTCTCAGAAACATCAGAACAGTAAATAAAAACTGCCAGACAGAGAGCAACGCTGATTCCAGAGCAAAGCCCAGCTCTACAATGGAAGCTGCCAAGCACCCCTGCCAGTCCCAGCCCGGAGAAGCAGGACTCTCCTGCACTGCTTTCAGCCAGAATGGAAACTGAGGCTGAAGGTGGGAGGAACCTGCTCAAGGTCAGCAAGTCAGCTGCTGAGCTGGGAGTAGAAGCCAGATGTCCTGATCCTCTGTGGAAATCTCTGGGGAGAACTGGTCAGGGGGCGTCCTGTGTCCCTGCCTCCCAACCTTCCTGACTCCCAACTTCTAAATATGGGAGGCGGAGATGTAGCACACACTTGTGCACACACTAAAGGAGAGGAGGAACCATTTCCTGGCTAGTACATCTGAGAAATTTTTGAAGCAATATAAAGGATTGGAAAAGAAGGAAAACAGAAAAAGCAAAGCAGGAAGCAAGCACAGCGCGGCCCTGGCAGGCACTCACTTGAGCGAGAACCCGGTGTCCACGGCGGCAGAGTCAGAGCTACCAGCGGCAGAGTCTTCGCCAGGCAGTGGCTTTGGAGCAGCCCCTTCCTTGGGGTTGAAGCTTGGCTGGCTGCAGGAGACAGAAGAGGGGAGGCACAGCAGAGACTTCATGACGGCCGAGGACACGTGGCTGCTGATGGAGTAGAGCTTGCTGGTCTTCTCATCTAGCAGCCTCGCCTCGCAGGACTGCGTCCGCGTCAGGGGGAAGCTCCGTGCTCGCTGGCTTGGCATCTTTATGATGGGACCTGAAGTATCCTCCTTCTGCGTGCCCAGCAGCCCCGTGAGAGGGTCAGGGGCAGTGGAGATGCTTTTCAAAGCCTGCTGCTGCCCTACGGGCGGGAACAAGGTCACACTTGTAGTGCCAGCTTCTGAGGTCACAGGGAAACCCAGGGACACCTGCTCCTGCCCTGGCTGCCTCTGCTCGGCAGAGGTTGGAGCCCCTTGCACCAAAAGGCCAGAAGGCCGGCCTCCCTCTTGCTTCCCAGAAGGCCTGGGGGCCTCCCTGGAGGAGGACTGCAAGCTCAGTCTCTGAACTGCTCTATCAGGCAACTGAGAGGAGCCAAAGGTTTCAAAGGAGCTGATTCTCTGCTTGATGGAAGAGGTGGCCCGGGGAAGTGGCCCAGGGGACTCCTTGGAAGCAGGCATCGGCTGAGCAGAGGAGGCCGAGTCAGGAAGGCGTCTCAGGTCTGCAGCACGAGTCCTCAGGCCTTTCAAACTCTGCCGAAACCAAGCAGGCTTGGGAGCCACAGGAGGCCCTTTCTTCACAGTGCTGCTGTCTGCTGACTTGTAAACTCGGGGTGTGCCATTGGCAGCATCCAGCCTGGCCGGGGTCCCATCCGGGAGACTCTGTGTGCCGTCTTCACCCAGGCTGACACTGGGCTGTAGTGGCATGTGGCCGTGGCTGTCACTCATGATGGGGCTGAATAAGTTTTTGATGCAGTCAGAAATCCTAACCCAGGGGTCTTCGGTGGTGGTGTCAAAGCTACAGTTCATCCGAGCTTGCCTCTTCAGCAGTCTGGATTTTATGGGGGACCCTGGTGTCACTGGGGAGCAGAAACAAAGCCTGGGATGTGCATTACATTTCATGACAACTTTTCTTCCTAAATTCTAGTTTTAGAGCCAAACAGTGAGGAGGATTTTGGAAGAGGAGATTACAGAAGGGGAGATGCCCAGATGGCCATGGGCACCACACAGGATAGGAGGCCCAGAGGGAAGTGAACTTCCAGCACCTGGTACCCCAGTATGGGAGATGTTCCCAGGAAATTTCTGGGTCTCTGAGGCCACAGGGAAAACCAGGGACACCTGCTCCTGCTCCTCCTCAGGCATCTTACACTGGAGGATCCCAGCATTCAAGAATGGGAGTCATTCTGAATGCAGAGGCTGGAGAAGACCCCATATCCCCTGACTGCCCACTCAAGCTTGAAATAGCCTTCCACATCACTCACTCAAAATGTAAAAGCCAAACAACTTTCTTACCTTTTAAACCTTTAAGCCAAAGGTCACAGCTGGCTGCCGTATTTGGTTTGGACTGCCATGTCCTTGTGAGACAAGGTGACCCAGCCAACCCATCGTTCTGCTCTTCCACCCAGTCAGTGGCTCCCACCTACCTGCCTCTACAGTCCTATGAGTTTGCTAGTCTGCCTACATTCAGGTGATGGATCAGCTTGCTCTATGACAGAGTTTTGCCCATCTAAAGAGCTTAAAAGGTTCTGGGTTGAGAAGCTCGGTGACACTGACTCTCAATCTTGGCTCTGCACTGGAATCTGAAGGTCCACTCCCAGGTTCTGGTGAGATAAGACTGAGATGCAGCCTGAGCCTAGAGGGACAGGACCTCAGGCTTGCCTTTCACCCCAGGTATGGAGCCATCATTATCAGAAGCCAGCACTGACCTGGCATCCAGTCTGCATAGGTGAAGACTGTCCTTGACTCTTTTCTAAAGACAGCTGAGGTCTTCCCCTGAGCCCTGAAAGCCAAGGAACTAAGCGGATGTGTGGCTCTGCCACCTTTAGCTTTTGTCTAGAGTGTGTCACTCTGTGCACTGGAGTCAGTGGTGCATGATGCCGGGGTGCAATCTAGGTTAGGAGCTCTGGTCATTCCTGCCTCTGGTCACTTCCAAGGAAGCAAACAGTGATACAGAGTGAAGCTCCACAGGAATCCCTGGGTGGGCACTAGAGTCAGGCTCTTCAGCCAGTGAGTCCAGTCTCCACCATCTGCTTCTGTACTGATAAACTGCCCAGCTGTAAGGGGCCACTGTGCTGAGAATCCCAATCAAATCTCCCACAGGCAAGCTATTTGTAATCCAGGTGGGGACTCAGCTGGGATGCCTAAGGGAGGAAGCAAGTGGCAGGTACCTGCTTGATGAGATGTGCTAAATCTGTCTCTTCTCGGTGTCCCTTAGCTGTCTGGGGACTCTCATGTCACTTCCTGTAGTGTCTCTCAAAGACGCATGTGGTTCTCGGCCTACATATTTATTTCTTTGCTGTAACAATGAGGAGACGGAGCTCCTCATTACAAGAATGATTTTTCATCTCCCCTCCCCAGTACCATGCCCAGAGTCTCCCAAATCTGGCATTTCATGTATGTAGCTGAATTAAATCACAGGCTGGAATTTAAGTGATCCACACCTTGCCAATGAGATGAGCGAGCGAGTGAAGGCTTTAAAGGCAAGCTGCCCAGAATCATGGAGAGTGATGCATAGGTACAGGATTTTCTGCCTCAAAATCCTGTAATCCCGTGCTCAAAGTACTCAGGTCACATCTCAGCACTGTCAGGTGTACCATGTGGACACGCCCTTGCTGTCCACCTCCTGGAAGAGGTGACCACCAACAAAACCCCACGTATGCTTTCCCTACTCTGTATTCTAACTTGGAGTACTACACACAGCTGGCACCCGGCAGGTGCTGCCCAGGGGCTCTGTGACTTTGAGCTCTTTCCATGGCTCCAGTCTCCTGTTGACAACCTGGAGTGCCCTAGGTTCCCACCGCAGCACCACAGTCCAATCAGGTGGCTCCTTTCACCCATCCCCCAGCACGCCCACCCGCCACTACAATGCAAACTCTCACTCTCTAACCAGAGCTCTCCACAAGGCTCTTCCTTCAGGAAAACTTCCGAGCAAGCTCACCTGGGCTGGCTCTCCTCCCGGGCTCACCGTCTGAGGAGGACGGGGCCTGCAGGCTGACTCCAGGTCCTGAGCAGACGGCAACAGTGCAGGGGGCTCTCCCTATGGTGTCTTCCGGTGGTGGTGGCAGTGGCTCACTGCCTTCCTGTGGTGTAAACAGGAAGCAAGACTGTGTCAAAACGGTAGCCTCCCGCTGCGAGAAGGCAAGGCACACTTTGATGAGGGCTGGAGAGCAGCTGTGAAGCCGCCTTCACTGGTAAAGTCATCAGCAGCTACGCAGAGAGGGTCCTTCCTTTCCCTGGATGGCCAGGGCACCTCTCGGGCACTTGACATGTCACCTGACTTCCAACAGCTTGCCATCTACAGGAGACAGACCCCAGGTGTCTGTGATGAGGACGAGGGGCTAGTGCTTCTTTATTTATAAGCATGTGGTAGCCAGTGACCCCCCAGGAGGGTACAGAGCCTCGTGGAGTCAGGTGGCAAAGGAAGTGTCCTTGAATTAAGGTTGCAACACTCAGGAACATACCTGTGGATTGCTTTCTCCATTGTCTCTCAGGATTAGAGCCTCAGCAAGCAGTCTGCAAAGCATGACACAACTGGAGTCCATGCTAGGCTCCCCTCTGCAGCCCCTGGGCCATCATCACTTCACTGCAGAATTGCTTTGCTCTCAGTATGGGATGCAGCCCCAAAGAGCCTAGGAGGAGCCGGAGCAGCTCCAAGTAAGCAGGTAGAACTGTGGCTGGTCACCCAGCATGAGTGTGGGGCCACAAACACCAGTTCTGTCCCAGAGTTTCACTTGGCTTCACCAGAGAAGTGCTTTCTGGCTGCTTCTTGCACAGTAAGAGTTTCTTAGAGAATCAGAGTGAAAGTGTTCCTTGGAACTGGCCACCCAAGCATGACACCATCCCAGAAAAGACAAGGAGACACCGTAAGGTGGGTGCCTGGAGGTCTGGCCAGCTGCAGAAGGAACAGTACCCGGCCGGGCTGGGGCTCTGTGTTCTGCTCCAAAGTCACAGAGTGTCAGGCATGTGGCTGGGCTGCAACCTTCCTTGCCCACAGGTGGGGAGAAGGACAGCCATGTGTATCCTTTGGGACTAAAAAGAGATGGCACACGTCCATCCAAGGCCTGAAATGTAATATCCACAGTGACACCAAAAGTCCTTGAGAAGGAAAGTTTTGTGGCAGTCAGAATCACATTCACAAGTCACTGCAGTGTGTCAGGTTTCTTACTATAGGACTGAGCTTTACGAGCACATTTTGGAAATGCTGGGGCTTCAGCCAAGCTGAAGGAATCTTTGGGCTCCTTGACCTCATCCTCTAAAAAGACAAGGCGTGGCTGTGGCATTTGATGCTTAAACTCTTAACCTGATGGTTAGCAAGACTCTCATCACACCAGAAATATAAGTTCACCCTGCAGGAAGCTTTGTAAGGTGGCACTGGTCTGTACCCACAGATTGCTGGCACTGGGGTAGGCAGGTGCCTCTGATGCCAGGGACGCTGCCATAAGTCTTAGAATAGACACAAGTGCGCTTTGACTTCTAATGGGCAAGTCTGATGCAGGCGCTTCATGGGAAGTTTTGAAAATTAGCACATGATGTAAGTTTGATTTTATACAAGTGTTTCCCCGGCGTTTCCTGGCATGAGGGAGGGAGAAAAGGAAGAAGGAAAGGGCTGGGACGTGGCAGAGCACCGAAGCGGTTTTAAAATACAAATGATAGTTGGCACCAGTTTTCTAAAAGGGAGAGAACTGTTGTCTAACAGGGAAAACATCCCCAAGGTCATTTTGGTTGTGGAGATGTTACAAGAGAGAGGAGGTGGCAGAGCTGGCCAGGGAAATGAGTGAGACCCATCAATCACAGGATCGCAGGGCAACCAAGGACTCGTGGGTAGAACTTCTCCATGGGATGGGGATGCCACCAAAAGGACTGGCCACCCCGGAAGTTGCTAGCGACTGTGTGTGTGCATAGCAATCAGACCACAGCATTTCTCAAACACAGCGTGTCTGTTTATTTTAGCCTGTGCCTGCTTCTTCGCTTTGCTCAGCAGAGCTGGTTTCTCTCATACCCATTTACCCTGAACTTTTCAAGTAAACGTTTGGCTCCGTTATTGGCTTGTGTCACCCAATTCTTTGAGGCAAGAAGAATCTAGAAGACATTTGATTGGCGAGCCAGTTTTAGTGAATTACCCTATAACTCTAGGGTGAGGCCCCCTAGAGTTATGGTGGATGGAAAGATTCAGGGGATATCCACAGTTACTCAGGAAGGCTCTCAGGAGGCTGGAGGGGAAGACCAGAGGAGCAAGGGAGGGAGGAAAGGGGGAAATCCGAAGGAAGAGGGAGAGGTGAGGACAGGAGGCTGCACAGTGGGTACAGAGAATGCCATCCAGTGAGAAATGCCTCAGCGGGACCAAGAAGACTTTAGGAAAGATATCCAGCACACCACCTCCCAATTCCTGTGCACTCAACCCTTTCCTTGAACCCCATGCAAATATTTACACTGTCTGAGTTTTGCAGGACAGACCACAGGAGCTGGGCATGCTGGTCACGTGGGACAGCGGAAGGGAAAGGAAGGGGCTCTGCTCTCAGGTCCTGGGGGATGGTGCTACAGGTGAAGGATGGAAGGAGGAGGGACAGGTGGGGAGGTGAGGGCAGCTGCTTGGGAGTGGCTCCCAGAGAGCAGCAGCTCTTCCTGGTCTTTTCTGCAGTGTCCACTTCCTCCTACCCACTAGCTTACTTGGAGACAGAACCTGTCCTGTTCTGGCCTCACCTGCCCAGGTGACCCACATCCACATCGGGGGACAACTCCTCTCTTCCCCGTAGGGTCTCTGAAGGGCAAGTAAAGCCTGGCTTCTAATGGGCAGGGACCATTTCAGAGCTGCCCTGTGAGCTCAGGTCTTGTCTCCACGGGAAATAAGGTGCTTGGTAATGGGAGGAGGGACAGGTTTCCCCTGATGTCTACTCAGGGCTCTCCAGCTGCATCCTGCCTGCACCCCAGCTTCCTGCCTCCCTTTGCACTGCCCCCTCCACACACGATGCCCTTCCCCAGCTGCCCCATCCCAATCACTTAGGGTTTCAACCCCCTTATGCATAATCAACCCTCAATGCAGCCTATCCAAGGGGACCTCCAGACGCCTCTGTCTACGCACATGGTGCAACAACTCTCAGGAGACCCACAGAAAGAGTACAGGCAGACTCTCAGTTCTCTGTGTTCCTGGGACCCACATCCTCAGACTTCTACATGGCTGACCTGGGTCAAGGTACCTGAAAGGACTTGGAACACAAAACCCGCAAGTCCCAGGAGCTGCTCGCCAGTCTGTCTGCCTTCCTGTGAGGGGTCTGATAGAAGTACTCAGAGCATTAGATGCTTCACATAGTGGTTGGAAAGAGACCTGGGAAAGGGACCCTACTTCTCCCAAACTGCCAACTAGGGAGAAGCAGGGGCCAATTTCTCACAACCACATAGGTCTCCTTAAGTGATTCTTTAGGTAACTGTTTTGCACATGACAGCAATGTGCAGAGACTGCCTATCCCCATCACAGGGGTCTTGCAGGACCTCTGCTATTTCCCATTCCTACAAGAGATAGGGACTAACAAAGGAAATTCAGATTCTTAATGGGGAGAACAGGAAGCCAGAAGCCACCATGAAAGGCCAAGGCTTCCATTCTGGCTCTGCCCAGCTCCGACCCTATCTGCCCACTGAATCTCCCCTTCAGCCCTAATCACCAGCCTCTCTGCTGTTAGGAAGAGACTGTGACCCAGCCCTTGCCCCACTGCCACTAATGCTCAGGAAAAAAAAGATGCCATGCAGTAGGCCAGGCCCTCTTACCTGGCCACAGGTGGGTGAGCCAGGAGGCCCAGAGGAGTTGGCCCTGTCTTCCAGATTCTTCTGGGGCTCACTGTCGCTTTTGAAGTATTTTCGAGGTGGAGGCTTAGGCTTGGAGGATGTGGGCTTTCTCACCAGGATCTCAAAAGACTTCTTCAGCCTCAGCGGTGAGTGGCTGTCCTGGCTGCCGGTTAGGGCTGGGCTCCCCTGGGGCAGCCCTGAAGCTGGGCCCGGGCTGTGTGTGCTGCCTTCAGGGTGGGAGGGCTGCTGCTCAGTGCTGCCACTGCAGGGACTGCCCCCTGGGGACCCTGACATGTAGCTGCTGTCACTGCTAGAGCGGACCATGGCCCTCTGCGCCCTGCGGAGCGTGGGGACTGAGGTCTTCTCCCACTCCTTCTCCACAGTGGGCCGACCATGCCAGCTGCTCTCCAGCCTCTTAACACCTGCAAGGAAAAGGGACCCTGGTCAAGGAGTTAGAGGGCGATGCTGGGCAGATTTAGCCCACCGTGCTCAGCCCAGGCCAGCCTGAGTCTGGACACAAAGAGCAGCATGGCTTTGGGTTGAGAAAATCATTCAAACCCACAAGTGATAAGTACACAGATCCCCAGCAAAGAAGGGTTTGGTGTCCTGGCGGTCGGGAGACTGATAGCAGATGGCTTCCAGTGGTTGGTGCCTCCGGGCAAGCCTCAGCTGCAAAGTGCTACCTGTGAGAGGGAGCCTCATCTTGGTGATGGCACAGGCTGTAAAGATCCAGCTGTTTCTGCCAGCACCGGGAGCTTCAACAGGCTGCCTCAGCTGCAGAGCTCAGGGGCTGGCTGAGCTCTGTACTGCTCCTGTCTGTCCAGTTTCACTTCCTCTCCTCCTCCCCACAGGGCTTTAGGAAGCCTCCTAAAGGACATCCTGATGCTAAACTTCATGGTTTCTAAGAGGGGAACGTAGCCCACAACGCTCCACTTCTGTACCAGTAAAATGGGGCTAAGAACTCCAGGTTTGGTGGGCTTGCCCAAGGTTCAGGATCACAGAAACCAAGCAGGTGGGATAAGAACAGGTGTTTGAGGACAGGTGTTTGAGGACAGGTGGAAAGGTACTTTGAGCCTCATCTCCAGAGATCACCACTCTTTCCAGCTGAAGGTGAAGTAAGCCCCAGCAGCTCTCACCCTCCCTTCCCCATTTCAGCTCTTCTTCCTGGTTCCTGCCCCATGATAGCTTCCTGCAGGCAGGCATCCACACATCCCAGAGAGGCCTTCTCTCCAACGCCTCTGCCTGAGTGTCCTTTTCCAGAAGCCACTAAGGTGTGGACCCCAGTTCCCTTTGTGAGGCCACCCAACTGTGACTACCTGGAGAGAACCAAGGGCAACTTAGCTCTTAATTCAAATCCACTTTGAAGAAAAAGTTTTCTTTTGCCTTTTCCTGGTTATAAAATAATACATCCTCATCTGAGAAAGCACAGTCACAGAAAAGAAGGCATGGAAGTCTACCCCCTCCAGGATCTGACTGTCCAGAGGTGATCACTGTTAACATTCTGGTGACTTTTGCTGCCAATTTTGCCGAGTATAGCTACATCTTGGGTGGACTGAAATAGTAGGACACAGATGAAATAAAATCAGGGCTCCTCCCTTTTCTCTGAATGTTTTCTCATCTCTTTACTCATCCTTATAAATGTCGGCACAAATGACTGCTCGTAGTTCTATTGTACAGCTGTCCCATGATTGCTTGGCTTATGCCCAGTGGGTCGATATAACAGCCAGCTGGCCAGGTCCCTGTCCTACATCTTCTGTAGAGTATCAGTGCGACTTTGGGTAAAGGTGCCTCTCAGCCCCCCCCCTTTCCCTATAAAATGGATTTGAAAATCAGATCTGAAGATTTATTGAAATAATGCTTGAATTGACAGTCTGGCATTATAAAAACTCAATATATGTTAGATATTATCAATTTCTCAAGCTTTTGTTTTTATAGTTAAAGTTCACAATCTCAAATGTGTGACAGACAATGTGTGTGAAAGAAAATTAGTAGAAGATAAAGGGAGTGATGGGGATCACTGGGAACCAGAAAGTAGCTGCCCCATTTAAAACAGTTCATATATAATTGCTTTAATCTTGTGCCTTCTGACCAAAGCAAAAATATGAACCAAATTCAGCTGGTAGACTCCTAACTTTCAATTCTTCTCTATGTATCTTGACAGTCTGCGGTGACCCACCTATTCCTGAGGAAGAGAAAGATTTAATGGCTAGAACCTGAGCTTTCTAAGAAGGCAAAGACATTTCAAGTCAAAGCTCATTGTTTCCCTTACATAGATGTCAGCTTTCCTGTCTCTGGGACAAGCTATCTGATCAACGTACATAAGGAAAAGACTTATTTTTAGCTCACGGTTTCAGAGGGTTCAGTCCATGGTGCGCTCCATAGAGACAGAAGCATCATAGGAAAAGGGTGAATTGAAGCAAAGCTGCTCACTTCACAGTATCCAGGAAGCAGAGCAGAGGGGAATAGTGACACAGCAAGAGACACATCCTCCTATGAGTGACCACCTCACCCAGTGGGGCCTCCCTTCCTAACAGCATGTTCAACTGTGAATTTCAGTGGATTAGTCCACTCAGGAGTACAGCACCCCATAATCTAGTCACCTCCCCAGGAGTCTTACCCAGTCACCCGCATACTTCACCTTCCAAACTCCACTGGTGTCTCTCCTTTCCAAACCTGATGTTCTCCACAGCCTGAGCCACGGCTTCCTTGAGTTGCTGTTCGGAGACCTACAAAATATCAACCAGTCTCTTAAACAGCAGTAGAAATCATATGTCAGGCTCTGTATGCCTGCGGGTTCTGGGCTTTTTCCTTCTACCCAACACCACACATAGCTGAAAGATTCCACTTCCAGAAATATACTGGTTGTTGATGATACCAGGGTCTTCTAGATATTCTCTAAAGTCTGTCAATGAAAGAGTGGCTCCCCTCAATGCTCCAGCCTTATGCCAACTATGCATTGCATCATAGTTTGCCCCTGAAAGCCAGGGCTCTGTTGTCTTGGCACTGTCATCATCCACAGTGTCATGACCATCACAGTGCCATCACACTGTCTTTGCTGTGCCCACAGAGCGTTAGTGATGCTGCAGAAGTAGCTAAGAGCATGAGTCTTAGAGTCACAGCGCATGGCTGGGACTCAAGCATTAGCTCTTTCACTGCCTAATGGTGTGCGTGCAGACCACTGAGTTAACCTTCAATGCCTCAACTTTGTTTTCCATAAAATATTCACAGCAACAGAGCCCTCTCTACATACAGAGACAAGATGTTTAACCATATAAATTGCTTGAAACACAAACTATAACAACAAACAAACAAAACAAGATAAATTGGATGAGATCAAAATTTTAAAACTTTGGGCAACAGGAAACATTTGAGAGAGCAGAAGTCAATGCAGACAATATGTGCAGATTATATATGCATAAAATCTTGGATACATTTTTTATAATCTCCTGCAATTCTACAAGAAAACCCTCTATTTAAAAATGGGTGAAGAATTTGAACAAACGTTTCTTTCAAGGAGCTCTACATGTGGCCAGCAAGCAGAGGAAAGGTGCTCAACTGGTCATTTGGGAGACACAAATCTCAGCCACACTTGCCCATTAGGGTTGGTATCATCAAAAAACAAAATAAAACTGGGCAGCCAAAACAGCTCAGTTAGGAGAGTGAAAAACAAAACAAGACACAAAGTTGCAAGTCTCAGCAAAGATGTGGAGAAATCACAACTCGTGGGCACCTTTGATAAGATTGTAAATGGAGCCACCTCTATGGAAACCAGTACTGAGGCACCTTTAAAAAGTTAAAATAGGATTATCATATCATCCAGTAATTCTAATTTGGGTAATATAGCCAAAAGGATTAAAATCAGTGATGTCTGTATACTATAGTCATTGCAGCATTACTGCAATTGTTGAAACCCAATGATTCAGCAACAGACGAATGGGTAAGCAAAATTCTGGGTCAATATTCAATGGCATACTATCAGCCTTAAAAAAGAAGAAAATTCTGAGCCAGACTACAAGGTGAAGGATATTAAGGATATTATGCTGAAATGGAACTGTCAGGAAAGGACAAATAATGTGTGACTCCACTTACGTGAGGCATGAAGTGAAAATCAGAAAAAAGAAAACAGAAGGGTGAGCCCCAAGGCTTGGGGAAGTGGAAATAGGGAGTTGGTTGGAGGCACAGAGTTACGGTTCTGCAGGAGAAACCTGGTGGTGATGGCTTAGCATGTATTTAGCGCCTTTAAGCTCTGCACTTATAATGTAAGTTTTGGGTTAGGTATATTTTACCACGACAAAAGAAATAAACAAATCACTTAAAACACTAGCTGCAACGCTGAGCAAGTAGTAAAACTTTTTTATTTTTTCAGTCCTGGAGCAGGAAGCAAGGACCTTCCATGGAGCTACCTCTCTGGTTCTTTTTCTTTTATTGTGAGGCAGGGTCTCACTAAGTCAGTGAATTGTTCAGGCTGGCCTAAGACTTTTGATCCTCCTGCTTCAGCCTCCCAGACAGCAAACCATCAAAAGATGATACTTGTCATTCACAATGGTCCTGCTAGGTCAAGACAAGAGCCCATTTCTTCAAAGGCTCAGAGAGGCCAGACGAATTGCCCAAGTTTCCCCTATGGAAGCAGAAGACTGGACATGAGGTGGCCCTTCTGGCCCTGAGCCAGGGCCTCGCCTCTGCCCTGTCACCTGTGCCTACTGAGTCTCCCATACCTGGCCTACCTCTGTCTCTGACCCACCTGTAGCTCCTGGCCCAGGGCTTTGTACCAGCTGCTCAGCCCTGCCTCTCTCCCTCCTAGGTCTTCACCTCTTCTGGGCTCTTCTTACATCTGCTGTCTGCCTTCCCTCCAGCTGTGCTTCTCCTGCTCCACCCATGTCCTGAGATCCTGAGGTCCTGATGGCAGCTTTCACCAGTCTTCAGGCAGCAGAACGCGCTGATGAGCTGTCTTCTTCTACTTCCCAGAGCTTTAGCCTATCACCTGCTTACTCTAGATTTAGCTCCTGTGTTTGGCCTCAGTGCACAGTGACTAAATTTGAATCCACTGTATTCTCACTGGAGAAGTTGAGCTTCATTATTCTACTGTCTATGCTATTTTCTTGGAGTCAGTTAGCTAAGAGCTCAGGCTTTGGAGCACTTAAATCCTAGCTCCTCCACTTCTTATCCAGCCACTAGGCTAGTTCTTTTTCCTTTGGGCCTCAGTTTCCTCATCTGTGAGTTGGAGAGGGAAAAGCTCACCAGTTTCAGAGAGTTATAGGACAGCTAACTGCAGACGTGTGTGCCACATGTTTGCCTAACATGCCTGGCACCACCGAGGAAGGGTTAAACACATGGCAGTAGTGATTATCACCAACTCCCTGAGGGGTCGCACCTGTGCCAAGGCTCCCATGTCCACATCTAGCTTCAACCTGCACCTCACAACCATCATCAGCCCTAAATTCAGCTGCTTACCAGGCATCTCCATCTAGACACCCCCAACACTTCAGCCCCTCCTTGTCCCACACCGATGGAAGAGTTGCCACCACTCCACCAATCTCTGAATGCTCCAATCATCCCAGGCTGCTCCCTGTCTCCTAACACACAGCTAACAGGGCAGCAGACACTTTTTTTCCAGGGCAGCCTCTTTTGTCTCTTCTCTAAATCTCCCCACATCTGCTGCTTGGTTCAGGCCCCACCATCTGCTTCCTTTCTCCTCCAGATCCACATCCCGCCCACTCTATCCTGCCCTCTCCAACACACTCAAAGGCTAAAGAACAAAGTCTGAACGCAATCCATCTGTAGCTGGAGGCCTTCTGCAGCTTCTCAGTACACAGGGTGAAAAACAGACTAGCAATTTGTGTAAAGCCCTTTACAGTGGAACCTCAGTGCCTTACCAGACAACTTCAGTCCTCAATCAACCCTCTCAGGAACCCCCAAGCAGCCCCACAGCACCAGCAGGCCCCTTCCTGACTCTAACTTTGACCTTTGTGTTCTTACCGCCTGCAGGGACCTCCCTCAAATTCTCTGCAAAAAAGCAGCCTTTGGTATGTTTTATAAATCCTTCTCTGTTATATTCCCTTAGTACTTACAGCTCCAGATCACAATTCTTCCTGTCAGTCTCTCTGTTGAAGCTGTGAGCTGCTGTAGCACTGATGCTATGAACCTTCTTGTCCCTGTGACCTGCGCTCCAACCCTCATACCTCCCCCTAGAGGGCAGCCGCTGGACACATGCAGAGTAAATGGCTCTCTTGGCCCTACTAGTTGGGGCCCTGAGTCTCTCTCTACCTTCCTGTCCTGGAGCTTGTAGCTCAGCTGCAAGAGCTTCCTAAGTTCATGCCAACAGCTTCTGGTGTCTAGGAGTCTGTTGCTAGACCTCTGCTGTGGACATTTGTTCCACAGAAAGTTGGAGCCCTAGCCAGCAGTGTTCCATTTCTAAACATTTCTTGCTCCAATGTGGGAACAAAAGGAGTGAGTCAGATGTTACCTGGGGGTCTGGATGTCGACTGACGATGATGGGGACTGGACCGGGACTGCAGTGACTCAGGATCCCGTGGACTTCATTGAGCGTCATGCAGTGCACAGGGGAATCATTGATTTCCACAATCTCATCGCCACACCTGCAAAAGCACCAATTGGAAGCCATGAGGAAGCTACTGATCAGGACATCTAGGAGGTCATCTACCTGTTTCCCTGGCTAAGCTATAGATGAGATCTAAAATCTACATTACCAACTAAATCTCTCTAGAGACCTGACTGAAACCCAAACAGGACCAACCAAGCAATTACTGCCTCGTTCTCGGGCATTTCATATGAAGAAGAACTGAAAGTCTTGTGTAACTTTCCTCCTCCTTTTCCCATATGAATTTGCAGAACCAATATGGAGAGCAAGATTTACCCACCAACCTTATCTAACTGATTAACCAGTTAGGTAAGCGGGCTGTGATGCCCTCTCATTAGTAGAATGGCAGAAGGATTGGACGGTCTGCACTTAGAAGAAGTAACCATGGTGAAGAGTAACCATGGTTCTTGCCAGAAGGAGCAAGGAGAGCAGATGATGGAATTCATTTTAGCTTTCAGGTGGCTCTGGTGTTACTGGCAGTGTCTATGGTTAGGAAACTGCTAACGGCCCAATCTCACGCTTCCGCCTCACTTTAGCCCCCCAAAGCACTAGTTTCAAACACCCATAGACCAAAACCTCCAAAACTAGAAGCCAAATTAAACCTTTTCTTTTATAAGATAACTATCTCAGATATCGGTTACCGTAACACAGCAGTCTAAACAGAGAAAGGAATGAGATAGAGAAGATAGGATTGGACTTGTATAGGGAGGATTTGTACAATCCAACCCCTTTCCCTGTGGGAAATTGGGAAACTGAGGCAGAAGATGAAATTATTTCTCTGATACAGTCCAGTTTAGAGACTGACAATTTCTGTGAAGAATAAATACTTCAGGTTTTATAAACCATTACACCCCTCTCACAGATTCTCAACTTTGCTGTTGTAGAATGACAGCTGCAGCCATAGATAGTTCATAAACACATGTGAGTACTATGTGTGCCCTTGTTCCAATAAAACTTTATTTAAAAAACAACAAGTTCCAGGCTGGAGTTTCTAGACCATTGACCCTGCTGGTTATCAGCAGCACAAGAAGGGCAATCAGGTCTCTTGATGCTAAGAAAGCTTGCATTCTTATTGACATAACTGAGCAGCACTGTCTTGTAGCTCCAGAGACCACCAAAAGTAGGAGGAGCTTCTTGAACAACTCTTACCCAACTGCAGACCTAGGAGGCATACCCTTGTTGAGGATCTTAGATATAAAGTGCCCAGCATTACCTGCCCCATGGTTATATGTAGAACATATCATATATGTGGCCCCAGGTGTGCCACAGACCCTGGCGATAGCGTGTGGACAAAGATGGCTGAGATGCACTGGAAGTAGGGGACGCTACACAGCTACCTAACAAAACAGCTGCCACCTACCCTGAGGAGAAAGCACCAAACCTGTTCCCAATTCAGAAGTTCTGCCAAGCTGCCTGTTAAGCAGGGCTTGCCGTTCTGTGTACCATCACAATTATGGAAAAACTCTCAAAAATGGGGTAAAATTCTCCCAATTTAGCAAAACCGAAGCCAAGTGAAAGATGTATTGTACTATATCCAAATGTTGGATCATTGTAATAAGTTAAACTGAGCTCAAATGTTTTGATCAAAATCAGATCACTTATTGAAAAGAAAAATTTAGATTTGTACTTCTCTTAGAAGTCATCTTCAAAGAAACACACCAGCATGACTAAACGTATTTTATGTAACTGAGAAGGTACAATATAGCTTTAAAATTTAGGATTTTAAGCCAGGCATGATGGAAAATGTCTGTGATTCTAGAATGCTGGAAGGTTGAGGCAGGAGGATCCAAGTTTAAGGCCAGCTTGAGCAACTTCTCAAGATCCTGCCTCAAAATAAAAAAAAAAAAAATTAAAAACTTAAAAGGAGCTGGAGATGTAGCTCAGTGCAAAGGCTCTGGCTTCAGTCCCAGTTCTACAAAATATCATATAATCTTAGAATTTTTCTTTTAGAGATGGTCTGCTTCTCCAGCTTCTTCATTCAGAGAGCATAAGTGTGGCCCCTCCATTTCAGATGAATAGATGTAGAAATAACGCCTCTATTAGAGAATAGAGAACAATTAGAGTAACAGCCCGATTGTCTGGAAGGAATCCACAGGTGCTGGTGCTAAGCTAACAGTGACCAGCAGGTGAAACAGCGCAGGACTCCTTGTCTGGCTCTCTCCCTTGGGATAAAAGTCTTGCACACCAGAGCACGGTAAATGGATATTTGCAGCAAAGACCTCCCTGTCTCCTTTGGAGGTGTTTTTTCCTTGCCACCCAAATGGTCTCCAGCCTATGCTCTTGGGTGGGGACAGGCAGTAAAGGATTGCAACCTCCAGCCACATTCATGCCACAAAAAAGCATTTATCCCACTGCTTGCTTAGAAAGCTGTTTCTCCATAGAGGGCTCATAGGCAGCCCCTGCTCCCGTCCCTGTAAATTTTGTTAGTTAAATCAGTGTTAAACCAGTTCACTTTGCCTTTGCTGCTGCAGACTGGGTTTGTGGAGGCCATGCTTTTCCTACTGCCTTGAGTACAGATTCCTGGGATCTGAATCAGCAGCTCTGGGCTAGGGCATCTGACATGGGGCTGGGGCATCTAATATGTCATTTTGTGGGGCCAGAAGACACTGGAGGTTGAACCCAGGGTGTAGGAAGCCTTGATGCTAGTGTCAGACACTGAGAAGCCAGACTCTTGGCCACTGAGTTATTCTACAGGTCTCACCCCCACCCAGTCCCCTGCGGGTCCCAGTGAGAGCAGCAGAAGAGCGGACATACCGTAGCCGGCCATCCAGGTGCGCCACAGACCCTGGCGAGAGCGTGTGGACAAAGATCCCCGAGATGCACTGGAAGTAGGGGACACTGCACAGGCCAATGCCCAGGCCCACACCAGCCTCTGGAAGAACAGGACAGGGTGAAGTGAGCATCCCTGTTCCATCAGTCAGCAGCCCCTCCCTGACAGTGCCACCCCACCCGCATTTGCAAGTGTCCCGTCCCCTCTGTGTGCAGTGCTGAGGGTGAGAGGAGAGATCATCAGTCCAACAGAGGAAAGGCCAAGGCAAAAGGAGGGAAGAGGAGGGTACGGGGAGGGTAATGCACTGGGTGCCGTGCAGAGAACTGACAAGGAATTGTTGGAAGTGGCAGAGCTGCACTGCAGGCCCCAGAGGGTCAGCGTAGCTGACAGCTACACTGTAGGTGACAAGGAGCTGGGAAGTGGGGATTCCAGCAGCAGAAGCTGCAGGTGCCAAGGTGAGGGTGAGAAGCAGCTTGTGTGCTGCAGGCTTGCGAGGGGACAGGGCCCTCACAGGTCACAGACACGAACGACGTATGAGAGGCTCAAAGGCGAGATCTCTCAGTCTTTGGGATCAAGGATAGTCAGCAAGAGGTGGTGGCGAGCGGGCAGGGAGGGATCTGACTTCTCTGTGTACAGGAAGGTGTGCTGGCTCTGTGAGGAAAAAGAACAGAGCAGTCAGGACCCAGAGCAGCAAGAGGGACAAGCAGCAGCATGGCCATCATTGCAGGGGGAGACAAAAAGGGATGTGCATGCAACCGCTTTGCAGATGGACATGCTGAGGGATGAAATATGGGGATTTAATGAGTAAAATCAAAATATGATTTGGGCTCGATGTTGTTTACCAAAACGAGAAAGGCTGAGGCTCCAGGGTAGGGGCCAGGGCCAGGCAGATGAGGGTGAAATGTGCTGTTGTTTGTTTAAGGAGCTATGGCAGGAACAGGCCTCGGTCATGGAGACAAGCACCCCACTTCATGCTGCACCTCAGTCCTGGGTTCAGGTATGCCCAAGCTCTCTTGGTGAAGCCAGGTATGTATGGTAAGGAGCCACACAGGGGACCCTCAATCCAAGGCCAAAAGTGGGGGGAAGTTTAAGCCCTATAGTGTCACATGGTGGTGTTAAGGTCATGGGTCTCCAGGAGAGTGTAAGGGGTGGGCCCGGGGCTGGCTGATTTGCAAAGGCCACGAAACAGCACGTGGCCCCCGTGTAGGGGAGTACCTTCTCTCTGGGTTGCATGTGATTTACAAAGCTCCTTGGCTTACACATTCTCCTTATGATCTGGTTCCCCCAGAGACCCCATGACAGATGCATAAGCCACAGTTAGAGCCCTGGAATCCCCACTCTGTGACTAAAGATTTTGCCTGTGACAATGGATCATGAGCAGAGGTAAGAGCCCTTCCGATATCCAGGCTTCCTGACAGGGTTACAGATAGTTTACAGGTCTGTGGCCTCACGTGCATCAGCATCACTGGGAACTCTGTTCACAGCGTAGATCCCTGAGCCTCAGCCTAACACAGAATGTAAGAAACTACAACTCTAAAGCAAACACAGAAACCCTCTCCCTGGTTCTTCTGATGAAAATGATTGGAAGAAACAGCACTCTGAGGCCATGCCTGCCTCTGCCCTGTGCAGCTCAGTAGACTCACCACATAGCCCACCCACAGACCTGCGTGTCCCTAGACCCCACCATGCCAGGCATGGCACCAGGTACAGGGCACAGAGTGGGTTGAGGCCTCGGATGTGTGTCAGGAAAGGGCCAGTGCCTGAAACTAGGGACATGGAGACACATCTATCCTCTTCCTCTCCTTGACCCTCCACTTAGTCCTCTGCCTCTGCCCAAAGAGCCTCCCCTTCATCCTGCTCCAAGCTGCTCTCCCCAGAGAGCTCAGGAGACCCCGGTCAGAAAAGAGCTGACCAGCAGCAGCCTGTTCAAGAAGCCTTGGAGGACTTCCGGTTGTAGTCAGAAGGGAATTGGGCTGCAGACTGGCCTCTCCATCTCCACCAAGCAGTCACTACTCACACTGGGGCAGGGCCCAGGTCCTAGTACAGTGTGTGTGAGCATATGTGTGTGTGTGCACGCGTGTGCATATGTGTGGTTCTGTGCATGACCTACCCCTCCTTGGCTTTGGTGTCACCACTTTGTCAGAACCCCAGCATCCACAAATCAGCACCATGCTGCTGGTTCCCAGCTGACCTCTCCTGGGACTCAGCTGGCAGAACAGGTGCCAGAGCCGCGCATCCTCACCCCTACCTTTCTTCAGGGACACCTCCACCATGACTCTGTAATTGGGCTTGGCGGCACCCGCAGGAGGCACGGGGATGTCCATGATGAAGGGGCTGCTGCTCTCCTTGGCAACACAGGTGCTGGAGCTCAGGGAGCGGCACAGCGGGGGTGACAGGTGGCTACACAGGGAAGGGGGCGCCGTCAGGCGTGTGCGAACTGTGAGCGTGAGCAGCCCCTTTTTGGCTTGCTGAAAGGAAAGAGAGGTAATGTGTAACAGCATCCAAACCAGCAGGTGGACAAGCCAGGGCTCCCTGAAGGCAGTAAGAAGGTCCCCCCTGGGGAACGGAGTCAGAGTGATACATAGACATGTGTGTATTGGTGGACATATTACATATGCACATATATACACACATGAATGTCTTATATATATATAACTTTCTTTGTATATACTATACAGAGTATTTACATATATACTCCAGAAAGTCTTGAACTAGATTATAGGCTCAAAATTATTGCTCAGTGATGTTTTAAAAACTCAGAACCTATTTGTAAATATCTTAGTATAAAGCATAGAATGTTGTGAAACAGCTCTGTAAATCTTCAGGGTTTAAATATTCCTCACGGCAGTCCTGATTTCATTACTAGTTTCTGAGTAAGGTCTTTTATTAACCCCATCCCCTCAGTCAGCATCAGCTGGGCGGCCAGGTGAAGACCTCCACACCTCCAACCTGTGGGTTTGCAAGGAGGGGGATGCACAGGCCCGTGTGGGTGAGAAACAGTCACCTTGAACTTCTGCAAAGCACCCTGGTGCGTGAGCCCGGCCATGGATTCACCGTTGAGTTCCAGAATTTCATCGCCTGTTGGAAGAAGGAGAAGAAAAGAAGCTAAGGGTGGTGCTAGCACTGAGGCGCTGCCCTCGCCTTGAGCTCCACTCTGGGAAGGCCACTGTCTCACTCCATGCTCTCTGTGGAAGAGCAGCAGGCAACAAGTGTGACCCTCGGGCACCTGGCATCCCCAATGAGATCAAGGACTGGTCACATCTGGTCCCTGAGTCACTCCATGCATCCTGGACCCACACGGCTTTGCTTATGCACATGACACCCTCATGCAAAACAACAGTGACTGGTTCTGCGTGCTTCCCTGTGGGCTGAAAGGAAGGACTGAGATTGTTGACGCCACCCATCTGGATTTCCTATCGACTCTTCCAAGCATAAGATCATCCATGCCTTCTTAAGTCATCTCATGATTTTACTCAAGGACAAGGTACTTCTGAACATAAGATCATCTATGCTGTTCTAAATCATCATAGGCTTATATTCAGGTCAAGATATTTCAAACATAAGATTATCTATACCCTTTGGAGTCAAAATCTCTAGATAAATTATAACCCTCTGCTAGCTATCACTACATAGACCAAATAAGTAGTGGCTGTTTTCCAGGCAGACACTTGTGCCACGAGCTAACCCCCAATAGTGGCTGTTTTACGAGTAGAAAAAAAAAAAGTTACATTCAGGGACATTGACTTCCCAGCCATTATTTAAATATGGTACTTGTCTCTGTGTTTTGTTTTTCTTGCCACATTCTTGAACAATCGGGACTCTTGGCTGCGTTTTCAATATTGACAATCAGGACTCTTGCCTGGGTTCCCGATAAACTTGCATTTCCCACAATCATCTCTGTGGTTCCACAATGTTTTCTTGACTAAAGTGTGCTCCTCCCACCTCCCTCCCCCAAGTGTTTCTTAATCCTCAGCCCCAGATATCATCAAACTGCTTTTATGTTCAACTATGGGTTGATTAGTGACCTAAGACCAAGCTGCCTGCTCCTTGGAGAAGCATACTCTGCTGTGTTAGAAGAAATGTTCCCGGGACCAACTCTGGGCAAGTGCTCAGTAGATGTGGGTTGGATGTGGTCTTTCCAGAATGCAATGTAAACACCACTCACAGAAGAGGAGAGTGCACTCAGAGAAATTCCCAGTCACGTGGATTTAGGATTTGGAGCTTTTGACTACGAACCTATACTCACAGGAAAGCAAAGTTTTTCTCTGTCCTGAAATCCATTTTTGGGTGCACCCTGCCTCAGCCAAGGCTCCATCCCAGTCAGTCTTGCTGAATTTGGGAAGAACACCTCCATGATCCCCCAAGGCAGGGTCCATGCCCCTGGATGTGGGGCCCTGGACAGATCCAGGGAGAATTGGGGTGCACTATGTTGCAGGATGGGCCCCAGGAAGGGGATGTTACCAGGGAACAGTCACAACTTTGTGATTCTCTACAGCCTTCTTTCCTATCTCTGCCCGGATAGGATTGGAGCCCTGGGATGCAGACAGCAGTAAAAACTCAGGTACCAAAATAAAGAGGAAATTGTCTTATGGAGGAAAAATGTTGGACCCTTCCATAATTGCCAAGACATATACAAGTATTTTTCCTTCAATTTTGTATATATTTTTTTAAAAAAACAGTATCAGTCATTACCATGAAACTCAGAGAAGCACTTCAAGGGGTTGAATTGGAATTTAGTGGCCTGAATATCAAATTTTAAAATGATGTGATGCCGGTCTCTTAGTGTGAAATCAATTTAAGTAAAGAAAAGACACATGCATTTGCGTATGCTATCAAAAGCCACTACTGGTACCAGATGCACAGAGATGACTCAACTCTATGGCGCATCGCTGGTAAAGCAGGAGAAAAGGAGAAGATTACTATCTTGGATCTATTTAAAAAACTTGAAATAGTTTTGATTAAAAGCTGAATTGTTGACATTAATCTAACTAGTAAAGGAAAGATGAATCTGGTTCTGAACACTAAGATATGATGTCATATTCAGTAAACTAGAAAAGTCAGAGGTAAAATGTGACGATCAATTTGACACACTTCTTGCTGTGTCCTTGGTCAGCAGTGGATTCACTGATTTTCAGTTTTCAACTCCATCATGATGATGATCCTAGTTTCAATGAAAAGATTATGCCAGCACAATAAAGAGGAAGAAATAGATGACAGAGGTAGAGACCTAGGCAACGAACGTGGATGAAAGAAGGTGCATGGTGATGTATGTGGACAATCACAGCGATGTTTTCCTCTTTCATGGGTGTGGGTGTCAGATATTTGCTGTGTCACCCATTATTGTTGTGACAATAGATTTATATACAGAGAGAGGATCAATGCTTGTTACTGCTGTATTTGTCTACACTTCTCCATCTCCAGTGGATGCTTATTTTGGAGGCAATCAATATATTAGATGGGGAGAAAGGAGATGGATAAACTGGATGTTTACTGGGAAATTTCTTAGCCCAATTACAGTGTGTGGCACTGGTTTCATCAATTTTATAGCCATTTGCGACCAGGCCTCTAGAGCCATTTCTTTTGGAACAGAAGGTACTTGTTGCATCTTTGCTATTCTTCCTCTAAATTTTGTTGGTGCAACACTTGGCCGGCACCCATCAGGTCAGGTCAGCCCAGCATCCCTTGTCTGGTCAATGCTGGGCCTCACCGGATCCCCCCAACCCTGCAAAAAAAATGGTCTTGGAACCTGGAATAATTATTTGCATGGGAAGAATTTTAGCCTTTGGCTCAGGCTTTCTGGGCACAGAAGATTTACCACACCTGTGGCTTCATGATGCTGGTGTCTGTCATCCTGTACATTGTGACCGCCTGTGCTACTGTTCTGTGCGCCTCATTCCTGCTAATTGCAGAGGGTTACTGTGCCAGTGGGTAGGCTTTCTCTCTACTGCATCGACTGCAATGTATTCTTTTTGCTACTATTTTTTTCAAAACAAAGACATCAAACATCATTTCACTTTGGATACATAATGCTATTTAGCACAGCCTTGGTGATAATGCCCTGAGCAACTGGTTACATGGACAAATATCTTTGTCCCAAAAGTCTATACAAATGTGAAAACTGATTAAAGATCCAAGAAAACCTGGAACTCTGGATCAATTTCTCTTTCAAAGGGGTAGAGTTTATGGGCTTACCTCAAGATTTTGTAGGTGTCTTCTTCATAAATGGCTTAAAGTAATATCTATTTCCATTGATCCTGGGTTCTCACTGACCACTTTCTCCAGCTGTTACAGCAAACACTTGGATTTGTGCAGTAGAACTTCCTACAGACACGACTGACCTTCCTCAAAACTAGCTCATTAAAAATGAAATACATCAGGGGCTGGGGATTTAGCTCAGTGCTGTAAGTGTCTGCCTGGCAAGCACAAAGGTCTTGAGTTTGATCCCTAGTACAAAAAAATAAAGAAAAAAGAAAGAAAGAAAGAAAGAAAGAAAGAAAGAAAGAAAGAAAGAAAGAAAGAAAGAGAAAGAAAGATAACAGCTGTCTTCAATAAAGAGGACAAATTATTTGTTCCAATAAAATAGACAGATATTTGGATGCTAAAATTTTACATGAACAAAGAAATATTTCTGGTTCTTAATATTTCTATTTATTGCAAAATGTTCTGGAAAGGGTAGTTTTTCTCTCTTAATTTCACTGCCATTGTCAACCTATTGTGTAAAATTTTTATATGCTGAATCTGGTTTCTTCTTGACATGTTTTAGGTTTTGTATATTTTTGTTTGGGTTTTTTTGGAACTTAACACTTAGAATTTAAAAATATTAAATTCCATATGTAACATATCTACTGTTATCTTAGTTGGGCCAACTTCCCATTTGTCTTAAAATTATCCAGCTACATCTTAATTCTATCCAAACAAGAGACAGTCTGATGATGCAGGTGTATTCTCTACAGTACAATTTACTGTATAATTGAAAAACAAAGTACTAAATGGGAAAGAGATTTGTTTTTACTAAACATTTTAAGATTTCGCTAAGTCATTTTAACTGAATGCCTAAAGTGATTATCATTTTCCCCCAAGTTAGTGCTGTCGGGTTTGAATGAAGGATTTACATAAAAATATTAGTAATCAAAGGAGTGGATAACACATGTATACAAAAGTAAGTAACATAGCATATAAGTCTAGATTCCCAAGTGCATTTGTACGGGTTGACTGAGGAGTGCTTTTTTCTGACGATGATGGTTATAGAAATGCATGAACTGGGAAGGCTTTCTGCATCTTGCTTTCTACTTCATGAAACACTAGAGTTTCTTCAAATATGTGTATCACACTTCTTTTGGGAAGAAGGTTGCTCCTTTACTGAAATTCCTACAGGACCTAGATTTGTAACTTAGAAACATTTACTTTTCTTAAATGCTCTGGAACATTTAAAGCATTGCTGTTTTAGAAAGTTCATATAATTTTCCTTACCAAAAGAAAAAAGAAAAACGCATTTTTATGTGGATGGAAAACCAAGTTCTCCTGCTCACTCAGTTTATTCCGTATACAAACTGGGTCACTTTCTCTGTGTTCCACGCCATGCTGGGCATGTCAGGAGCAAACACTTCTCACACTGACTCCCACGGCCAGTGGTGACTCTGCTGTCACTAATTATGGTTCCAGTTCTAGAATCCACTTCCCCTTCTGGTTGCTTCTAAGATGCTTTTTCCTTTGTCTTTGTCATTCTGCAGTTTCACTGTGTTGTCCCAGGATGGCGAAAACGCTTTGGGCTTCCTTCTGCTCTGGCTCTGCTCCTTAACACAGCGTAGAGGATTCTGAGCCACTGTCTCTTTGTATAAAATCCCTCTCATCTAACTGAGTGCATTTTTCTACATTACTAATAGGTGTATGTCTTTGGGTTCTTTTCAACTGCTCCCCATGTTTCTTTAAAACACATCTTTTTCCACTTTTTTTGCCTTGTGTGGTCTACGAGTTAATTAATTCTTACTTTAGCTACATCAAATCTGCTGCCTAACCTATCCATTGAGCTTTTTGTTTTAATGAGTATGCTTTTAAAAATATTTTCCCCGAAAATTGAATTCATTCAATGCATCCAGTTTTTCATTGTGTTTTACGCTTATAGTTTATGTTCTTTCTTTTTTCACTTAAATATGATTCTAAGCATAGTAATTCTCTGGTCTTTTACTTTGTTTTGCCACCTTCTGTTTCTGAGGGTCAGTATTTCTCCCTTACCCCTGCTCACCACCTTGCATGGTGGCATCTTCAGATGATGTCTGGCATCTTTACTGTGAACCATTTCTCAAAGTATTTCTGGTTCTCTCGGGGATTCCCATAGACCTTGGGTCACCAGCCATTCTCCTCTAACTTGCTCTTGACACGCAAAGGCTTCCCGGCTTCAGGACCAGATCTGATATTGGTTTCCCAGCTTGTATTCAGATCCTCTGCAGGACTATAAATGTGGCCTGCATGGTCACATGAGACACGGGCTTTGATATTTATTTTTTCATGGACAATGTCTTTCCCACTAAAGAATCACAAACAAAGCACTAGGCAAAGTTACCGCCTTCTTTGGAATCTCCTGGCCTTCCCTGCAGGCAGCGTGTGTTGAATCAAGACTTTATGTAGTGATTCACATGGACACAAGGCCCTGTCCCCTATCGCTCTGTGGGCACTCAAGTCATAGTCCTGGCCCACAAGGTCTACAGCCACCCAGCAGCCCCCTGGATCACTATGTCACCAATTCAAGTTTGCCATACTTAAATGTAAAGTTGTCCCTTGGTTTTCTATCAGCTAGAATCTCCTTTTCTTTCTTTGAGCTCAGAAGTGCTGTTTTATCCGGCATGTCTATGTGGGAAGGGTGTCTGGTGGGAAGCGTTCAGGTCAGCCCTGAGTGGCAGTTGCAAGAAACAAAGAGCCTTTGTCCTTTCGAGACTCCAAATCCAGGGGCGAGAACAGAGGCAGACAAAGGAAACGCTTCAGGATGATCACTCAGTCACAGGGGGATAGAACTTCCTAGCACATTATTAGAACATCCCTCCCAGCAGGGCCAGCTCTGGGCTCTCCTGACCTTTCTTTACTTGGCCACATCTGGTGAAAACGGCCTGCATTTTGCCAAATACATCTTACACAATCATCTTCTGGAAGCGGAATAAAACTAAATCATCAATAGTCTTCATGTGTACAACAGACGTTTGTTACAACCAACATATCCTCCCACGAGCCCAAGAGTACACTGGAGAATTGTACTTTAGAAAGAAGTTACAAAAGGCCATGAGGCCTATTATTTGAGAGTAGAGTCATGATTATCTATTAGCAGAAAGTTTGGCTTGTAGAATTGCCTGTTTTTATGATTGTCATCGTAAAGGAGGCAAATACCCAGAAAAACAAAGCACAACAAAATGAAGCTGAGGTTGAGAAAACTGGTATTCAAGAAAGAAACCAAAACACAATTGGCTCTTTCCTGGCCGCACCAATCTCTCTCTCCCCTGCCCTCGGTTTAAAGTCATAAAGGCACAAAAACTAAGGTACCAGTCCAGGGCACCCTCTCCTCCTCCTTCCCTGGCTCCGCCAACCAGCCCGCCTCCTTGGCCTCCATCCCCTTTTCTGCTTCCTTCTTCCAGCGGGGAAATTCCAGCTACTTCCCAAATGCTCATGATGCCCAAGTGTGCTTTCATCCCTGAGCCCCTGAGCTGTGCCCAGGCTTCCAAGAGCCTGCTGGACAGTGCCACCTCGTGGTCACCAAGCAGTCACCTCCCTTCTTCCCCTCCAGCTTGAGCCTCTCCTCTGTCTTCCTGTCCCTCCCCTCCTCCTCTATCAGCACCGAAGCAATTGATCAAGATTAGAAGCCTCAGGGTCTCTTTTGTTTGAGCCTTTGCTCAGCTCTGTCTCTTCCCTGTTCTGCCCATCTCCTCTCAGGGTGTGACTGTCTCCAGCAGCCATGAGAGCTGGAGAGGCCACCCACACCAGGCTCTGCACTGCTGGTCCTGCTCTGCTGCCTGGCCAGCCTGCAGTATCCTGGGCTCCACTTCTTGAGCCTTCCCAAACCCTAGAGCTGGACAAAAGCCCCGAAAGAAACTGCCACAACTTTCTGCACAAGGCTGGGTGGCTGACACCTCCTCATGGCAAAGACTCAGCACCCAGCTGTGGCAGGAGCACGGTGACCATCAGAAACAAGGCCACTTTTGGATTGGGTCTTTAAATTCGGAGGATCTGATTTTTTCAATTCTTTTGTATATTTTAGGTATAAGTCCTTTGCTGAAGAACAACTGGCTAAAATTTTTTCCCACTCTGTGGACCATCTTTTCACTCTGTTGGTGATTCCTTTTGTTGTACAACAGCTTTTTAATAGATGAAATCCCAGATTCTTTATATCATTTCCTGTGTGATCAGGATTTGGTTTGTAAAGTATTTGCCTATTCCTATGTCTTCAAGGGTTCTGCCTATTCTCTCTTCCAGCAGAGTTAATGTTTCCGTCTTAATATTTAGATCTTTGATCCATTTTGATTTTAGTTCAGTGCATGGTGATAGACATGGGCCTAGTTTGAGTCTTTGGCACGTGGAAAGCCAGTTTTTCTAGCACCCTTGATTAAGAGGCTATCTTTCTTCCAGTGAATGTGTTTGTTAACCATAAGGTGGCTGAGCATGTTTGGAGTTGTCTTTGCGTCTTCCAATCTGTTCCACTGATCCTCTGGTCTGTATTTTTTGCCAGTACCATGCTGTTTTTGTCACAGTCGCTTTTTGTAGTGTAATTTCAAGTCAGGAATTTTAATTCCTCCTGCCTTGGCTTTGTTGCTGAGAATTGTTTTTGCTATTCTAAGTCCCTTTGGATTCCAAATGAATTTTAAGACTGTTTCTCCCTGGTGTGAGAAACTGAAAAAGTAAATAAGGACCAAAATGTACAACAGATACTGTGAAATGGGGAGACACTTTTCAAAAGTCAAGAAGAACTCGGGGGGCAGGGGGAGGGGCAAAGGAAGGAAAGGAAAAGGAACAAATATAATTTTTAAAAAGGATAAAATGGAAAGAAAGCTTTGTAAATAGGGAAGGGAAGACAAGCTGAAGGGAGGTGAGGGGATTGGGAAAAAAGAGGAATCAACATACATCACACACATGTACAAATTTCCTGTGATGAATGTGATCATTATAAAATATATCTAAATTGTATCCAAAAACTGAATAAAAACAAAAAAAAAAAAAAAAGGAAGCAAAGGCGCATGGCTGCAGACACAGAAACAATAAAGCTTCCCAGTGGACGCTGGGCCTGGAGCTTCGTTTAACGTGCTCATGTCACAAGAATCAAAACCAGTGTGGAATGCTGGAACTCTGGCGACACTGCAGGAACCTTACTTTGTTCTTGAGTGATACAAACACGGGTAAGCTTGGGCTGGGCTCAGACTGTGACCCACTCACCCTGCTTAGCAAAGGCCAGGTTCCTGCACAGTTCACACATACACACGCAGAGCAATGGAGGAGTGTGTACCCTGCGAAACTGCCTCTCCTCCCATCAAAGCCACCCTGGCCCGAGGCAGGCAGCTGTCTCTGTTGCTGACCTCCTGTCCTCCTAGGAAACCCAGAGAGTGTCCAGGCCAGGCCTGCTGCCCAGTAACCCCTGACTATGGGACAGACTGAGGGTGGAGAGCCCAGCCCCACGGGACAAGGAGACAGGCAGCTCCCTTACCCCAGCAAGGTGGCTGGGCCAGCTGGGAGGGAACCACATATGAGACAGACAGCCAGTCATAACCAGGCCCTCTCAGAGCCAGGGCACACGGAAGCTGCATCCTGAAGATTCAAGACACGTGGCACCCTGGCTGGGTCTCTTCTACTTTAGCAACTCTGGACTCTGCTTTTGTCCCAGAAGGATGGAGAATCTACCTTCTTGTAGCCTCCCATCAGCTGCCGCTGCTCCGCCTGCAAAGATGGTTTTGACATAAATCCCGATGGGGCCGTAAATGCTGTCCTGTCCCCCAACGATGCTGAAGCCCAGGCCCTGAGGAGAGAAGAGGAAGAGGTTGGGTGTAGGGGTGGCCCCGGCTTTCCACTGGAGTCAGGAAGGAGAGGCAAAAGGGAAGAGAGGTGGCAGGCGCCACCTGGCTGCAGCTGCTGGATATGAGGTCCCTGCAGACCAAGGCTGCATGACACTCCTGGCTGTCTCTGCAGCTGGTAATTCTGGTCAAATTGCTTTCTGAGGCTTGTTGAACCTCAGTTTCCCCTTGTTAACTCAGAGGGTTGTGTTTAAAAAAAAATACTATGTCTTACCTGGCAACAACAGTGAAGGTGTCAACAAAAGCAGTACCCCTGCTCCCACCAGAACCCCCACTTCTGTGCTGTACCCCACCCCGTCTCAAGGACAGGGCTCCACCGTGGGCTCTCCCTCCTGCCCCTGCCCTGTCATCATCCCGGGTCACTCCCAGAGGCTGAGGAAAACACCTTGGGATTGCACAGCAGCACTGGGAGGACAGGCCGCTGCTGGGGACACAGGCAGCTCACTGCACTTTGTCAGAGACAGAGGAGCTCTCTGCTCCAGATGCAAGCTGGTTTTTAGGCTGTGGTTCCCTGAAGCCCCCATCTTATTGGTCATCTTATTGGTGCATCTTATTGGTCAGTGTCTTGCCTTGGGCAGGTGTCAAAACACATATCTGACTTTTCCCCTCCCGCTGAACTCTGACAAGGAGGTAGGAACAGGAGGAGCCAGAAGGAGAGAGGACTCCTCTGAAAGATCACAGCACCAATTAAATCCCTGCCTCACACCACACAACAAAGTAACATTAAGATATCTTTGGATTAGAGAAATAAGCATTTCATTATTTCTGCACCAGGTGGGAAAGGTGTGAGGACTTTGTAGGAGCTGACTGTGTCTGTCCTGGTATTTTAGAAGCTGATTACTTCAAACACAAAGCTGCATGGTTTGTGGACAGCACAAGGGACCCTGCCACCCTGATACCGTTCCTCTCTTCTTTGACACTGGGGAAATTATAGAGCCTCATCATCTGATGAGAGGCAGAGTTAGTTCTGACTCTGCAGGAAGCTCCAACTAATGACAAAACCATTACACATTATTGGCTCATCCATACACAGCAGGGAGCGTGTACACGTGTGCGCACATGCACGTGTGTGTGTGTGTGTGTGTGTGTGTGTGTGTGTGTGTGTCTGTGTGTGTGTGAATCTGTACAGGAGTCCAGCCTTCTACTAACATAGCAGAGTTATGAACAGCAGAGTTAGATGAGGACCTGAAATCTTTGTCTCAGTCAGGTTTTGTGTATCAGGTAAGACTTAGCCTTATAAAACATCATCCAGGAAAAAATCAGGCCACAAGCTCAGAGAGTGCTAAGGCAGCTGGTAGGGAATGGGGTGCTGGGCAGAAAATGATCACTTCATCAAATCAGCAGACTGTGTAGTGAGGTATTCAGATGTGGTGATACATTCCTGTAATCCCCACACCCTGGGAAGCTGAGGCCTGGAGATCTTAGCAATTTTTTGAGACTTCGTCTCAATAACAACGAATAATTTAAAAGGCTAGGTCAGCCTTTTAAATAGCTCAGTGCTAGGTCCTGGGTTCAGTTCCCAGTAACACACACAGACACACATACACACACAGAACCCCATGCACTGCCCCATTCCCAACATGCTGAAGTGCCACTGGCTCTGTCCCCACCCTTCCCTCGGTGCACTGCTGTCCCCAGTCCCACCAGCAGTGGCCCTTGCCCACCTTGGCCTGGCCCTTCATCAGCACGATGTTGGAGATCACTGAAGCCTGCAGGCCTCCCGACGGCTGCCCCAGCTGAGCTGTGCTCAGCGACCGCGTCGGCCTCAATGTGCCCTGCAAGGGGGGACAGGTGGCAGTGAGTACAGCACAGGAGGGCAGAGTACCAGCCTTGGGGAAGGGTACAGAACTGAAGGAGGCCAGGGGATCCTGTGGTACAGGGGCATCCTGGTGTCCCAAAGTCAGCTGTGTCAGCTCTGGAGGAAGCGGGTGGAGGGCAACTTCCCAGCACATGTCCAGGGAGAGTGCTGGACACAGGGGGGTGGGCAACAGGGAGGGCCCAGTGTCCCAGAACTTTGGCACATGAATCCCTGCAGGGGATAGCACCTCGCTGGGGAGAAATAAAGGATGCCAGCCAGATGTGGCTCTATGCCATGGGCATCTGCCCAGCGAAGGGCAATACCACCCGCTGGTTAGAGCTGACACTTTGGAGCCCCCTTAGGGAAGTGATTTCACCCCTCTGTGCCTCAGTTTCTCCCACTATAAGAACATCATTGCAAGTGTGGAGCAGTGCCTGGTATACCGGAAATGCCTTATAACCATTTCCTGTCCCTGTTTGCTCTCTTGTATCCCGAGGCATGGACAGACTCCCCCACAGGCACTGAAGCAGACACACCAGCCCTGTGGGAGTCTGGGTAGCGACAGCCCTGCTCCTGGAGATCTGAGATGCTATGAGGCAGGGCTGGGAGACTGGGTGGCTGATGTTAAGGCCTCTCTGTCCCCAGACTGGGCAGAGGAAGCAGGCCAGCCCACATTTACATCCTGCCACCCCACTACCTATGACTTAGATGACCCTGAAGGTGCCAAACTCCTGTGAGCCTTGGAGACTTCACCTCTGGAGGCAGGGCACAGAAAGCACATGCCTCTTTGGGGGCACTTTCTTGGCTATACTGCTCTTTGGGTGACAATTTAATACAAGCATCCACAGAGAGTACAGCCTGTGACCACATGCAGCAAAGCTTCAGTGCCATCGATACAGGCCACCAGCTCCTCTTGGGAATTTGCTTCCTCTTGCTGGCTTTTGATCATTCACCCCTGGTTGGGTGAGCCCCAACAGACCCACAAATACTCCAGGCCCTGGAGCCCCCAGGGCTACTAAAGAGCACACTAGTCTCTCTCTGCTGCAGAAGCAGCCCTCTGGGAGCACCCGGCTCCACCTCCCACAGAGGGCTGCTGGGAGGACCAGACAGAGCCAGGGGCATCTGAGCTGGTTCATTCTGTGTCAGCTTGGCGAGACTAAAGGGTACCAGATGTTCATCATACATCTGTGTATGTACATGAGGAGGCTTTGGAACAAGATTAGCATTTAAATCAGCAGACAAAACAGATGTCACCCAGACAGGCCCCACCCAATCCACTGAAGGCTGAATAGAACAACAGACCAGATATGCGTGAGTGAGCCCTCTCTGCCTAAAGCTGGAGCACCAGCACCTCGCACATTCTGGGTCTTAAGCCCGCAGGCCTTTGGACAGAAACTGCCCATCAGCTCTCCTAGGTCCCTGCTTGTTAATCCATCCTGAAGATCTTCGGACTCTCCAGCATGAGCTAATTTCTTACAATTCCTCCTCTCTTCACCAACGGGGACTCATTCACCTATACTGGGTGCAGAAGCAGCCATCAGCCCTTAACCACACCTGTGACCTGCAGCTAGCCAAGTCCTCAGGTGCAGAACCCACAGAAGCGAGGGCCTCACTGCAGGATCCCATCCTTACCACTATCCTCCGCAGACTCCTAACTGACACATACACCCCCCCTACCTGTGGGAGACTGAGCCGGAGGAGGCACTGGTCAGGACTCCGCGCTGCCTGCCACTGGTCTCTTGGGTCTTTCCCCCTTAACTTTCCAACTCTAAGCAGTAGCCACCTGCCCTCACAGCCATCTATACACTGTGCCTAGGGTTTGGGGGACCAGTAGAGAGGGATGAGTGCCTCCCGAGGGACATCTAGGAAAACAAGCAGAGGAATCAGGAGGGCTTCCAGCAGGGGGATAGCAAGGAAGGTGGGGCAGAGTCAAATAGAGACCCAGGGAGAGAAAAGGGCCCACACCATGACAGAGGGTGCTGTGTGACCATGGCAGCAAACAGGACCCCAAGGAACACTGCACTGCGGAGGCAGGGAGAGGCCAGGTGGGTGTCCCAGGCAGGCCAGGAATGTTCACAGGGGACACTGTGAATTGCATACTCTCCGCTCTCAGTCTGAAAGCTGAGATCCCATGATGGGAGGGGTGGGGGTTGCCACACAGCGATTGGTTCAAATTCTGACACCCCAGATCTGATGATGTATGAACACAAAGGTTTTCGCACCCTGCCACACCTGTGTGCTTCTCCTTGGGAAGCAGGGCCAGCCTCATGTGCCTCCACAAGCTTGCTGTGACAGTTGATGACAATGCTGGTAAAGTCAGTCACCAGGTCAGGGACTGGGTTAACCACATGAACTATGGATCCAACTTCACGTGTTAGCCCGGTGACTTCTTAGAGATGCGAATGGATGTAAAGTCCCCAACTCTTCCAACCTCAGTTTCCTCATCTACTGCCCAGGGTCACTGCACATGCAAGAAAGATACCCACAGGAAGCCTTGGCCAGCGACCCCTACGGGAGCCTGGCACCGAGAGAGCCATCAGCATAAAGGCAGCAGCAGTCGCGAGTGCCTGGCACAAGGGGGCGCCCGTCCATGATCTGATGTGTAGTGTGCCCTTGCCTAAGGCGGTTTTGTCACCCAGCCTGCCCTCTCCTCTGCAGGTGCCACAGAACCACAAGGGTTTCCCCAGCCCAGCTGACACCGCCCCCTTACCCTGTCCCACTCGCCAGTCTCACCACAGCCTTTCCTGCGGGCCAGTCTAGCTGCTGGGAGAGGGACTTCCTGTCGCTGCAGAGGGCACTCAGCTGCCTGTCTGTGGAAGCTGCGGATTTCCTGGTCATGGCAAAGTCGCTCTCTCCTGTGCAATACGGGTTAACACCTAAAGCGAGACAAAGATGGAGGACTCATGCATGCTCACAAATTACAGAGCTCGATGAGGGTTAAACTCATCGCCTACTAACCGCCAAGCCCCTCATTCACCACAACGCTGTGTGGGCACGGACATTTGCACCATGCTGGGTGCAGGGGACCACAACGGATGTGGTTATCGTTTGCCCCGTGTGTGCACGCCATCCTGTGGGCGCAGACAGCTCTCCCTTCACCCCGACCCAGCCCAGGGCTGGCGGGCACCTCCCACCTAGCAGGATGCTAGGCTCAGGAAACCACAGACGTAAGTGGGCTGTCAACTACAGAGAGAGGAGGAGGTCACGGAGGGCACCAAGGACACAGGACACATTACACTGAGCCAGTGGCCATGCATGGGCACAGTCTCCTCCAGCCTCTGTGACAGACGCCTCACACCGGAGCGGGTTTGCATCCCCCCCTTCCCCACAGGCAAAACTTAGTTCCTTTGTAGCTGAGAAACTACAGTCTCCATCTTCCTCTGTGGTGTCCTGGGTTTCCTTTCCTCTAACCAGAAACTGTTCTGCCACCACAGGCGGCTGGAAAAACCTTGAAAGATGGTCCGATTTAACCTATCATCTAGAGCAATGCTTCCTGGCTGAAATGCAGTTAGCCACAGAGGCGATTTAGAGCTTTCCAGTAGCTGTCAGGCATGCAAATGCACTCCTGTAATCCCAGCTACATCGGAGGCTGAAGCAGGAGGATCTCAAAATTGAGGCTAGCAAGGGTAACTCAACATAATGAGACTTTGTCTCAAAATTTAAAAAACATTTTAAAAGGCTAAGGGTGTAACTCAGTAATAGAGTGCCTCTGGGTTTGATTCTTCAGTACCAAAAATGAAGGGAGGAAGGAAGGAAAATATAGCCACAAACTTAATAGTTCTTAGAATGTGGAAGAAACTTTCCCACTAAAAGAAAGAAAAGAGCATGAAAGCTGATTTGATAGAGTTTAGAGCATCTTCATGTAAACAAAAATAACAAATCAGAGAAAATATTCTTAACAAACGTAACTGTCAGATAATACCTAACCAAATTAGCCATGAGATAACAATGACCTGATAGGAAAATAAGCAAACTCACCCAAATCAAAATGAACAACTGAGGCAGCCTCGAACTCCACCCGCATCTGGACCTGCACCATGCCTGCACCTCCCTTGGTTTGTGAGCAGCAGACCAGTCGTGCTGCAGACCCAGCAGGAAGGGTGCTGGGCTGGGCCAGGCTGGCGAACCCTGAATACAGGGCTGGGTGCCCGGTGGGCAGAGGCAGGAAGAGAGGCAGCCAAGAGCGGCTGGCAGTTGTTGCCCACCCATGGCCTGGAGGGCAGGTGGAGGAGCTGTGTTAGCGGAGCCCAGTGAGGCTGGATCCATGCAAATGCACATCCTGGTGTGGTTTGTGGCTCCTGTGGGGCCATAGCTGCTGCCCACACCGATGCAGAACAGGGAGAAGGGGGCAGTCAGCCTCCTGTGGGCACCTCAGGGCCCAAGTGTGAAGTCTATACAGGTAGCTTCAGGGTAGGAGTGATGTGTGCAGCCTCAGAGCCTGTGACAGGAGTCCCAGCTTGCAGGGTTCCTACCAGCTGGAAAGTCTCACTTTTGAATATGGCTTGCACATTTTCATTTTGCAAAGAGTCCTACAAGTTGTGTTACTGGTCCATGTGCCATCAAGGCAGAGAGGAGCGGCGAATGGCAGGGAGATGGGGCCCGGAAAAAATCCACAGGGCAAATAGCTTTTAAAAAGTGAAACCCAGTGTGGCCTATGATGGAAGAAACAGGCATTCCACACACTGCTACAGGAATGTTAGCTGCTAAAATTTCACAGTGCAGATCCAAAGCCTTTAACTATCCATGTTTTGACCTCAAATTCCATTTCTAGGAAAATATGTTATTGGGTAAAAATTTTATAATAAAAACCAATCTAAAAATAGTAGATTATTAATTTCAGACCTGCGAATCCTAGTACAGAATATTGTGACACTAAAAGACTTTGAGAGGTTTTCCCGAAACACATAGATAACTAGTTCCGGGGAGCAGGGAGCAAACCTAAGTGCAGTGACTTTGACTGTGTGACCTCTCAGCTCCACAATAGCCCCACGGGACCCTGAGGTGCGCGCGCGCGCGCGCGCGCACACACACACACACACACACACACACACACACACACGAAAATAGTTTCTGGCCAGGTGTGATGGTGCACAACTGTAATCCTACCACTTGGGAAGCTGAAGCAGGAGGATCTCTGAGAGTTTGAGGCCAGCCTGAGCCACGTAGTGAATTAAAAACCAACCTAAACTAATAACCTGTCTCCAAAAACACAAATCAATAAATAAATAGAAAACTTTTAAAAATATAGAGTTTTCAAAGACATGAGATAAAGATACAGCTAGGTATTTATATGTGTATTTTTGACATAGGAATCTGTGGAGAAACCTGGAAGTGCTAACATACATTATCTCTAACATGGTAATTTGAAGGGATCTTAGATTCTTCCCACTTTTCGGCATTCTTCACATTTTCCTGGCTGTCTGGATGAGGCAGGAGACAGAGCAAGGACAAGTGAGCAGCGGGAAGCTGTGGGGCAAAGGATGGAGAAACCAGGCAGAGCACGGAGGACTATGTCAAAGTCTCCAAACGCCAACAGCCTACAAGGTCCCCCTAGAGCTCCAGACATGCACAAACCTAAAGGTAGGTCACCATGACCCGCGTCGGGCTTCATTTGCTTGCTTGAGGTGTTGACCTCCCAGTGGGCTTGGACACCTTGACACTTGCCCTAAAAACCTGGTGCGGTCAAAACTCCGCCTCCTGGCATGTGGGCCAGGTCAGGTACCCCACTGAGCCAAGACACCCCCCCCAGTCCCCCTACCCCCCTCCACCCCCGCCCCGCACCCAGTCCCTAAGCCGGGACCTGAAGACACCCAGTGCCTGCCCCGTGGGCTGTGAGAGCTCACAGGCCGCTCCCACCCGTGCAGTCCACCTTCACATTCACTTTTAATAAACCCTGCTCCTGTCACTCCTGAGCGGCGGGCCACTCCCAGACACTTACTCGTGGAGTTGCTGCGAGCCCTCTGGTGGCAGCCTCTAGGAAACAGGAAGCTGCCACTCTGCGCCTCTGCCTTCCCAGGCTTTTCTCGGGAGGACGCGGTGGATGATTCCTGAAAAACAATTCCCACCGTTTATTAGCAGATCCGTTAGGAAAGAGAAGTGCGCCTGGAGAGATGGCAGCCTGACAAGGAGCCCAGGAGCGCGCATTGGGCTGTCTGGCTCCCCACAAAGGACAGGAACTGTGAACAGAAGAGCGAGGGCTGACTGTCATCCCACTCACAAACATATCCACTCCTTTAATAAACGTACCAAATAAATAGATGGCACAGAAATACCCAGATAATGCAATCGGTCCTGAATCCCAGGTCTTAATTTCAGGCTCCTCATTGGCCAAGAGGGCATGGCTGGCAACAGGCAGATCAAGACACTGACCTCAGACGAATGGCATTTATAATTACAGGGAATGACATTTGCAGTGAAGCAAAAAACCAGAGGGACATGAACAGGAGGCCAGAAACCGTGTGTCACAGCATCCTAGAGCCTGCCTAAAACGTCTGTTGAATGAATGCCATGTACATTTTTAAATCTGAGCCATCTTTGTGATTCCATATTCTTGGGAATATTACGATTTTATTTATAGTACTGATTTCTATCTGTAAAGATTTACTTTAGGGCTTTAAAAAAGGAAGAATTGCTCAGTTAATTTTGCTTATAGCTCTTATTCTTTTTCTACTTACCTTTTAAGCAAGTTTTCATTGCTTGTTTGTTAGACTAATTTCCCTTGTGCTGAGTTTATCAGTAACATATTAAACAGTGCCCTGGAGCTCCTTCTCCACCAGGATCAGCGATGGCACAGGAGCGCCCAGTGCTTCCTTGTGTACGGTGAAATCTGAGACAGTTTCCTTCCCTCTCCTCCCTCCCCTCCTCCAGTTTAGGTCATGGGGTAACGAAGATGACTGTAACATTTCTCTTTTCTTCTTGGGACTGTTATTCTGTTTTATTCTATTCTACCTGTAACTCTGCTAGTCACAAAGATCTTGACTTGATTTCTGTGTTATATTGGTTTCATGACTTCCCGCCATCATCCTCCCATGTATGTGGGGGGAAGGGGTGGAGGGGGTTCTTCCAGGAAAGCTATAAAGTGTGACTGAGAAATACAGTGAATATTTTTTTTTCAGTACCGGGGATCGAACTCACGACCACCTGCTTGCAAGGCAGTTGCTTATGCCGTTGAGCTAAATCCCCAGCCCCTTACAGTGAATATTTTTTAAAAACATATATTGCCATAAAGATACATTGTCACTACTTCTCTTCAGAATACTCCCCCTCACCTTGAATCCACTTATATCATTGTTCTTGCCACTTTCTGAAGAAGCTCTGGATGTCTCCTTTTGTGGATGTCATGTCTGTCCTGTTCTTTTTTGTTTTTTTGTATTAGGGGTCGAACTCATGGCTTCACACTTGCCAGGCAGGAGCTTATGCCACTGAGCTAAATCCCCAGCCTCTGCCTCACTATCCTGAGTGGACTCAAAACAGGTGCCTTTCGTGGTTATTTTGACCCTAAGAAGGCCCAGAATTCACTCAGTGGCAGATGCGGAGAATAGGTGATGAGGACAGACTGCAATATGTTTGCGAGCCTGCCTTCCTCGTGGGCGGCCCTGGGCAGCAGCACCCACTTTATCTTGTATCACATCTTGCAAAGACAGGAAGGAGGACTTCCAGAACTGTTTCCAAAAGCGGCCGTGTTGTCCTGATAGTTTAAGTGTATTCAAAACACAGGAGGATAGTGACAGTGTGCCTTGCACAGGAGTACATGTATAGAAAGCATTCACCAAGTATTTTGATCAAATCTCATATCGGGTAGAAATCTCCCTAGCCACACAGTGTGGTGGTTACATTTCAAAGATCGGCTGAGTTTGGACTCTTTGGGTGTTAGCTCCTGGACTCAAGGTCTCGGATTTAACAGTCCAGTGTGGAGTGGGGGAGGATACCCAACTCTGATTGTGCAGGAAGGGTAGATGGACCCCCACATGCCAGGTGGGTGTTGGCTCAAATAATCCAGCACAAGGGGAGGATTTACTCCTCTCTCATTGTGCCGCATGAGCCACCAACACCGCCAGCCCTGCCATCATGAGCCCCGAAGAGTACCCAGAAGTCCACTTAAATCCTTTCAAATTAAAAAAAAAACTGTCCAGTTATGGTGCAAGGGAACCCACAAGAAACCATACAGCAATTTTCTTTGATTTATAACGCAAGTCAGTGTTTAAAAGGGGAGAATTCATCCTGACTGGCTCCCAGACATTCATCTTTCTTTACAGCAGCAGATGGTGCTATAATAACTTAAACCAAATTATATATCTTCAACCAGGCTAGTCCAAGAAACCCTCTAAAAGGAGAGAGTTTGGATTATATAGAAGGTGGTTTAGCCAAACTGAATTTTTCATATGATGACTACTTCTGTTTCTTTATAGAATGTGATATTCAAATGATATTTCTTAATTATAGTAGCCAAGTAAGGTCATATCCCAATTCTAATTTCAAAACTTCCCTCTGGCATTATTTCTTTTCCTTGTGTACCCTAGAAACACTGGGTGTGACTTCAGGAGCTGCTGATGGGCCACCAAACACAGCAGGACCCAGCCAGGCACCAGATTGGTCTGCTTGCCTGAGAGTAAACCTTACAAAGCACCCTTGAAATGGGTATTTCCCTAAAATATTTTGCAATATCAAAATAAGTAAGCCACGCACATGCAAGTCTGCTGAGTATCTTCAAAATATGACAAAAGGACACTAAGCATCCTTAAAAATAACATTTATAAAGGTTTTTGCAGCACGAGCACACCTGTGTTTTCATGACAGGTTAAAAAGATGTCTTGTTATATTATGGCATGTTATGCTGTGTTTTGTTATCAGAGTCTGGATATAAGCATATAAAATACATATTAAAGTTGGCTAGAGGTAAATGTACCCAAACAGTAACGTTCATTCATTCAACAAATGTTTGTTACACACTCCCTGTGTGCTAGCATTGAGGACATGGCTCGAGATCCTGCCCTAGTGAATCAGCAGGAGTGTGTTTGGGTGATGAGATTATAGCTACATTTTTTTACACATTTCTGCATTTCCCATGTTTTCTACAGTGAACATACATGTCTTTTACAGTCAGACCGAAAGCAAATTATTAATTTCACATTCATTCCTGTTGTCACATGTCACCCTGTTCAAAACATAACTTGGAGGCTGCTTGGCCCTTGAACCAGCTAGCGGTGGGGAATCCTAAAATGGGGGTTCCCTGGCCTCTCTGGGAAAATTCCCTGCCATCTTCAGAGAATAGGAGTGAAATCCCATGGTTCCCATTTTGGTGGTGTCCTGTCGCTGCATGAGGAACAGTAACAACTGTGTGGAAGTGGCCACAGCTCTTGGACAAGCTGCGGTGTGAGCTGGCTCACTAGGCGGCTGCTCTGGGAGAATACAAGTGACTGAAGGGGAGGTAAAGGCAACGATTTTCTACCTAACAGATGAGAACCCATCTGGTTCTCAGCAGCTCTGTAGTACAGCCATGGCGTGGTGGTTGAGCGCTCTATTTCTAGACACCAGCAAAGGGCCAGGACACACGCACACTCTACACCACTGATGGGTGGTTATGCTCATCCTCAGACTGTCAAACTGAATGGTCTATCCAGCAGGGGGTGACAGTGAGTCCCTGAGAATTCTGAACTTTGGGTTCAATTGCTGGCCGATTCCTCTTTTGCAAGCCAAGGGAGCATGTAACTGGTCTCCATCTAACTGATGGTGTTATTTAAAGGGCTAAAAGGCTGCTGCCTTCTCTGAGATGGTCACATGTCAGAAGAATAAAGATCTTCCCTTCGCTTCCAGGGGAGGCCGACCAGTCTCAGGCAAGCATGTCCTGGGTGCGGTGGTTTCTCATCAAAGGAGCCTCTGTGGCTTATTCGCCCAGCGTGGCTTCCACCCGGCGCACACACAGAGCACTTCTGTTCTGCTCCCAAGAGTTTGTCCCTTCTGAATACATTGCCCCTGTTCTCTTCACAGACCGCAGCCCCGGACAGCCGTTCTGTGGGTTCTGTATCCCATCACTGACTGAGTAACCGACTCTCCATTTACCAGGTCCAGTGGCGACCAAGTAGGGATGGAGGTCACTGTCCAGATAGCTCTTTAGATCTGAGATTTTTCTCAAAGTTAGGGACAGCCACGCAGCTGCAGAGGCTAAACAGTGAACCCTAAGGAACAGAAAGTGCCATAATCCTCTGATAACTGGGAAACAGACAGATGAAGATGAAGAGGCAGGATTCTGGAGTCCTGTGACAAGGGGGTGCTGGAATCTCCACGTCTCTCGGAGGATTAGAAGGTTCTCCTGGCTCGTCAGCAATGTGGATTTTGCATCTAAACCCCTGGCCAGCATCACTCGTGGCTCTGACAGAAGCTTGATGCTTCTGGAGTTTACTGGCTGTGTTCCTCTAACACAAACCTTCCCATTTTCTCTTTGATCTGAGATGCTGTAACGGTGCCAGTCTAGGGGACCACAAAATATAATTCAGCTGTCTTGATTGAGGCTATTTCCTGTGGTTGAGCCGATCATGCAGCTATAGGCTTTGATCTTTAGGTCATGAGAATACACAAGCAGGCCCCAGCAGACTGGTTGTGGGATGGCCACATGTTCGTGTAGGATGACAAGACCACCATATCTCATGGTGTGGAGAGGAAGGATGGGAACCAGAGCTCAGGATGTCCTCACCTCACATCTTCCAACTCATCATCCATGGCTGGATGGTCATCAGGTCCTTGCATGTCCACTTGCTCAAACACCCCCACGACATCTGTTCACATCTGTCTTACCAGGTAAGACCATGTTCTAGATAGGGCTATTATAATGACCTAGGGCATAAAAAAAATCTGTTCTTAAGAAGAATATTTTTAAGAAATGGTCCCAGGGCAACCAGATATCCAAATGCAATAGGATGAAGTTGGATTCTTGTCTCACAGTGTACACAACAGTAGCTCGTGTTAAGAGCTGCAACCATAAAACTCTTAGAGTAAAACGTAGGAATAAATCTTCATGACCTTGGTTGAGTTGAGATTTAGATATGGAGTT